GCCTACTTTCGTAGTAGTCTTCGGGTAGGGGATAGCTCCGCTTCTACTCTTAGCTATGTGCGTTAGTAGAGCCAATTACTAGCTGTTATATAGGTAGGGTACCATTCTTTATGGCTATAGAGCTGGCAGAAGTATTTGAGTGTGTATTAGTCTCTAGATGCATCCTAATGGTCAAAAAAACGCGTTCTGTGTGGTGTCTTGAATTTCCCTAGTCTCTTTAACCTTTCTGAATGATTTCTGAGCACAGGAGGCATGGTGGTGGTGATACAGAGCCTTCAAAAGAGGTGTTGGTAGGGAGGTTTGGTATGCTAAGCAACTAGCGTCAATCCATCCTAATTTGCGAACCCCTGTGCACCTGCGCCGTCGCAATGCAAAACTTGGTCCCGAGCGCCCAAGTCGTAAGCCCGCGGAGCAACATCCCCAAATGCCTTCGTTCATTGGCTCAACCATCCCTCGCTCGGACTTCTCGTAAAACCCTGCCATGCACCTCGCTGGCGTTGTTCCGTTCGTTGAAAGTCGCGTCGCCGTCGTTTCTCCTGTTCCAGAGGTCCTGCCTGAGGTCGTCGTCGATGCTGTCGTCTTCGTGTCGTGTCGATCATCATTACCATTATGTCCATTATTACTGTTATTCATCAGCATCGTCCAGTCCGCCGGGGACGAATGCCCTTCGGGTAATTGTCATTCACTCCATTGCCATTCGTCCAGGTTGCTCATCGCTCCGTCCGAGAGCTTTCCTGGAGCCGGCTGCTGACTACAATGGATCTCGCTCGGCGTTCCCGTCCCGCCGAACAACTGCTGCCATTGTTGCTGAGGTTGCTGAATGCCATCCATCTGGAGCGGAGACGTTAAATCCATCATCGTCGAGGCATCAAAATCGGCAGAATGCGGAATCGGCATGACCTGCGTCGGGAAAGGCGTCCAAAAGGCTGTCTGTGCCTGAGTGGGGTCGAGCTGAATCGTCGGATCGCTGTAGAAGGTGGGTGCGGATGTTGGTTGTTGATGCATTTGCTGCTGTGCTTGTGAGCTGCCGACTGGAGGAGAGAAGGGGCCTGCTGAGGAGTGACTGTGGATGGAATCGCCTGAGCGATTGCGCCCGTCAGTCCCAGAACCGTCTGTGGACTCTGTGCGGGGGATAGAGGCGGCGAAGAAGGTGGAAGGAGGCGGTGACTTGACATCTCGCGGATGTTCCAAACGAGAGTAGGCAAACGCGGCGGCACTTTCTGGTAGCGCGATACTCCATTTGCTCGACAAGGACCGGATGATGTCGACCGCGCGAGCAGCGAAGCGATGGTTGACTGACATGGCGTCTAGGTCGTGAAGTCCTTGCGTAAGGTGAGCTGCTGCGCTTTCGGAAGGCAGATTGAGGAGATGGATGGTGCTGGCGGATAAGACGAGGTTGACAACGGCCAGCGTCACACGTCGCAGGCCGTACATCGCCCTCAGCGCATTCATGAGAGACGAGATCTCATTTGCGCAAAAGGTACATGTATCGCGCGGATACAGGTTGGCGGCTTGCAGATCTAGCTTGATGTACGGGCGGAATAGACTGCAGAATGTCAGCTGTAGGTAAGTCGGTTAGGGACGGGGGGTGACTTACTGAAGAACGCATCCATAATAGTACATGTGCAGGACCAGTACGTACGGCAGAGAAGTGTTCTCAAGTCGGAAGACATCTGGCAAATTCTGGTACCATGACTGGTATTGGGCATATTTTGCGGCAAGTGTTCGACTGGTGAATCGTTCTCTGGGTGCGTAGAATGTGTTGACCATATCGGAAGCGAGTTCCGAAAGCTTGCTCAGCTGCTCTTTGAAGGACCTCACTCGAGCGGGCTGCTCTGCGCTGGGACTCAGCGATACGTTGATATCGATATAGGGTCGCCAGGAGCGAGTTTCAGCTCGAGCATTTGTCGAAGGCGTTTCGATGTCGGCAGCTGAGCAGGGAAGTCCAGAGAGTCGACCGAATCCTACCGCACACAATCTGCCAAGAGTCAGTATCTCTCAGACGCATGTCTGCCACTTCCATTCAGCGTGACTCACGTTTCCATGTTGAATACAGCCCAGAATGAAACCTTTCGAACCTCGGCCTCCGGCGAACGCATGCCGTTCTTGATGACGGACAGATGCAGCCCCATCTCGAGGGCCATTCTCACACAACGACCCGCCAGCTGATATCCATTGCTGTCTCGACCCGCCGAAGTCTCTCGAAGGCCCATGATTCCAAGAGCTTGGACGGCGGTGAGTGAGGGCGTCTCAGTCATATCCAGGAGACGTTTGGCTTCGGCATAATATCGATCACCGGCCGTTCCTGAATCTGTAGGGTCGACTCTGGCCTGTGAGCGGTCGGAGTAATGACATGCAAAAGCGAGTATGGCATTTACAAGCATGGCGCTGCAGAAGTCGGTCTTTCCACGTCCCATGTCGTGAACAAAGTGATCCCAAGATACAAAGGCATAGAAGGGATGGACCCAACAACGATAGAGGTCAAGCAAGTGCTCAACGAATTCGGGGTCCTGCGGAGTGCGGAACCAGCTGCCAGGCTGCTCGCTCGAGATGGTACTTGGCGTGTTAGGCTCATAACTCGAGCTCTCTGAACTATGACGAGAAAGAGGCTGAACGGGGCGATATGCTAGGTTGTCGTAGGTGTTGGCGACGGAGGGTTGTGTCGTGACGCTCTGTGCGAGGTCTGCCTCGAGCGTCTGGGGAGCGAAGCTGGCTGGCAGTCGAACGTTGCTTCTCAGCGATTCGGCCAATTCGTCTGGGTTGGCGTCGCCTCGTAGACTGTGAAGCAGTGCAATGGAATCGTTTTCGGGGAGACTTTTCAGAGAAGCTACAATGACGTCCAACGCGCTGTTCTGCTGCTGCAGGGATCGGATGTCCCGTTTCAAGGCTCCTTTCCGGCGGTGGTCACTGTCTGCGTCATAAGTGCACTCGGTGCGATAGACAGCGATACACGTCGAGCACGAGGGCATCTGGCCATCGCACTGGAGAGATGTTGGACGGCATTTCCTTGGCGATGATAACGTGCATTGGGAAACTCACTTTGCTCTTGCGCTTGCGGCAGGGAATGCATGCTGACGAAACCGCTCGACGCTTGGCGCTCTTGCCTTTCTCTGGGACGTCGTCGATGCCCGGTGTCGAGGAAGGTTCGTTCTTGGGTCGTATGGGTCGTGGAGGCATCACCTGTCCGGGAAGGCTCTACAGCGGTGCAACGGGATCCGCGGTAAGGTAGGAATGGAATGGCGGAGGATGTTTGATGGGAGGAGAGAGCGAGTCAGAGGGGAGTAAGGTGGAAGTGCATTGGGAGAAGGTGGAAAGTTGGTGGGCAGGGAAGGAAGGAGGAAGGAAGTTTGGAAGGAAGTTTGGAAGGAAGTTTGGAAGGAAGTTTGGAAGGAAGTAGGAAGGAAGTAGGAAGGAAGTATGGAGGGTGAGGCGGGAGGATGAAGTTGGCAGGAGCCATGCGGACTGCGCCTTATGTGTTAGTTGTTCCTTCATGAGGTATCGTTACCGCCACAGAGAAGGTCGGTGCCCTGCATGATGGGAAGATGGACTAGCATAAGGTGCCACAGTGCGTCCGGGATGGAGGATCTGCAAGACGGGAGCTGAGCTTCCCACTGCACCGTGAATGCACCGTGATGACTGCGCTTCGGCACGGTCGCATTCGGTGCAAGTACTAGTATGCTGGCTGTGCTAAGGTAGTATGGAGACGGGGCTTGGCGGGGTGTCTAGGTTAGGTAGACCTTCGCCAAGGACGGCAGCGGTGGCACCTCAGCACAAGGCCAAGCTAGGTTGTCATTGGCCTGCATGCGAGTGGAGTGCTGTGGCGACCAACAGCCCCGGGGGGAGACGTCACTGCACGGTCTTGGAATCTTTGTGCTTCACACTCGCACTCGTGCGGTGCATCTCCCTGAACGGCAACGGCGTGAACGGCCTCAACGGCTGAAGAGTCTCCGAATCATGGACAGATCGACTAGGCCCAGAGCCCGTCGCCGACCAACGCCTCGCTCCATCAGCCTACGGACAACAGCTACAGCTTTCCAATGCCATGCCACGGCATTGTTAGTATGCTCTTCCTCTCCCGCTCCTCCCAACAACCAGGTCACGGCATGTGTGCGGGCAGAGCAAAGCCACATCCCCAGAATCCTTCACCAGCCCTGTGCTGCACTCCTGTGCTCCGGCCTCGGACATGCAAAAGCTTGTCTCGACGTACATCTCACAATCTCACCACACACCAGACGCCGAGGGCCCGCTTTCTGCTGACGTGAAGCGACTCCCTCAACTCCATGCCAAGGACCGACATCTGCTCTGTCAGCTCGGAGGTCGGGGAATTCTACAGCCCAGTGGTCCGGGCATTCCCTTCACAGCTTCAAGGTGCGGAATCCAGAATTCCGACTTCATCCCGACTTTCTCCTCTTCCATACGACTGTATTGCTTTCCGCTGGCCGCTCCTCTGTCGTGTTCATAACGCGAGATTCTGCGATGCACATTTGTCAGCCTCTCCGCAACTCGTCATCGCGCTTGCTCCAAGAATAGGAGTTGCTTCCGAAAGCGTCGCGGGCCAGTCCGACCTTCTTGGCGTGCGTGTGTGGTGGGGCACGAAAACATCTCCTCGCCTGGCACGAACACACACCACATCACCACTTCTTCAACTCCCTCGGTATCGAGGTGCCGACCACTCCGTCCCTCAGACATCCTCGTACTGCCATCTCTCGCCGAGATCTCTCAATGCATCCTGTAGGCGTGTGCAGATGGATGGCATCAGGTCGAGCCCGCGCAAGGATTAGGGTGCAACGGCGCATCGTCCCGGCCGCTACCGAGAGAACGTGGCTCGGCCGCTAGCCCGACCTGGTCTGCTACCTCCAAACACACTTTGCACAACGCGAAGGACCCCATGCCATGATGGCGAGGGCAGCGCACCCGTCCCGCAGTCGAGGAGTCATCCACAGCAACAGCCTCCAGACCTCTTGCGGAAGGCTTCCTGCCCTGGAAGAGCGCTGTCCCTGACTTTGAGGCCGGAACCAGATCCACTGCTTGGCTTCAACAAAAGATTTGAGGGCTAGCAATGGACCTCGGAAACCTCAAACTCATGAACCTTGACCGGCCCACTTCAGTTCGCATTATGTTTCCATCACCACCTTACTACCAAGAGGACAATGTCTGAGACGGTTTGGAGCAACTCTACGATTACGCTGCATCAAGTATGCAGCTTCAGATATTAGAGCACTTTCATTGTCGATGTATCTATGGGGAAAAGCTTTGTTTCTCCTAGGCGAAGACGGCTTCTCGGCGACAGGACACGACGCCGACGATTTGTCTCGCATTTCCGACAGATTTTGGGGCTGTTGGTCTATACTCACTTCCCGTCCAACCACGGCTGGTAGTACGCGGAGGCGGCAGACGGCAGGACGTGATCGGCATCCCGCATGCAGGTCTACCTTGAGAAATTCTAGGCCGCTCGGAAGACCGGGCGCTCGATTCATAACGTGCCTCACCCGATGTACCGATGTCACGAGACGGCGAAACGAACAAGAGGCAACATCGAATGTTTGGTATAAGCATGGCACAGCTCTTCGAAGAAGGGCGACCACCGCTTCCACAGCGTTTCATCCGATCCCTGATGCTGTACTCACATCCCACATGCAGCACCTGCATGCACCACGCCTGACGCAAACAGGTGAACACCAAGGCAGGGGTATTTCCCGCTGTCTGCTACTAACAAAATCTCCACGCAACTGAAAATGTGAACATGTAATCTTTGTGGTCGATGATGAGTATAAGCTACGTGTCGACAGAAGACCAGAGAGCTGTACAGCCCTTTGCTCAAGGTTGTTGGACCACATGGATAGCCTAGGACTCCGCCACCAGAGCATATCTCAACACCGACTACATCCGCACACGTTAGGTCGGCTTGCCACTGGTGAGCTTTTCGACAAAGCATTCTTGTCGCTTTGTCAGCTCGTCACCAGGATGCTCCCCACTGCTGGAAATTCGGGTCGCGCTTGCTGCTGTGATCACGCGGACCTTCGACAGACAAGGTTGTTCTTTCAATACGATAGCAGCCATGGCCTTGCATCAAGTACTGCATATGAGCAATATTCATGGTATTGTTGTCGTCGGTAATGGAAATGCGATAACAGCTCGGTAGTCACGTCATTACGGGTTTGTTATACTAACAGTTGTTCATGTTGTTCATGGTAGGCTCTGCACGAGATCACCAAGCCCAACAACAGGACCACAGCACAACAGAGAAACGGCTTATCTCGTCGAGTACCCAAGCTCCACTACTCTACTACGCGCTACGCCAGATACCAGATCAACCCGCACGCAATTGAAAAAGATGTACAACTCCAACAAAACTCACGCGGCAAGCGCTCCGCCCAGCACACTAAAACCATTGTTGATGAAGCGCCTACAGTAGTAAGGTACCTTAGTCTGCCAATCCTGCACGGTTGAAACTGCTGTTTTGGAGACACCTTTGCGGACAGGTAAGTATTGCCGTGTGGCTGCGGATTTTTGGAGAATGCTGGGCTGTGAAGAAAAGGTGGAACATCGCGTCGAATCCGAAGCATTCGCAATTCGCGCGTCGCTGAATCGTCGTCATCATCATCGCATTCCTTGCGAGTTCCCACTCGCCGAGTGGCAGATGCTAGCTACTCGAGTGAGCTCTACACGCAGATGCGCGGTGAATCTGGTATAGATAGTACTATCTAGGATGTCTCACCGAAATCAGATGGCTCGTGCATTTCTCCCCGGTCATCAACGGACTTCCGCTCCTACAATCTCGCCTTCTCATACCCAGCAAATCCCTTCACCTTGTTCCCACCCAACTGCTTGTCCTGCACCCCATATTGCTTCAACATGGCCTCGATGCTCTCCTTCTGCGCCTCCAGCCTCCCCCTGCACTCCTGCGCCCTTGCCCTCGTCTCCCGCCGTCCCATCTGATTCAAATGAACCTCATCCGGGCCATCCGCAATTCTTATCGTCCGGATATGCGCCCACATACTCGCGAGCGGCGTATCCTGGCACACGCCCATGGCCCCGTGGGCCTGCACGGCGCGATCGATGACGTTCAAGGCAGTCTGGGGCACGAGGATTTTGGCCTGGGCGATTTCGACGAGGGCGGATTTCGCGTCGCCTTGGTCGATTTTGAGCGCGGCGTTGAGGACTATCAGGCGCGCGGCGTCGATTTCCACGCGGGATTTGGCGACCCATTCGAGCAGGACGCCGTGTTCGCGGAGGGGCTTGCCGAAGGTTTGCTTGCGCGAGTCGTTGAGGCGGGCGATTAGGTGTTCGAGGGCGCATTCTGCGGCGCCGAGGGAGCGCATGGCGTGGTGGATCTGGGTGGCTGTCAGTGCTTCTCTCATATATATGATTTGGGGTTGATCGGGCCACTTACACGTCCAGGCCCCAGACGGCCTTGCATGATCTCGTTGCCTCGGCCGAAGCCGAAGATGAGGTTCGAAAGCGGCACACGGACGTTGTCGAATGTGATGTGTCCGTGTCCGTGAGGCGCACTGTCCATAACATAATCAGTAACCTTGTCTCGAGAGGGGCGCGAGGAATCGGAGGGCGGCGTACTCGTCGTAGCCATAGACGCTCAGCATGCGATGCACCACCAGGCCTTTGGTATCACTGGGCACCAAAACCATGCTCTGTCTCTTGTACCGGTCTTGGCTGTCCGGGTCGCTCAAACCCATGACGATGAAGATCTTGCACCTGTCGTCGCCGGCGCCCGAACTCCACCATTTGCTGCCGTTGAGCACGAGCTCATTGCCTTCTTGACGGATACTCAGACTGATGTTACTCCCGTCACTGCTCGCCTTGTCGGGCTCCGTCATGAGGAAACCCGATCGAATCTCTCCCGCCAGCTATGAGAGCACTCGTCAGTTCAAGCCCCTTCCCCCCCCCCCACCCCCCATCTCCCTCTCCGATCATGCATGCATGGTACATACCAACGGCCTTAACCATCGCTCCTTCTGCTCTTCCGTCCCATACCTCGCAAGCACTTCCATATTCCCCGTATCCGGCGCCGCGCAATTACACGCCTCACTCGCCACCCCACTCCTGCCCAACAACTCCGCCATCAACCCATATTCCACATTCGAAAACCCCCCGGCACCCCCGTAGCGGTCATACGCCGCGAGATTGCTATAATGGTTCTTGGGCAGGAACATATTCCACAACCCCAGCTCGCGCGCCCGCTTTTTCAGATCGTCCAGGACGGACGGATGGCCTTCCCAGCGTTCGTCGCCGTGGCCCAGCTGGGCTCGGTAGACCGCATCGCTGGGGATGCATTCCTCGTCGACCCAGCGGGCGATCGTGTCGAGGTATTGCCGGGCTTTGGGGGAGACGAAGGGTTCGACGAGGGGCGGGAGGCGGTGGCTTGCGCTCTTGCGTGGTGCGGCTGCTGCTGTCGGAAGCGGTGGGGCGTGCGACATCTTTGAGAGAGAATGGATGCAGGATTTTGAGAGAGAGAGAGAGAGAGAGAGAGAGAGAGAGAGAGAGAGAAGAATTTCGGAATGGTGGAAAATGGCCTACCTTGGATGGTTGCTATAGTGAGTCTTCGAGAGGACGTGATGGTTTTTCCACATGACCCTCGGGACAAGGTGAGGTTCAAGAGAGGGGAGCATGGGCTGTCTGGAAGACATTAGCCGACACGTGCCGAGTTTCCTCTCTCTCTCTCTCTTCCATCTTCCAATAAATTTCATTCTTCGAAGAAAGAGAGGGAGCAAATGTCGTCTTGGAAAACGTATTAACATTGAGATGTAATCACTATAGATCTAGAATCGACCGCCTGAGCGATTGTTGGATTGTTCCTCTTCCGAAAATCCATCTTGTACACATAAATGGCAAAATCGACGTTTCTATGCCCATGTAAATGCATCTGTCTCTTGCGCTATGCTGTCTCCAAAGGGGTCCACAATACATTCAAAACTCCGGCTCGCTGTAACGCAGATCCAAGTTCAAAGCAAAAAAGTCGAGGAATAGAGTCGAGTTTGGTGCGGTCCAGTCCAAGTCTGAGTAGAGTCGTCCGTCACGTCGTCGTCTTCTAAGCCGCAGCAAGCCCCGTCTTCCTCCGCTCCTCCGCGAACACCTCCCGACTTATCGCCAATACCCTCTCGAACCCTTCTCTCCCCTTCACAGCATTCTGCTTGAACCGCTCGACACTAAACTCCTCGATCTTGTTCTTGATCCGCTGCCACCCGCCACAGAGCGCAATGATTTTCGCATTCTGCTCGAAAACCGTCTTGCCCATTTCCCTCGCCGGCCTGTAGATCACCGTCTCTTGCACGCTCAACAGATCGCTCCACGTCATATTCTGACTGCACATGGTCACCTTCTTCGCTCGCAGGTCCACGTAGCTGACTTCGTACACGTGCGATGTATCGCTCGATTGCCCGAGTAGCGTCTGCATCCACGAGGGCGCAGATTGCTTGCATGTGATGAGCCTCTCGGTGCGTAGGATTCCGGTGGAAGGGTTGAGGCTCCGCGAGAGTGTGTCGACTGCTGTTACGTGCGTGGATTTGTCGTTCCAAGGGCAGTATTTCCGCCAGTTGCACGTGCTGACCTCTTCCCAGCTGTAGTCGAACTCGTGTGAGGAGGAGAAGAACTTCATTCTCGGTGTGCGATGTGTCGTCGGCGCGGTTCGACGCGGGTTGCGAGGAAAAAGCTCTTATTACGCGCAGGAGAACTTCGGGGCTGGAACCGGACAGCCCGCGATCGGGTGGCGGAGACAAAGCGCGGAGGGTGTTTTTTTTGTGTTTTTGATGTTTTTTTCGGAGTCGTTAAGGTCGTGAATAGTCGTGATGTCGATGCGACTAGGGGGATGCGAAATGGAAGTCGAAAGAAAACTGGAGACCGAGTTGTCGAGACCTTTTCCTCGGCAGAAGCACAGACGCTTTCCTGTTTCTTTTCGTCGCACGCGCGGAGGTGCGGAAGCTTCTCCGCCGGGGGACAGGGGTTTTCGGCTAAAGCGGCCATTCTCGGATCGGGTCACATGTAATTCATGTGACGTGGAGCCGCACTAACACTACAAAGTTGAATTGGCTCCTATATATCGGACATGCAATTTTCGATTGTTCGTTGCAGAGCTACATCCTGCCCCGGTATCAGGTCACAATGTTATGTGTAGAGCAACGACGCACGGCCAGATTTCAACAGCCTCAGGCACCAACGTTCAAATCAATCAACGACGGAACATGAAAAGCGTGCAATTTCACAAAAAATTTGTATCATGACGAAAACTACCAAAATCATTAATACAAAGAAATCCCAAACAAGAGTCCCATCGCATCATGTGCTCATGCTCAGTTCATCGAAAACAACAGACTAATCCGAGCCCAACTCCCGAACGATCTGTTGGTACCAAACTCCATGACTCTCCCAATCAACCACTCGGATCCTGTCCAGTAGGTCCACGATACCAGCAACATGCGCCGTGAATTCGGCCATTCCACTGGCGGCCAGCTTTTCGGAAGCTGAAGAAGCAGCCCGGACACGGTCTGCAGAGCTTTCTGCAAGCAGTCTGGACATTATATGGCCCCTGAGTCGCTGGAAGAGGACCTTCAGGACAGGATCGGTAAACTTGACCCCAGGGCCAGCATGAGGTGCCATGGCTTCCGCTGCCTGCGAGAAGTATCGTTCGATGGTCGAGGACACTGACTGCTTCGTGGAAGGTGGCATGTTATGAGCCGTCTCCAAGATTGAGAAAGCTTTCTGCGCCGTGGTGACATCGCCTTGTGCGTTATCATAGCTTTCTGTACTGAGTAGCTGCCACATCCGACCGGCCTGGTTCTTCCACTGGCTGCGCGTATCCCTCTTCAAGAGGTTCTTGGTGTTCAGGAAAATGGCACCGATGACGGCAACTCGGATCGCTTTGGCACGAATGTCCTGTAGCCTCCTGAAATCCAATAGCAGGGTCTCAGGGATTTGCTCCGAGTTAATATCATTCTGGCTGATGGCCAAGTCTACTAACGCATTAGTGTAAATCTTGTGAGGTGTGGGCCGATCGCTTGGATTACGGCTGCCTTCGGGATCACGTCGATCTGCTTCGGCATTTAAAGTGGTTTGTGAATCTGACCACCATCGCTTCGTGTGAACCAGGCTTGTCATGCCAGCATCCAGCTCCTTCGAGAACAGTCGATATTCGTATCCTGCAGCCTCTTTGATTAGGGTCGGCGAGGCGTTCATGATCATGAAGTTGGTGTAATCCAAGCTAAGGAGATCCACCGTTCGCAGCAACTTGAAAAGCTTCTCAGTCATCTCCGATAGCTCGTCACCATTCTCATTCGATCGCAGAACTTCTGCCAGGTTCTTCACCTCCTGGTCGCGGAAAGGAGCACAAAGCTTCGGCAACACACTGGCCATGAATTCAAAGAAGCCAGAGTAGGAGAATACGCCCTGCTGGCACTGTCGATTGATGCTCTCGAGATCCAAAGCTTCAGCGATCATCGTATGCATGTTATTACCAGGCTTTAGCATCCGCAGTAGCTTCTCCCGAATGTTTTCAGCTGCAGACACGGTCCACAGAGCGCCATCACCAGATTTAAATCCGGCCTTCATACTGTCACAGATCGTCCGGTAGAGTTGATCGCGAAGCTCGCTGTTCCTATCCTCGAGCTTGTAGTCCTTGTCGATTGCGAGCTCGTGGGTCAAGACACGATTGCTGGGCATGGCGGTAAAGAGCTTGTTGATCTCGCCTGAGCCTACAGGCGAGGTAGCAATAGCCGCTTCCTCAACCACCTGCTCAGAAGAGGCACTATCCGAGACATGCTCGACACCTCGCGGCCTGACCTCCGCGGCTGGTCGCTTCTTAGGGCGCCGACGACGGCTCTCCTTGATGGCCTTCTTGATGAGCATATCCGCGCGGTCTGGTCCGGCGAGTTTTCGAATCCTACTCAGCAGCATGACTTGGTTGTCGCGGATGCCTTCACGGTAGTCGCGGGACACCTCTCCGCGGCTGTCGTCTTTCACGGTCTGCCAGATGGCATCAAGCTCGACAAAGGAAGCCACCATGCCTTCGATGAGGACACTGGAATCCTGGAGTCGCCAGGCCGCGAAAGCGGAGGTGAAAGCAGTGTAAGATTGAGACAGAGTCTCGAGCTGCATCGGATTCGGCTTGAAGCCATTCCAGTCGTCGAGCCGCGAGACTGAAGCTTCGAATTGACTAGTCAGATCGGCCGCCTTTGCGATCAAGTCCTGCTCCTGGGCACCATCTTTGTTGACCAAGACTGAGGTTGGATGGCCGAGAATCATGTAGGAGCTGAGGAATGTTCTGGTGTTGAGAGCGGCGTTCGCATCGTTGGCGTCTTGCAGGCCCAGATACATAAGCATTCCGGTAGTGGTGGAAATGACATCGTTATCCGCGACAAGGGCGGTCATGTCCTCAAAGCTGCTCGCTTGAGCGCGCTGAGCAGTGAGACCAAGCCTCGTGAATGCCAGCACAGGCTTACGTCGCTGATATAGACGCCACGCTTTCTGCACCTTTCCTGCTGCGACTTTTTCGTCCAAAGCTTGCAGCTGGGTGATCTGTGCTGCAATGTCCTCGTCGATATCCGCAACTTCTTCCAGTACTTCCAGCTTCTTGTCTGCGCTGTCTGCCCTACGCGCTCTTCTGGCCTGAAGATTGCGTTGATATTCTGCTCTTCTCCTCTCTGCTTCGGCGTGACGCTCCTCCATCTCTAGACGAACACGTGCTTCCTCTGCCAGCTTCCTCTCTTTCACTTCCTCTGCGATCCTCTTCGCGCGGGCGACTTCTTCGGCGCATGCTGCGGCGACCTTTGCAAGGTATTTCTCCTTTGCCAGCTGGGCAGCAAGCGCGCGCTCCTCATGTGTGTTGCTGCCTCTGGGCGCGGCCTTCGCCAGCGCAGCACGCAACCTGACCTGTTCGGCATGGGCAGCACGATCTGCCAAACGGGCTTTGCGAGATTCCAGGATGGATGCGCGGCGGAGATGCTGTGCGATGTAGGTGCTCTGGCATCCTGTGCTCCCCCGGCGAGAACGACTGGAGTTATGCGACTGGGCGGAGGATAGCGAATTCCTCCGGGAGGAGGCAGCGGACGACTTGCGCCGGGTGAGCTGGTTGCGGTAGAAGCGAGCGGCGATATGGGCAGGCGGTGCATAGATCTGCTGCTGCTGCTGTTGCTGTTCGGCATCACTGTCTTCGGGAATGGCGTCGATAGACACCTCGCCCTCCCACGGTGCAGGGGAGGCTGGCCCATCGCCCTCGGGATGCGACATGATGGTGGTGATGTGGTGCGCGAGGCGCCGGAAACAATAGGCAAATGGCGATGTTCGTAGGAAGGAGGAAATGGTAGGACGGATCCGGATCCAGGATTCGGGCGGTAATTGTCAGGACGAGGCAGTGGTTAGTCGCAAGGCGGGGAGGATGACGCCTGCTTAGCAACCACACGCGCAACTGTCATGTGAATCCTTGTGCTGGTCGCTGCTGGCGTGGATCTTATCTGCACCGAACTGCTGGAACGGGTGGTGTCGTCTGACTAATGTCGCACGCCACACTGGAAGCGGTATTTCGGATTGCCATCAGCGTTGTTGTCAGTTGTCGGATGTTTGGCATGGCGGCTTGTTATCATATCCGTCCGCATGCGGCGAAACGTGACGGCGGCTTTGATGGAGGCTGAAACGCGCCAAGCCGTGTCAATGTTCGACATGCTGCCGAGAGTTTGCACCATCGCACAGATCGTCTTTCAGTCCGGGCCACGTGCGGTTTCTTCTATTTTGACACACCCCTGACCACACACGGGCAAATGCGGCGGCTCACTTGGACTTCACGTTGTGATTCACATGCGAAAGGTCAAGAAATGTATTAAATGAAAGAACATATGCCTTTGCAGGAGAAAACTATGCGCTCCAGCAATTTTGAAGGCTTCTCTCACCTAGGAAAGATGGTTCCTCCTATGTTCGATACTGCTCGTAATGAGACGGTGACGGATAATTTCGCAAGAGAGGGAACAAACGTCCCAGGGGACCATAGGTGAGGAGATCAGTCCAGATCCTACGACTCAAGCCCGTCATAGCACTGGACGGAAGCATCAAAACCTGCAAGGGAACTGGTGGCTCACTGAAGGATCTCTTCGACCGCTACGCCTACGCAGTGTCCACGATACTACTCGCGCATCTCTTAAAACCAATCGAAGATGGAAACAAGAACGATTGTACCACGAAAAGAGGAACTGCGAACTTCCTTGTGATTGCAGCTGATAGTTCATATGATCTGGCTCTCTTTCTGGTCGTGGACTTATTTTTCCGCCGCGCACTTCTGGCTGGTATGGGTCTTGTTGGCAACAGAGCACTTCCACCATGCGCGCATGTGCAAGACAGGCAGGCTTGTCACATGAAAGTCTCCTCCAAGCCGCTCACTCGCATCGACAATATCTCAGGCAGCCGACAGTGAAAGATCAGGCAGGCAAGTGAAGCGCCCAGTCGCACCTTCCAATTCGAGCGGACCTCACCAATGCGTACCTGCCTTTGCAACTTCACCTCGCGTCTCAAGAGTAAACAAACAAAGTGAACGGGCCATCCTCACTTCCGAACAGCCCCTTCCCTCCTTCAAACGGCCCCCACCAATCTTCCACCTTCCCCTCAACATCAACTTACACACTCGCCTCCACCCTCACCAGGCAAAATCCCACAACCATCAATGTCGGTCCTCGCTTCCATCTGTCGCCACCCGCTCGGCGGTACCTCCGTCGTCTCATCTGGCACCGACTTTGTCGACGTCACCAACCCATACTGCAGGCCATGCATTCTGCGCCGTAGAGATGAGGCAGCCTATCGACAGCTCAACGACTTCACCAGAAGAGGCGAACGTTCGCCAGATTGGCAGAGCGCGAAGAGCCGGTACGCGAGAGCGCACATCGACTATTTGCAGGACTGCCAGCAACGCGAGGAAGAAGCGCAATTGTACACAGAGCAGCAGAGAATGGCTACGATTCGAGGCCAAAAGTTTTCTGCGGATCTCTGGTTAGATAAGCTGTCAAACTTCAACGCGCCAATGGAGCAGCAGAGTCGGCAAGACAGCGTCCAACAGAATGCGCCTGTCGATCTTGCTTCGAGTCTCTCTCCAGCCACCAGCAATCCGACGGAGAAGCACAAGATCCATACTTCGGGGCAGCAAGCCGCCGCCTCTGTCATCCGCTCTTGCATGAAGTCCGGCAAACAAGACCAAGACGCGATCACGAGCAGCTCCGCTGGCCGTCGCGTGAGCTTCGCAGACCAAGCCCGTGTGCATAGCAGAAGCAGCATAGACCAGACCGGAGCGGACGCCCTGGCTGCAGCCACCCAAACAGACGCCATCGAGGAATCTGTGGGCTCCATGACCCTTACCCCCGAGGACCAGATTCGCCCCTCTATCTCATCTTTCCAGCGCCAAGCGGGGAAGTCTTACATCCCTGGCCGTTGGTGAGTATGAGGACCAGAGCCTCCATTGCATAAGACATTTCTCGAGTGCGACGCTAATACTAGTCGTGAAATTTGCAGGGCCGCAGCAGACGGAACCGAGTACTGGGATACGAGCAAGCTCCGTGAAAAGGTAAGCAATGAGCAAAGCAGACAGCAAGCAGCTGCACAGCAGCAGCAGCAGCAGCAGCCGGTGGACGAGAAGGATGCCGCGGAGAGGAGAGAGCAGGCCCTCGCCCTGGAACCTGAGGACCCAGATTGTGCCGCTATGGAGAATCGTGAAATCGACGAGAGGTTGAGGACCTTGCAGGCGCAATTGGACGCGTTTGACGAGAGCCCCTCTGAAGAAACTTGAGAAGGTAAGACTGACATGGCGGAGGAGTCTCTTTGCCCTATTTTCTTTCGCAACACAGCAGTTTTTGGAGGAATGCCAAGACGCTCAGGCAGCACTTGGTGCAGGATGGGATTGTTTTTCTGTTTCGCTTTGCTGCAGCACTTCTTGGAGGAGAAGGAGGAGGATGTTCATTTGCCCTGCTTTTGCCTTTGCTCTTACTTTTGCTTTTACCCTTGTTTTGCCTTTTCTTTTCGTGCTCTTTACTTGGGCAGTATCAGTCGGACGCACTTAGCAGCTCTAAAATACTTTGTACCGCATCTTACAGCACCCTCGCCCAACGAAACGTTGTCTTACCGACCGCGACCGCTGATTGTACAACGCTCGACTCCTTGTGACTCTGGTCTTTGGCAGGTTGTTGAGAAGGAGATGTTCTGCCGCCGCGAAAGAAGTTCTGTTGCAAGGGCTGGGTTCTGCAAAGAAGGAGGTACATTGCTGCCAAGAACGCCTGCGACGCGAGTGAACTCCTCAGTGACCCTAGCACTCTTGTCTTCGACGAGTCTTGTCTTGGTCTCGCAAGGCAGAGCAGACCATAGGCTATGGCCTCATAGGGAGGGGCATCAGGTAAGACAGACCGACGCCAAGTTTGTCAGTTGCTGATTGATTCATAGCATGCACGTCGCCAGATCTGCGGCGAGACATCGTCGAAGTACCTTGATGGATCAAATCACCTTGATGGAAAGGTACCTACATGGACAGCTTAACGTCACTCACGAGACCATCCGAACCATAAAGACTCTTTCAAACAACAGACTTCCTTTCAGAAAGCTTCATCCAGGACCTATCAGCCAAAATGCCACACTCAAGAGCCGACTCCCTCTCCCCAACTCGCAATAATGAGACCCTACCCTTCGTCCACGACGTCCTGATCATAGGAGCAGGACCCTGCGGTCTAGCCGTAGCAGCTCGCCTCCGAGAACAAACCCCCTCAGCCCTCTTCACAGACGAAGAACACCATCGCTACCACTGGATCAACAAACATTCCGCCCATTCCCAAATCAAAAACAGCAGAACAGGCGCCACAAGACCCCTCCAGTCTTCTAAATGCGGTACCAGCGCACTATCAGATTGTTCCATGCTAGTCCTCGACGCGGAGGGAAATCAATGGCTCTCGAAATGGAATCGTCTATTCAAACAGTTGGAAATTTCCCATCTCAGAAGTCCCATGTTTTTCCACCCTGATCCTAGGGATCGAGATGGACTGTTGGCGTTCGCGCATTGGAAAGGCAGGGAGGCCGAGTGTATAGAGATAGGAGGCTGTGTTGGGAAAGAAGTCAGCAAACATCAGATGAAAAAGCGACGGAAGGGCGGGAAAGCCGCCATCACAATCGACGAAAGAGAGCGCAAAGATTACTTCATCCCTCCTTCTGACCTGTTCAAAGAATACTGCGAATGGATCGCGAAAAGGTATGATCTCCTCGACGAGCATCTCATTCTCAAAGCAAAAGTTGAAGAGATGGATTTTGATTTTGTGGAAGATTTATCTTCCGATGAGAGACTTTTTACGATCAAGGCGGCGGGGGAGAAGGGAGGGGAGAAGTTCTATGCGAGGAGTGTAGTTCTTGCTGTTGGAGCGGGTAATGCTCCGGAGGTTCCGAGGCCGTTTCCTCAGAAGGGATGTCCGCATGCTTGCCATGCTTTTCAACCACTTGATGGGGTTTTGAAAGAGATGAGGAGGGCGAATGTGCTTGTCATCGGGGGTGGGTTGACGAGTGCTCAGATCGCGGATCGGGCGATCAGGAAGGGAGATCATAGGGTTTGGCAGTTCATGAGAGGGCCGATGAAAGGTAAGCTGGTAAGGCGCCCGAGATGGGGATTGGCGCTGATGAGATCGATAGTGAAGCCATTCGACGTGGACCTGAGCTGGATGGGAAAGTTTCGAAATCACGAAAAAGCGAGCTTTTGGAGTGCGGATACTGACGAAGGTACGTCTATCAAATTTCAGTACCACGAAGTCTCGTAGGAGTGTACTAACAGCTCCATCAGAACGCTCGGAACTCGTCAAGTCAGCCAGGGGCGGTGGTAGCATTACACCGCGCTTCGCCAAGATCTCAGAACGCCACGTCCGGGCCGGGAGACTCTCCATTCACACGCACACGACAGTCCACTCCGCGTCTTTCTCCCCCATCACAAGAACATGGGCCATAACAACATCTCCACCAGTCCCTGCCCTTCCACCCATCGATTTCATCTACTTCGCCACAGGCGTCCAGAGCGAAATCCAAACCCTCCCCTACCTCAAACCCATTCTAGAAAAATTCCCCGTGGAATCATACGAGGGTCTTCCGGCGTTGACGGATGACCTCATGTGGTCGGAAGATGTCCCACTGTTCGTCACGGGGAAATTTGCGGCTTTGAGACTCGGGCCTGGGGCGGGCAATTTGGAAGGGGCGCGGTTAGGAGCTGAGAGGATTAGTTGGGGGATGCAGGAAGTGTTTCCCGAGGTGAAAGACGGGACTTTGTATGGAGAGGTTGTGGAAAGGAAGGGGAGAAGGGAGAGGAGGAGGTATGTTGCGGGTATCGGGAGTCGGTTTGAGGCTTTGGCTGGAATCTGATGAGAGGAATGAGAACAGTGGCACCCATGTATTGATTCTGAGGTCGCTTCTGCTTTTTCATTACAGTGCTTCTTGTCCAGAAGCGCTTTCGTTCCCATTGCACGCTTTCGAGCCACGGCAACAGAGAGTCGAACAGCACGGACTTGGAGCTTACGATAGAGGAAAGCGAGCGTTTATTCGACAAGATACATCCTTGTGATCTTGCATGTTTCGACAGTCAAGGCGATGCGTCTACCTGCAGCTGGAAAGAGATTTTGAATTCCAGCTATAAAGTTTGAGATTGCCGAGGAGTCGCCGAGCAAGCTTATTTCACGTGTGCGTTTTAGCGCAAAGTTTAAATCTTTAATGAATGAGGTGTTTTCGGCTTTCACGCTCGGACCGGATTGTCTGTATTCTATCCTCAACAAGCTAAGATCCTGAGGATCAGCTGGACCTGCAGAAGATGCCGGGATAATGTAATGAAGAGCGTTGGCCAAAAGGAACCGCTCTTTCACGAAGTACTCCGATCTTGGTGCCAATAGCAGCTATCGCATTCCATCGAGCTCCATTTGACGCAATTTCCACCGCAGGTAAATCCCACGGGCATGGTTGAGTTCTTATGCTCTGGCTTTCGTTGCTTCTCGCACCACTCTTGTACCCACTCTAGCAGAATCGAATCAGCCGTTAACTTCCAACTTCAATCTTTTCCCCAATCCTTGTTCAGTTGCTCCAGCACCACCCGCTGTTGCAGCAGGATCGGCATAGCCATCAACCATGGTTGATCCTTCATCTCCTTGACTATGTTGAACATGCCACCAATCACGTATGGCTCGGCGCCCATTGTTCCGCGCTTTTTGAGCGAGGAAGGCACTTTGAGACCCACCATAGCCTCGCACAGATGTTTCCGATGTAGCCACTTCAACAATTTCGGCCAATTTGCAGTCTTGTATGATTGACGGATCGAAAAAGTGGTCTTCCGGCGCGAAATCTCCATTTGCTCCAGTATGCAGACGAAGGTGTAGATCACATCACTGTCATAGCCCGGCGCACGGAAGATGAACTTGTTACCGTAGTAGAAGATCTTGAGCGCTTCGCTGCGGATTTGGCGGCACACAGACAAGAAAGGGCTGCGACTGTAGCCCTGCTTAGTGACGTGGATCTGTTGTTCCTCCTGAAGCACCATCTCGTAGATGCGGTTTCGAAGCTCTGCTGGAAGTCCAAGCAGGGAACACTCCTTGTCAACTGCCGTGATGGTATCGGTGGGCGTCATGTTGATTCGTCGGGGATGGATGGGTTGTTTCGAGGTCTTGGAGGTGATGTCGAATGCCACGGAGAGATCTTGAGGACGTTTGAGAGATAGTAGTTCTGGACGAGGTGTTGTGGTTGGTGGTAGTTTGGTTTTGTTGCTTGGTTGGAAGATGTCGAAATTGCAAGCGGCAAAAACTTGCGAAGCCCGTGTCGGTAGGAAGGAGCGGGTCAAGCAACGCGGAACGCCCCGCGTGCACGTGAAGCACGCTAGTGGCTCGTTAGCGCGACTTGGAAATCACACCAATGTTTGCCACTAATCTGAGCGGATCGAAAGCCTCAAGTATGATTACAGCGTCAATCAACATGTGCTTACCAAGTTGACCTTCACCGGAACGAGTTTGCCCTCCTTGAACGCATTTGCTCGCTCGATTACTTCAAGTCATGTGCTATCCTGCCTACTTTCATCATTCGCCGTTTCTTCCTGACTTTTAGCCTCTCGCTATTCTCTCATAACCCGCTTTAGCTCTCTAAGAACACTCCTCTACTCCGCGAGCATCGCTTCTGACGAGACAGATGGATCACTACTCACGCATGAGTAGTTCCTCCCGAACCTAAAAGCCGCGAATGCATAGCTAAGCCCCATCTTTCGCCCAGCGCCCGTCCATCCTCTCCAACACGACCCGCTGGTGCATCAACAATTCCTCTACCACATCCCACTCTTCGTCCGTCAAGGCCTTCACAATAGCAAACATCCCTCCAACAATCAGCTGTTCCACCTCCACCGCAGTCTTCCCCAGTCGCTTCCTCGAAAGCGGTCGACGAGGCGATACAATATCCCAATCGTCATACTTCCTCCTCAGCCACCTCAGCAAATTCGGCCAGGGAGGTGAGGTCGAGCGATGCCCGAAACCAAGATACGGCAAAGCCAACGAAGGCCGCATTTTCATCTTTTGCAGGTGCTGTGTCCATTTGTGGACCAGATCGCTGTTGTAGTTGGCGACGGATGCTCGGAATTGGTTCTCGTAGTAGAAGATTTTGAGCGCCTCCTTGCGAATTTGTCGGCACGTTATGAGGATGGTGGGTCTGTCGTATCCATGCCCGGTGATGGGTATACGTGCTTGCTGGTGCAGCACGAGACGATATATATTATTTCTGAGCTCTGGTGGAAGCTCCAGAAGGTGGCAATTCTCGTTTGCAGTTGGCGACGTGGTGCTTGCCAAGACTTCCTCCCCATGCATTGCGTGAGCAGCAATTGCTATCTTTACCGGCGGTGATACCGATAGAGTCTCGAATGCTGCTCAAGGAGAAAATAGTCTCGATTGTCGTGCGGTTTGTGCTCCGAGAATTGCGCAGGAACTGAGGTTGAATTTCGAACAAGAGCTGAGATTGAAGTTGGGTGTGTGCACAGACCACGAGCAAACGATGTCCATGAAACATGCAGTCATTCACCTGCAAGAAATTGGTAAGCATGTCGTCAAGCTCCGAGATGGCAACATCTCATCCGATTGACACATTCTGTACAGCATTTGAGATGAGAGGCTCTAAGGTTCTGCATCGAAGTGCAAGTTCGCACGCGTCGCTGCTCCAATACAGGAAGAGCAGACACCGAGTGGGCGTAGCTGCCGTTGACAAGGACGGAGATTTTTTCTTCCCGTCCGAAATCAGAAGAAAGTGTGTACGAAGGGCTATCAACGATCTAGTGAATATCGACAACGGCGGAGATAGCACGGAAAGTAGACTTATGAACTCACAAAACGGGCCATCTTGCGCCAACAGCCTTCGTCAGGCCCGCTCTTGCGACGACTTCCTTGGACCGCCATTCTGCTTCCTGCCAAACACTGTTCTCATCCATCGTCAGGAGCGTTCCGTATCTCACCACTTCTTTTCCATCCACAATCACCCTTTCCACATCGCGACCGGTGGCTGAGTAGACCACAGCACTCACCGGATTGAACCACGGCTGCAGGTGTACGGCACGCATGTCCAGCACTACAAAGTCGGCCTTCTTGCCCATTTCGATACTGCCAATGCTATCAGCCAGTCCGAGTGCCTTGGCTCCATTGACTGTAGCTGTCTCGAGGACTGTCTCTGCAGGTACAGAAGTCGGGTCCATCCGGGTCACTTTGTGGAGGATACCAGCCAGACGCATCTCCTGTATCATGTCGCAGGTGTTATTGCATGGGGCGCCATCCGTGCCCAGAGTGACATTGACGCCGGCTTCTAGCAGGTCTGGCACTCTGCAGATCCCAGAGGCGAGCTTCGTGTTGCTCGACGGGCAGTGAACGACATGTGTTCCAGTCTCGGCAAGCTTAGCAATGTCCGAGTCGTCCAGGTGAACCATATGCACAAGAACAGTCTGAGGACCAAGCAGATTCACTGAATCGCAATACGACATGGCTGTATGTTCTTGACCTTCAAAGAACTTCCGATCGGCAGGGGCCTCGGCGCAATGCATCGTAATGGGGATGCTCTTCTCGCGCGAGATTGAAGTCATCTCTTTGTAGAGAGCTTCAGATACTCTGCCAAGTGGTGTGATCAGTCGACAACAAGAGGATATGACTGGCAATACTTACCCTCCAGGTGTCCGGGCTCCGAACCACACTCGAATTCTATCATCCGCCTTGCCATTCCACTTCTCATGCATGGCAACTGCCCCTAGCAGACTTGTCTCGCGATTTTCAACCAAGCCTCGATGCATCGCCCATCTTGGATCGCTGGCATACGTGCCAACATCCATGACGATCTTCCCCAGACAGCCACGAATACCGCTCTCCTCCACGGCCTTACAGAGCCCGTCGAAGCCGTAGCGGTCTGCGAACATGCTCTCGAGGAAACATGTCGTACCGGACTTCAGCATCTCAGCGATACTAAGCCTAGCAGCGGCATAACCATCTTCGGGTGTAAAGTTGCCCTGCAATGGCCAAATGCGCTCACAAAGCCACGAGACAAGTTCCAGGTCGTCGGCGGTTCCACGGAGCAAGGTTTGGGCGGTGTGCATATGGGCATTGACGAGGCCTGGTATGATGATTCTTCCCTCGAGTTCTGTGATGACCTCGTCTGGATATTGCTTCAAAAGCTCATTCGTCTTTCCAATGGCCGCGATTCTATCTCCTTTGACGAGGATCGCACCATCTTGGATGATATCTCGGTTGGCGTTGACCGTGATGATTGTTGCGCGTGTGTAGAGCATCTTCGACGTGTCTGCGCAAACCCAAACAATGTCGATGAAGTCTTGATGGTCAAGGCAAGAAACACGGTTGGTGAGTGGGCGTACTTATCTTCCCGCGTCGTCTTTGCTGTCGGCGACCTCCGATGAAGAAGACACCTCCGCCAGCCTTCTCTTCCTCGCCGACATCCTCCAATATCAACTTCAGTCGGACATCAGCGTGCTATCAGCGCCGCCGGGGTGTAGCGCGACATCGGGACTCAATCATAGACCCCGAGTGGTCGGTGGAAGTCCGCATGCGGCAAGAAAGTGGATGAAGTCAGCGACGGCGGCTGATGACTGGTCACGAAGTCCTCTGTCACCGCTGACAGAGCAGCAACATCATCAAGGAACCAGGTTGTTGAAAGAATTATGTGAGCTTCCCTTTGAGCTCGCGAGCAGTCCCTGATGGCGATAGAAAGTGTGCCAACTTCTACAACGGCAGACCCGGCTTCCATGTATCAGCCACGACTCAGAGCTAGCAGAGCCAAAGAAGTACTATTCGCTGGATGAATCGGCGGATTTCAAGAGTTTGTGTCAATGATGAAGACGAAGAGGCGGCGCCTTTGCTCCAGAAGCAGCCTAATGCGGTAGGCCTCCATAAATGACAAAGCAATCCTCGTACACACGAACTGGCTTCTCCAGGCATAAATCATCTCCCTCAAACAGACGTTCCACCTCGATGGATTCTTGGTATTCGACTACTACGAAATGGTCCTCATCGAAGGATTGGGCACGTGTCTCCTTGTCTTTGTCCTAGGAGCTACAGCGTCAGGCTTGACCACTTTGGCTATCAATCGGATGGGAGTAGCCCTGTGCGCTGCTCTTGTCAACTGGATTGGCTTGACGCTCTTCATACACTGCACCGCACCGGCATCAGGCGGCCATCTCAATCGCACGATCACCATGGCGGCATTCTTCGCTGGCCTCTCTTCATTCCCGCGATCGGTGATATACATCATCGCGTAGTGTACTGGAGCGGGTGTAGGGGCTTACCGGCTTCGCCTTGGTTTGGAAAAGTAGATTACTTTCCACGCGGTGTGACATCTAGTCGCACGGTCGATCATACGCTTGTCTCGAGAGGCTACTCTTTCGGTTTGGAATTTCTGTTTGCCCAAGCGCTGAGTTCCATGGCTTTTGGCGTGGGACTTGATCCTAGGAATGCGAAGACTTATGGGCCTGCTATGGCTCCCATTTTGGTGGGGCTTACCCTTGACGCTGGGGACTCAGATTTCGACATTCGCCGGTGATGGACGTACGAGGCTTTGTCAGTAGCTGCAATGTGAGTATACTGCCTTGACATGGCTGACACTTGAGCTCGCAGCTTTCAATAGCGCTCGGTGCTTAGGTCTGCTGAACACGAAAGGCGGTCTTGGGTGGCATTGCTTGCATTCGCTTGCTACGTGATTAGCAGCGATGATTTATGATTATTCTACCATCTAGTACCGCCTTCTGAGAAAGAAAGGCCCCGTCGGGAAGCCCTGCCATGTCTGGAACATAATAACAAGCACTGAAAACATCCCGTAATCTAGCCCCAAACACTGCGATCTCGCCTCCGCTTCAGAAGCACGTCCCCTGTGGCTCTTCATCGATCCCGCATCGACACGTTCCAGCATCGGCACCGTTACCGCTCGCCTTGTAGCAGCAAATATCGCCCCCATCGCCTGACTGGGCCGAATTCGCCGGACAGGAGAAATCTTGTAGCTTGCAGTCGGTGGTTGTGCAGCAAGAGTTCTTCGGCCAGAGGAGGAGAGTGTTGTCGGCGGGATTGGAATGGGGGATCAATTTGAATATCTCAACGGTACATAGGGTGTCGTCTTCGGGCCCAGGTTCTGGTTGTCTGGTATTGGCTACTGCCAAAGGCAGGAGGAGGGCCAGGGACAAGATTTGGAGGATTGAGTGCATATTGGCGGTGGTCTGGTCGTAGTAGTCAATGTCCAGAGGGTGGGAGATCCCAGTAAATCGAGTTCGAGAGGTGCTTTCCTTTGGCTTGGAGAGTGATGGAGGCCTGCAGCGCGCGTCTTCAATCTAAATACCTATCACTGAGAAGCTTTTGCACTACCAGGTAGGCATCTTCCAAGTTTCAATGTTACGTCCCATGACGCGTGCGGTACTTCGATGATCGGCACAGCTGTGACCATTTGAGGTTAATCACCTATAGAGCTTCCGGGCTCATGGATCCGTTGCTGTGAGTGCAATTAGCTCGGTGCAGAATCGAACCTGTTCAGGCATGTGAAAGCTGCATCGCTCGATGTTGGAAGAAGTGAAGCGCTGGGCTGTGAGGCTTGGTCAAATTTAAGGTTTGAGCTCAAAGTGCAGGGGCCAAGCTCCTTGGCACGACCGCTCTCCATGTGGACTCGACAACGTTCATCATCGCCCGGCATCATACTACCAAACATTGACCACCACTTCATCTCGCCAAGCTCACACTCTACTGCGCGATCCAAATGACAGAATACTCTTGAAAATCTTGGCAAAGGCATTGCAAGCCGCCCTCGCGCCGTCTTTGGGACAGCAGCTTGTACCCGACGTTCTAACAGAGTATCAGGGGTTCAATCATGGCAGAAGCACCAAAAAAGGGTCGTTTGACTCTCTATGAGGACTTGCTGAGTGAGGAGACAAGAGCGGAAATAGCAGCAAAGGACGCGCAGTCACAGGCGGAGGAGGCTAAGAAGAAGAAAGACGGTAACGAGACATGAGCGCACTCGGGATGATGGCAGACTTGCTCACTTGACCCGCAAAGCTTCTATCTTGTTCAAGCCGACACACCTGGGGAAGAAGACCAACAAGGTTCCTGCGAAGCCCAAGGCAACCTTCGCCTCGGCGCATAAGTTCTCTTCCAGCACCTCGACCACCGCCGCGCCTCTGCCGACTGCCACTTCGCCCGAAACTCAGCACACGTCCATTTCGAGCACCCCGCAACAACCGCAGGCGCCATCGCAAACAGCACAGAAACGCGGCTTCGATGACTGGCTGGCTAACGAGGAGGACGAATGGAACTACTACGCGCACAAGCCCGACCGTGGTGTATCTCGCAAGAAGAAAAAGAGGGGCAAGCAAACTCAGGAACAATCTTGGTCTTGGGGCGACGTCTACGATCCGCACACACCAGTCAGCTTTCTCGACTATCCCAAGTCTGAGGTACAGTTTGACATCAACGAACAGTGGAAAGAAAGATTGTATAGCGCACGCAAGAGGGAGAGGCAGAGGCAAGGGAAAGAGGCAAAGCGATCGGACAGTGATGACCCTGCATCAAGAAACCGTAAGATGCTCCATGTGCGAATTGGAATGCAGCTGACTGGGACAGGTCAACCCCCGAACATGGAGTTTGCACCTCCTGGAAGCCTTCATTTTGCTCCTCCTGCGGAATGCAGCTCAGATGCGGCTTCAAGACCGCAGTCTACCGGAACGTCCTCACCATATCCCGCTCGAGACCACCCAAGTGAGACCGGGGAGGAAGCGTTCAACCGCCCAATGGCAATGAGCATGACTCCAGCTGTCCCAGTAGCGCCCTCTCCGCCTGTGCCGGCCCAAATACCCCCGGTATCTGCATCACCCGCTTCAGCAGCGAAGGACGAGGCTCAAGCCAGAGCAGCAGCCCAGATTGCAGCGTTCAAAGCGAAATTGGCTGCCCAGCAAGCGCAGAAGGCCGCAGGAGCAACTCCGCCTGTCGCTGCCGCACCTGAACCACAAGTTCCCTCGCCTGCATCTGGGTCGAATCTCACAGAAGATATTCCGCCTCCACCGCCGCCCGAAAGCCAGCATCCTGCAGCGGCATCCGCTCAATCAGTAGTCGTATCAGCAGCGCCGACGTATAACCCAGAGTATGCCAGAATGAAAGCTCAGCAGGAGGCTGTGGATGCGCAGGAGCCAGAGCAACAAGACAAGCCGGCAGACGTGGATGCTCCACGTTCAAACAGACCTGGTCAACTGGGCTTTGCCGAGAAATATATGAAGAAGCACGGGCATCAGCAAGGTCAAGGGCTTGGTGCTCAAGCCGATGGTATTATCACGCCAATCATGTTACAGCAAAACAAGAGGAAGAAACGCCCAGATGCTGAAGGCGGTGGATTCGCTGCTCCCGCAACTGGTCGCATTGTCGGTGGAAAGAGGGCAAAGACAGCTGCGCATTCGGGCGATGGCGAGGGAGATGCAGAGGCTGCGCAGACAAAGATGTCAGAGGTCGTGAAGATTGAAGACATGCTCGCAAATCTGGATGTCGACCAGGAAATCCAGAACAACGACCTGCTGCAAGAGATTGGCGAGGAGATGGGCACGTATGGAACGGTGGAAAGACTTTTCATCTGGAGGCAGCACGCCGGAGGGAATGATGATGTTTTCGTGAAATATACCAGCCCGCTGAGCGCCTTGAACGCCATCAAGGCATGCGACGGGCAAGAATTTGCGGACAATGTGATGAAGGCTAGATTCTGGGATGTGGAAAAGTTCGAGCAGGGAGAGTACGCATAGTACCTTATGATCTTGCGCTTCCTGGCATGCTAAGTTCAAGGTTTCACTTGCAACCCAGGCAACTAAACCTGCATCTGCTCAGCATCTCGCTTCCTTTCCTCTTCATTTCCCAAGCACCGCCTTTCGAACGATGCCTCACAGCTGTCACCATCTCTCTTGAGTTGCGAGATAATGCTCCTCGGAACGCACCGAGTCTCCACGCTGGACTGAACCAATGAGCCTGCCGATCGGTGGCACGCGTTGTACCTGCATCTAACAACGTGCCATCTACCAAACCTCTCGCACATCTCATGACGACGGCGCAGCTAGCACTTGCCATGGAAGCAGGGTAGCATTCGAGTACGACACCCTATGGAGCTCGCCTTGCCATCATATAAGACCGTTATTCTTGGTCTTCTGGTAATATTTACAGTACAGTCGGTTCTTACGGTCATCATGAGATTCCATCAAATTGTTCCGCCATTCTGCATGGCGATGACTGGATTTGTCTCAGCGCAAAGTGAGAAATGGGGATGGTCTGGGTCTGGACACGGATATGGAGGACAATTCAACTGTTCTGGAGCCTCGAATGTCAGTCTGGAATGGCATGCGCCGACGAAATACTATGTCAACGACTTGTCGACTGTCATTAACGGAACTGGAGTCTATGGATTCATCTTAAATTCCAGCCAGGGACCGCTGAATACGTATAACTGGTGCAACATGCCACACACGAATCCGAAGACGTACCCGAAAGCGGATCAGGAATATAAGTTGGAATATGTGGAAGTTATCCATCGACACCATAAGCGGACGCCTTATGCGGATAACACTTTCCCCAAGGAAGGGTATGCCTGGTCTTGCAGTGACGAGGGACTCTTCTATGGAGGGAAACCGATTAATCCGTATGGGAATGATTCTTCGGCGACGTATTGGGATGTCTACACTTCGAGCTCGAATCCCTTTCCGCCGCAAGGGTTCAACGGCACGTGTCAGTTCCCACAGATTACGAGGGGAGGTCTGGATGATAGCCACCAGCACGGCGCTGATCTCAAGGCGGTGTATTCGGACATGCTGAAGTTCATCCCAAGCGGGTACGACCCCAAGTCGGTATCTTATCGTGTCACGAACAATGTCATTACCTCGCAGGTGGCTAGTATGCTCATTGCTGGCATGTATCCGGCGCGCAAGAACGCGGACACGCCACTCTTGATCCAACCCGACAGCATCGATTCACTGGAGCCGACATACTCTTGCTCGTATGCTTCTAACCTCTTCAGCTCGTACGGCTCCGGCAGCACGGCTCCAGCCTGGCAAGAGCACTTGAAGGATGCTCAAAGCCTTTACAATCGCCTGGATGCTCTGTCTGGGGTCAGTCCAACGGCATCAGCATGGCATGTCAGCTTCGACCACTACTTCGACAACCTTTCTGCTCGCTTGTGCCACAACAAGCCCTTGCCCTGCAACATCAACAACACCAGCGACTGCGTCAGCCAGGCCGAAGCAAACGAGGTCTTCAGACTAGGAGAGTACGAGTACAGCTTCATCTACCGAGACTCGAGCCAGTCATTGCCTGCCAGCGTAGGCAGCTATGGAGTCTGGATGGGCGAACTCGCTCAAAATATTCGCCATGCGATGGGCAATGGAACCTCGTCGACTGGCAACGCAACGGCATCCAGCATCAAATACAGGCACAATGTAGCGCATGATGGGTCCCTGTCGCGTCTACTCTCGATCTTGCAGCTTGATCGCATGGTCTGGCCAGGAATGGGCGCTGAAGTTGTGTTCGAGTTGTACAGCAAGAGGGGCTGCTACTACCTGAGAGTACTCTGGGGAGGCCAGATCCTGCAATCCAGTAACCCGACTTTTGGAAAAATGGATATGATTCCCATCTCTACCTTCCTGGCGTATGTTGATGGGCTGGTGGGAGTTGGGGCCAAGAAGGTGCCGGGCATCTGCTCGCAGTAGAAGACGAAACCTGTATAGAACTTGTATAGATGATACTAGAATCAGGGCAGAGCTCCATTTGAGACCTGATTGGGAGGTACATGGATACTTTGCTTCGTGCCACGCGTGAGTAGTTTGTTGGATTTGGAACAGCGTAGATGTTATCGCCGCGCAGAGGCGAATTGAGGACTTGCTATGAGTGTAAAGGTCTGATTCTGATTCTGATTCTGATTCTGATTTTGATCCCGAAGAGCGTGGATAGGTGAGTGGAAAGTAGGTGAACGTGACCAGGTGAGTGAGTGTTCGGGGCTAAGCCAATTTAAGCGGCGTTAAGCGTGAGCCAGAAAGTCTAAAGGAATCCTCTCCAGTAAACAAACCAAGCCATCATCCGCAACCTACACCGCCGCGACAACCCAGACACATCACCAGATACACCCTCCTGCATCTCGCCATCTGGTGCTCCGGCGCAGGCGAGGCGCGCGCATCATGTCGAATTCCCAGACGCCCGATCCAGGGACCGAGCGGCGGACGACGCGGTCAACAGCTGGCAAGCGACGACAGACACAACTCGAGAACGACGGCACACAGTCTGCGCACCGACCTAAGCGGCGGAAGAATAACGCTGTCAAGGAAGATACCTTTAAGCCGCGCGACTCGACCGAGCATGTCCCGGCGACCAGCCAGCCGGCTGAGACAGAGACAGTTCCTGTGGTGAACGGCAGCAAACATCCACCGCAAGAGAACGGCAGCGTACGAGCGAGCACCGCCAGCTTCCGAAATGCACCTCATCACGATGCGCACATGGTGCACCGCCCCAAGCGGGCGATGCGCGGCGATGGCGCGACGACTTTGGCACATAATCAATGCTACAACATCAAAATCCTACCGAGCACCCCGAAAGAGCTGCGAGAACCGGGATTGAAATATCGTGGAAGCATAGGAATACACAACAATGCGCTGGCGGTCACACACCAGCATGCCATTGTATGGGATTACACTGCGCACCTGGCAGCGACGAGTCCGCGTAAATTTGACATGCCATTCCCATGCAAGGCGTCTGACCCGCTTCCCTTTGGCGCGCTGGTCTCGAATGGCGCAAGTACGACGGATCTTGGACTTCTGTTCGTCTCGGCGACAACTGGCAAGGTGGTCTTTTACGATTCCATTGATCGTGCCGCATCACTGGGTCTTTTTCAGGATCGCAAGACAGGTGTCGAGGGCTCTATTGGTAATTTCAGTGGAGAGACCGTCGTTGACTTGGTCCCGGCTGATCACGCTGGCTTCGTGGTCGTGCTGAGCTCGGGCAGATTGGTACAACTTACTCTTCGCGACACGACTGGAAAGGTCAAGATATCATCCCAGTTCCTGAGGACTACAGAACCGAATGCAGGCTTCTTTGGGCGCTTCTGGGATGCGGGATTCAGGAAAGACTTGAGTGCAATTCACACGAGACCACTCAATGCAAAAGGACAGCTACAGGCCATGGCTGTCACTGAGAAGGGAGAGCTTCTGTTTTGGGATATGGATTGGACCTGTCGATCCGGGTTCCGGAGTAGCATTGACTGCAAGGATATGCTTCAGAACGAGCTGAGATCGCAGGAGTACACAGAAATGGCTGGCAGGCTGGGGAACTTTGCGGTCCTGGATGTTGCGATATCGAATAAACAGTCGTCCTTCGACAGCAAGGCGCTCGCAGCTGTTGGCGCGGATACGGCCATGGGCCTTCTACTTCTACTTCGGATCGGAACACCAGACATGCACACCTACACGATTGCAGACATTAGTCTCGAGGATGATGCGGTTTCGCCCGTCAAGTTCAAGCGCTTTTTGCAGCTTTCGGCCTACGAAAACTCCGGAGATATTCGCTACCAGAGAAAGCCACGCCTACTCCTCCCGAAGCCAGGCCATACCATTTTCGTCGTCTTCGAGGATGCCACGATTCTGGTGGCCGCGGATGCATCGCAACACCCATCTGCGGCTGAAAACAACCCAGCCGCTGCACAGTTCGATTTGACAGTCGTTCCAGAAACTTTCGAGCAAGCCATCAAACTCCGCAGAGACCGGAATCTGGCATTCTCGAGCACTTGGGAAGAGGCCGCGAAGGGAAGCCATGCTCAAGCAGTTGCTTTTGTCGAGGGCGCTGGTCTTGTGCGCATCACAGCTGCAGATGTCAACCGTCTCGAGGAGCGCCAAATCTCTCCAAAGACAAGGATCGAACAAGCTGTGTTCCACGGCTGCATGCAAGCCGACAATATCATTGACTTCTCTCGGCCACGCGACTCGGAGTACAGTATCGAGGATGTGGAGGAAGCGGCGCTTGCCGTGAGCCAGGAGATACTGCGCGCGGAGACTCCTTACACTAACTTCATCTCACAAAACCCCGCCAACGTCGAGGATGCGCTGGCGAAGAAAGCCAAAGCACTCAAAGCCTTGGTCGACTACGTGCGACAGAACTACCCGGCGATGTCGAGAGCCACAATGTGGCGACTATTGTGGGATGCGGAGCGGGTAGCTGCAGCGAAACAGCTGTGGGTCGTCCACGAGGAACAAATTGAAGAGGTGATCAAAAGAGAAGGGAAGCGAAAAGCGACCCTGCTCGACGAGGTTTGCTCATGGTTCTCCGAAGAGCAGCAAGAAGAGAGCTTTGCGTCCCGAAAGGAACTGAAAGAGCTGCTCCCTGTTCCCCGATTCTTCGTCGGTGGCCTCCACCGTCTGGACCAATTACTTCACTTCACATGCGCTCTGTTGAAAGACTTGCAGAAAGACAAGGAGAAATCCCCCACCACCATCCTTCGACTGGCATATGAGGCGAACGATGTATGGGCCCGATGTTTGGATAGTGCATTTGACTTTCGCCTCGAGCATTCTGCAGACTATGGCATCCTTGCCGAGCTAGTTGAAGATGGCGTTCTTATCGACTCGGCGGAATACGTCGACTTGCCTGAATTCTGGACCTCGACAGAGACGCTCATCAAGAGCACCGTCAGCATTGCAGAGCTGTCGCGTCACTTCGCAACCAGCTACTACGACCCGAATACGATGCCCAACGCCAGCGAATCAGCCCAAGACATCGCAATGTTGACTCCCAAACTGGTAGAGCTGTTTTGTCTTCAAGCCAGAGAGTGCGTCAATTGGCACGCCTCGCGACATTCGCAGAAAGAGCAGGTGAAGGCAAAGGAGCTGCAGCGCAAGTTTGACGGACAACGATATGATCTATGCCGCGCACTTGCCGACGTTGGCCAATCTGATCCCGGCATGAAGATTGCAGAGAAGTACAGGGACATGCATACATTGAGCGATATGGTGATCGCTGAAGAGCAGTACTTCTTCGAATCATTGCGGGAAACTGCTCAGGACGCCGCTATTGCAGAGATCCAGAAGTCACAGAGCGAACTTGAAGCTCGAATCCGGAAATACTTCGATCGGTATGGCTCTTCATGGTCGGATACGTTCTTCGACAAGCTCTTCGTGGTCAACGGGGTTGGAGAGAGTCTGGACGAGGCGCAGATGCGGTGGAGGAAGCCATTGACTAAGTACCTACGCGCTCACCCGAGCAGATATAAGATTTGCTGGATCAACGACATTACTAGTGAAGGCGACTTTGCTCACGCTGCGGAGGTCTTAGAACAAAGCGCTGAGCAGCAAGAAAGCCGACTGTGGGCAAAGAAAGTGGAACTGTCCATGTCAAAGCTGGCGTTGTTGGCAGCTGAAGAGGGCGGCGAATCCATAGGCACCTCGAAGCTCGCTTTTGGAGCCAAGAAGCGTCGAACATCGCCAGAGGACGAGCTAACCATTGTCGCCATCCAGGAGAAGGTTTACAAGCATTTCCAGCCTGAGCTGCGAGGCATGATCGACCGGATGGCTGAGATGAACCACTGCATGGAGAATTATGGCAGCCATGTCTCCGAGTACCGGACTCTCCGCGGACTCTTGGAAAACGACTTGCAACTGTTGCTCGCGCACATCGCACTCGACATTGACAAGCTGATCGACGTGCTCACACTCATGGACATGAGGCCGATGGAGCATCCCGACAACCTACAATTTTCTGAATTCTTCCTGGCGCTGCAGGCTCTCGAGGCGGCCGCTGCCGGCATGCCACCGAATCGGTTCGAGATGCTTCTGCAACTGATCTGGAAGCGCTGCTACATCTATGACGATTGGGCAGAGGTCAAACTCGCGAAGGAGAAGTCGGATACTGAGCGTAGGAGCCGCTTGCGACGAACCGCAGCGTGGCAGACGCTCTATTACGCCATGGACTCAGACTACTTCGAGCAACCTGGACGTCACGTACGGATGCTCACCCCCAGTGAATGTCTGGGTTCTGCGTGTCTGCCTCAGGATCTCTCGTACCGCTTCCCGAACGAAGAACTGCTGGATCCCATCTTGCAGGATTGCAAGATCCAAGACGAATTTCTGCAGAGCTACGTTGCCGATCGCAACTTGGATGAAGTCGTCGAGGAGTGCCAGCGAGATGTCCGCAGCATTCTGGAAACCGACGCGGAAGAGCGGGCGATGATTCTGCAGCAGGAACGAGAGTTCGAACAGGCTTCCGTTGATGAGGACGCTGCCGATGGGTTTGTCAATGGGCTCCTGTCGAGAGCGGACAAGGTATTGCACGGTAGCAATGGGCATTTGAGTATGAACGGCATCAGCAAGAAGGACTATGCGGATCATTTTGCAGGAGGTGAGGAGGAGGATGATATGGAGGAGAGTGATGCCGGATTGATGGAGTAAGGGCTACTAGGTACGGACTTTGCTACGATGGACAGAAAAGTGGGGTTTGTGGAACATGGGCTATTATTCACTTCTGGCTTGGAAGCCGGTCGGGCTGTCTGTTTCCTGCTGGTGCCTGTCTTGCAGCGATGACTGATTCCAGACAGAGACCTTAACTGGTGAGAGAGCTTGCCATACCACTACCAGTACTACTTTACGAGAGAGAAAATCCAATCTCTATGGAAAGTGGCCGCGATATCTGCGTGATGGCGGATTGCCTCGCCTATCAAGTGCCGCTCGGCTTGCCGTACTTCATTTTGGCTTACTAATTAGCACAGAATCGTCGAAACAAGTCGGAAGTCCTTCCAGCTTCTTATTTGACCATCGCCCTCGACCCATCTGCGAAAACATACATGCCCAAGAACAACGATAGGAGGAGCATCGACTGACTTTCACAAAACTCCCTTCCTCCATCATGGCCGCACCCAACACAACCGGCACCGGCCAAGTAGACCTCGCCAAACGCACGCCGCGAGACTTCAAAGCCACAGAGAACTCTCGTCCAGACTGGGACCATGAGCGCCCCTTCACCTGGACCAAAACCCGAGAACCCGACTGGAAAATCGGACAAGGAGCCAATCTCGCCCCTGAAAAGAAATCCGAAATCAGACAGATTCCCATCGATCCCTTCGAACCCGGACGCGATCCCGCATACAACTACCGTCTCATCACTTCCGCCGTCATCCCCCGGCCCACAGCGGTAGTCAGTACGATTTCCCAAGACGGGGAGAAGAGCAATCTGGCGCCGTACAGTTTCTTCCAAGCCATGTCACACGACCCGCCCACCTTCGTCGTGGCACACGCGACGAATGCCTCGGGCGCGAAGGATTCCCTGCGGAATCTGCGGGAGACGGGGGAATGCGTGCTCCACGTGCTGACGGAGGAGATTCTGGAAGCGAGCAACGCGTGCGCCATGAACACACCCTACGGCGTCTCCGAATGGTCGCTCTCGGGCCTCACGCCGGCTCCCTGCAAGCACGTCCGGCCCAGTCGCATTGCGGAGGCGGTGTTTGCGGTGGAATGTAAGCTGGTCGCGGAGCATGCGATCTCGAGTCGCAGTCAGGAGGGAAAGGTGAGTAATGTGATTACGATCTTGGAAGGGGTGAGGTTTTGGGTGAGGGAGGATTGTGTGGATGAGGAGAGGAAATATATCGATCCCGCGAAGTCGAAGCCGATTGGGAGGTTGCAGGGGATTTCGTATGGGAGGGTCACGGACGGGTTTCAGATTCCGTGGCCGGATTGGGAGGAAATTAGGGAGGGGGCGGAGGCGGAGGGGAGGGTTAAGGGGAAAGAGGACGGGCAGTAGTATCAGAGAAGGGTAGAGAGGTAGCTAAAGACTCATGCATGCTGAAGTAAGCTGCGGCTTGTCCGTGCCTTAGACACAAGGCAGGCATTGGGGATGAGTTCTATCTACCCTCCCCTTCCTGATAGGATCTCAGCAGAGTAGAAATACCCTACAAGTTGAGTTCTTTCTCGATGGGGGAGATCTAACATCAAGCTCCACCCAATGGTAGATATCCCGGACTCACGTACAGATGATCAAATTTTTCTCCACTTGCTTTGATTTCCGAGCATGCTCTGTCAACGCCAGAAGTCAACGAGGTTCAGTTTCGATGAATCGGGGTTTGGCATCTGGATCTATTCTTTGCGGTTGCCGACGCGGGTTTTCTTCGAATCTCATACGTGATCTTCCAATTACGCAAATTGTGAGAGCTATGAGTGTCCAAGGGAAAGCATTTGATGTCCCTTCTGCAATTTCATGCGTTGCTCCGACGAAAACGGCGATTTGGTTGGGTTGTCGTTGAGAGGCGGAGTGAGTATGTTTGCTCTTCGATGGCTTTGGGGGAGACTGCTATCGCTGCGTGAAATGGAATGCGATGTGGTGAGGGTGCTGGTCGGCAAACTGGGACTGGAGATTTATATGCATGCTGCTGATGGTACACTGTTGGATCCGTCGTACCGTTGCGAAGCTGTCCATTTTGGGAAAGGATTCTTATTATCCTCTTCTATTGATACCTTTGAAGTGTCCGTGGCCTCTGCTGTGTTCTGAGAGTGGTAGGTAGTTGCCCGGCGGAGAAGGCACCATGCGAAAAGACGCGCTGCTCGCAGCCCTGTCCGAATGCCGCTCTCATAGATATATGAAAAATGGGTCGAGATGGTGGCCTGCCAAACGCTCCGCGAGCTCGACTCGCGCGATTCATGACCTGTCCTCCTCCCAATATCAGGAGAAAATCGGTGAGGTGTCTGTGCATATCCATGTCATCGTCCCCGCTCATACTGTACAATATCTTACACTCTGTACAATGTCCTCGCCCACATTCCCTTCCACCACCATCACCCACTCCGAGACCTCATTCTTTCCCCTCATCCCTCCTCCTCCCCGTCCAATAAGCCCAACCACCCGTAACAGCATTAGCCACGCAAAGACCCAACGTCGCACCCCTCACGATCCCCCTCATCCCGAATTTCTTCGTCAAAGGCTGTTTCCTTCTCGCGGCGATGACAAAGTATGCCATACTCCACGCACTCGTCATGCCCGCCGAGTCTTTCTTGAAGCCTTGGACGTTGAGGTAGGAGGAAAAGAGGAGGACGGGCGGAAAGAGCATGGGGAGGGTTTGGAAGGGTCGCATGTGTTGGGCTGTGATGAGCGTCGCGAGGATTGTGGATGGGAGAGGGTTTCCTGGAGGAGAGTAAGCGATGTGTATGTAGAGAGGGAGTAGGCGAATAGGACTTACCACCCCATGCTTTTGCGTACTGGAAGATGCCTTGTTTCGCCTCTTCGGCGTCGGGTGCTTTGCTGGGCATTGGCATCTTGAAGGCAGTACTTTTTCAGGATTGAACGGTATCTTTGGAGTATGAGGCCAGCTTGTCGAGATATATGAACGTGAATTGGTGAGCATAAAAGTGTGTTGCGGAATGACAAGAAGGAGCATCGAGCATCGAGAGGTAAGTGAATGACCATTAGCTTGCGCACAGACGCCGTCATGCAAGTCGGGTGTGGGCAAGCGGGCGCATCTCGAGTCGTGAAAATAATAATAACATAACTCGACCCGTGTAAATAATCACATAATCCGCTCTCCGTCTTTGTCTGGGCACGACGATTGCAACACTCGGACGGCGCACTTCTATTCCATTCACCTACACCTGCGCACAAACCGCCGACTCCCGACCCTCCACCCTGCTCCCCGCGCATCGCCGTGAACGACAAAGGACACACGACACTTCGCCAATCTCATATCGCCACGAGAGACACCCGCCAGCTCATCCATCCACCTCGATCTAGACCTCCTCGACGAGGGCGCGGACTACCATGTCCGAGAAGAAAGCCCAAGCGAATGGCTCGACACATCATAAGCACGACGACGGTTCTTCATCACGCGCCTTCACCGTCGAGCAGAAGGCGGCCGTCGTAAGGGTGCGCAAGTGCAAACCTACCGCGTTCTACGACATCTTGGGTCTGGAGGAAGTGAGGGCGACGTGTAGCGACGTGGAGATCAAGAAGGCCTACAGAAAGCTGAGCCTGCTGACGCATCCGGATAAGAATGGATATCCGGGTGCTGATGAGGCCTTCAAAAGTAAGGATACCTGTACAAGAGCGAGGAAACTGTGGAATGGCCATACTGACATGTCGTGATCAACAGTGATCGCACACGCCTTTCAGATCCTGAGCGATGGCGACAAAAAGGCCAAGTACGACAAGTTCGGCGGCGACCCCGATAACCGCTTCGCTTCTGCCTCAGCGTCAGGCGCCTCTCCCTTCTCCGGTTTTGCATCGCAAAGAGGCCCAGGTGGACGTGCGGGGCCCATGTTCGAGGACGAGATATCACCCGAAGAGCTCTTCCGACAATTCTTCGGCGGTGGAAGGGGTGGCCCGTTTGGCGGCGGCATGGGAGGTTTCGGCGGGCCTGGATTCGTCTTCAACATGGGCGGAGGGCCGGGAATACGGGTACAGCAATTCGGAGGCGATCGACCACGGAGAAGACCACACAACCACGAGAATGCGCAACCGGCTTCCTTCCTGCAGGCGATACAAGGCATCCTACCGCTACTGCTGTTGTTCCTACTACCCCTACTATCTTCCATCTTCTCCGGATCATCGGGCTCGACTGGTCCCTCGATGCGTTTCGATGCGGCTGTACCTCCTCACACGCAACAACACACCTCGAATCGCCTGCATATACCCTACTGGGTCAACCCCCTCGACGTGAAGGACTATTCGAAATCACAATGGAAACAGCTGGATAAAATGGCCGAGGGCAAACGCGTGGGACAATTATCCGGCGAGTGTGAATGGGAACAGTCGCAAAGACAGCGGTTAGCGCAAGAGGCGCAGGGATTCTTCTTTACCGACCAGGTGAAGCTGGAGCAGGCAAGGAGAATGGAGATGCCGAGTTGTCGAAAGCTGGAGACTTTGGGTTACAGGGTACCGTATTGATCTGACGAGCATAGTACAGAGTTCGGATCTTGTAGAAGCGAATGCGTTGCCTTTTGCCGTCGGTCCCTTCTTCTCGAGGAGCATTACGGACGATCACGAGTGTTGAAGCTTTCCTCGCTATCTGGGAGGAACATGCGCGCGAAGAACGACAGCCACACACTTGAACATGCGCACCGCCAGTCGACTTTTTGCACGTGACGCTGCAAGATGCATCTGCATGCGCACACGCACGCGCACCTTCCCGAATGATTCTAGCGGCACGGTGTCCACAACTCGTATCTGTGGTATCGCGCGCTTCGTTCCACCGCACATCATCACGAGGCCATATCTCGTCTGGAAAAGCAAGCAAACTCTCTGAAACTCCGTGCGGCACCACACCACCTTCACAATGCAGGAGATATCCGACCAACCACGCTTCCGCCATGCTTTCACAAGCCGCTTGGCAAGACGGGTACACACCAGCGCCAAAACTGGAAAGATACCGGTCCTGCTCGTTGGACCACATGGAAGCTAGCAGGGGCGCCCTATCGCGACGTGACGGGCGCAACGTCGCCTGCGTGCTGTCCATATAATAATATAATGGATGAGTTCCTGCAGGAGAGCACTCAGGCGGAGTTTCTGCCACTATGCGCGTTCACCGTTCCTTCACAGCCTTGCTGGCGTTCGTTCCTTTAACCACTGCGCGAGCTGTTCTTCCAGAGAACCATGTCGTTCACGAGAAGAGAGATCTCTCTGCTCCCACCTCGTCGGCGAAGAGAAGTCGTCTGGATGGGAAAACTGACTTGCCCATGAGAATTGGCCTAAAACAAAGCAATCTGGACAAAGCTCACGACTGGCTGAATGAGGTTTCTCATCCAACTTCTTCCAATTACGGTCGTCACTGGACACAGGAACAGGTCATCGAGGCTTTCCAGCCTTCCAACGAAACCTTATCCGCGGTCCTAGAATGGCTCACGTCCTCCGGTATCTCCAAATCACGCATCAAACATACTGAAAACAAACAGTGGCTAGCTTTCGATGCTACGGTCCAAGAAGCTGAGAACCTTCTCCATACTACCTATCACGAATACGAACTTGACCAGGAGGGACATTCCATGATTGGGTGTGAGCAATATCATGTCCCGAAGCATTTGAGTAAACATGTGGATTTTATTACGCCGGGGGTGAAGCGGTCTCAGATGAGGAAGAGAGGGTTTGGGAAGCCGGGGCTCGGGAGACCGTTTGGATGGAAGAAACCTTTTCAGCACCCTGCGCCGGATATGGTTCATGATTATAATGAGTTGGAGACCTGTGATGTGGCTATTACGCCTGGTATGTATGGGGATTTTTGTCGCGTTGCATGGTGCTGATGATTGGTATAGCCTGTCTTCAAGCCCTCTATCACTTCACACCTCCGAATTCGCAAGCTCAAGTCAGCCCCAATAATTCCATGGGCATCTTTGAAGAGGGCGACTACTATTCTCAAAAGGACCTGAATCTCTTCTATTCCAATTTCACGCGCTACATTCCCAACGGAACGCATCCAATTCTGGATTCCATCGATGGCGGACAAGCTCCCGTGACAGTCGCCGATGCCGGTGGAGAAAGCGATCTGGACTTCGAATTGGCGATTCCGATTATTTATCCGCAGACGACGACTTTGTACCAGACGGACGACCCGTACTATGCCCAAGGGTATAGCGAGAGCGCAACGGGAATCTTCAACACGTTTCTGGACGCGATTGACGGGAGTTATTGCACCTATTCTGCGTATGGCGAAACGGGCAACGATCCGGTCTTGGACCCGACATATCCTGATCCGAATGGATATAATGGCACTCTGATGTGTGGCGTGTCAGTCTCCCTCCCTTTCCTCCCATCTTCCTCCGTCCCCAACTGACACTTTCCCACCCAAGCTACAAACCCACAAACGTCATTTCCATCTCCTACGGCGAACAAGAAGCCGACCTCCCGGCCTACTACCAACGCCGCCAATGCCACGAATTCCTCAAACTCGGCCTTCAGGGCGTCTCCATCTTCGTCGCTTCAGGAGATACAGGTGTAGGCGGCTACGCCGGTTCCCCAACACCAAACGGCTGTCTCAGAAACGGAACCGTCTTCTCCCCTACACAGCCCAATTCCTGCCCTTACCTCACCAACGTCGGCGCCACAAAAGTATTCCCCGGCAAGAGCGTCCACGACCTGGAATCCGCCGTCGATGATCCCGCTGGCCATCCTTACAGCAGCGCATTCTATTCCGGCGGAGGGTTCTCCAACATCTTTGCGATTCCGGATTACCAGACTGCGGCGATCGCCGCGTACTACGCCACTTCCAACCCGCCGTATCCGTACTACTACGACGGCGACTACCTCAACAGCAGCAGCGGCGGGGTCTACAACCGCAACGGCCGCGGGATTCCCGATGTCGCCGCCAACGGGGATAATATCGCCGTCTACGTCCAGGGGAACTATTCCCTCAGCGGCGGGACCAGCGCTAGTTCTCCCATCTTCGCTGCTCTGGTGAATCGGATCGTAGAAGAGAGGATTCGAGTGGGCAAGGGGCCCGTGGGCTTCATTAATCCTGTGTTGTATGAGCATCCAGGTGTCTTGAACGATATCGTGAATGGGAGTAATCCGGGGTGTGGCACGGAAGGGTTTAGGTGTGCGAAGGGATGGGTGAGTTCTCCTTTTTCATTTTTTCCTTCTTGAATTGTAGGGGTTCTAGGAAAGACTGAATTTTATCTTGATGCTGACTTTGATTCTTCTTCTGCTTAGGATCCTGTAACGGGATTGGGAACGCCGAATTATCCCAAGATGCTGGACTTGTTCTTGAGTTTGCCTTGAGCAGGGCACGGACGGGAATCAGAGAGGTTTACCTTGGCTGGACTACTCTCTCTCTGTCTTGTACCCGCTTGGCAAGCAGCCTGGCCTTGCCGGGTGAGTGCATGCCATGGGAAGGGGGACATCGAAGCCGCAGAACGAAGAGCAAGCTTGCAGACGAATGGATGAAATTCCTCGACCTACCAACTCGTCAAGTCTACAGTGACTTAGCTCTTCTGCTCTTGAGCATTTCCGGCTATGATCCCTGCCAGCGACGCTCTCCAGCACGAAAGTAGCGTCTGCCGATGCTCATCGCCTCTGCGATTTGAGCGCGGGATGGTCTGGAAGCAAATAGACTCTGTACATACCTATATGCCCTGCTCACCACATCCAAGCCATAATGTGCCTTCCTCTAAGCCAAGAGTCGCAGTCGATAACGCGTTTGAGGCCTGAGCGAATATGTTTATGGCCATCGGGACGTCTGCAAGCCATTCTGACCTTCGCCGCAGTGGCGACATAGTCATGCTCAGTTCGCAATCGACTTTCAGGCGAGGGCGCAGGACAAAAGCGGCGACCTGCTGCAAAAAGTGCGCTTCAATGACTGGGTCTGGAGCGCTGCTCAATCTTCGTCGGCAGCATCTTCCACCCGAGCCTGATTAGGTCTCTGTTCGAGCTCGGGCATATCGTCAGAGCCATCTTCTGGTGCAAGGCCGTAACGGTTCAGTAGCTCAGTCCCCACGCCACCAGCACCAAAAAGTTGATCTTGAAGCTGTATGAGGCGTTGCGTCCGCTGATCGAACTCCTGCCTCGAAACACCCGCCTCTTCAACCTGCTGCATCAACGTTTCATGGTCTGCTGGCGGTCGTTCGCGCTGGTCTCCGGCTCCATCAGTCTCCTCATCTTCGTTCCTTGCAGGCTGTGCTGGACTCCTGAACCAAGGGAACAGCTCTGCGAAGAACTGGTGAAGACTCTGAAACTCGCGAACACTCTCCTCGACCTGCTGCAGCCCAGCGATCCCGCCACTGGCTCGGGCATTTCCAGATTGGCGTTGCACGTCGGCGGGATAGGCGTCTTCGGGTGGAAGAGGATCCGACGCGCTGTCCATCTGTTGGGTGAACTTGCGTGGAATAAGGGCGATAAGTGCCGGTGTGTCTGACAGAAGAACGTGTCTGGCTTCGTTACGTGTGACTTCGTCGGCGTCAATGGCAGCTGCAGGCGTGTCAGACGGCAGCGCGCTTGCAATCTCAATCAGAAGGCTTGTATTCTCGGGTGTGTTCCACAGGTCTTTTGCTCGAGTCGCGTAAAGCTCCGCATAGAGCTTCTCTTTCGACGAACGAGGTTCCTTGCCCCAGATCGCAGGCGGAGGATCCAAATTAAGCTCTTGCATGAGTCTCGCAATAACCCAAGGGAATCGGCCGATGGAAGTAAAGAGCGCTTGCTTTCCCTTACCCTTATTGCCGGCACGGTATTCAGCCAGGCCCTGACTGAGCTGTACATTGGGCATGGCGCGGTGAACTTCTTTGAGAGTTGCATTCCTGCTAAGATTGAGGAAGTCCAGATCTTGCCGCGATCGAAGCGCGTACTGGTCGAGGACCAGCCACATGGCGTAAGGATCCTCCTCGGGAGATAACGAAAGCAGAAGCTTGGCCCATTCATATACTGTTCTCCAGGTGGCTCGCATTGTGAGATTCTGCATGTATCGCCAGCTCGCCAGCCAGAACTCTCGATTCTCAGCCCGTCTAAAGTCGAGTCTGGCTTTTCCTTCCGCGAGGTTCCTCGAAAAGGTGCTGTGTACCGCTCGGCCAAATGAAAATAGAGCGCGCTCCAACAAGTCCCCAGACGTTGTGTGATTTCTTTCCTGCTTCGCGATTTCGGAAACTTGAAGCAGCGTTGAGATGTGGTACGGGTTCATCTGGCACAGAGCAACAAGCCTATTAGGGTCCATGGAAGCAACACAGGTCTCGAACTGTGACTGCACATCTTGATATGCCATGTTGTGCACGAATCGATATAGTACCGTGCCGTCCGCTCGCTTCTCTTCCACTTCCATGCCAAGACCACCTCCAGTCGCATTCGGCCACTCCTCTTTTCCTTGAATGAAGATGTTGCGTCGTAGAGCCATGGCCGCCAGACCAGTTCGACCTCCTTGTCGCTGACCGCGAAGAGCCTGTGCGAGGCCAACCTGCTGCACTCGTCGCTGTTGTCTTCGATTCCCGCCAAGTGCTTCCGGTGGAGGTTGTTGCTCCTCATCGTCCTGCTGAAGTGCAGCACGACCAAACAACCGTCGCATTTCATTCTGCGCATGGAGGTGGTTCGAGTCGACAGCAAGCAGACGAGATGCCTCATCTACGTGAGAATCAACACCCGCTGCCGTGGTCGCGGAGGAAGAGCCATTGCCATTTGTTGACAGTTGCTTGAGCGCGGCATCAATCTCGTCCAGCTCCTCTGTCTTCTCAACAGCCTCCGTTGTAGCTGCCTTTGCTTTCTTCTTCTTTTTCTTCTTCTTTGACGAAGCTTTAGGTGCCGCAGGCTCCAGAGGCTCTTCGTTCGGTGTTGAATGGTCTTCATCTGCTGGCTCTTCCACGTCGCCATCTTCCTGCTCTTGCAGCATTGCAAACGCGCTCTTCTTCGCGGACCTTAAAGATAGCTCCTCCTCGCTTTCATCTCCTTCCAGTGCACGTGCATCTTCCTGAAGTTGCTTTAGCCGCTCCTGTTCTTCCTTCTCGCGTTGCGCCTTGCGTAGCGCACGAGATGACATTCCGCAGGTCGCTAGGTGATCAGGGGCGATCGCAAGTCTCTCAGAGCGATTGCAATGGTTCGGGTTAGGAGAGATTAGGAGAATGTATTTAGAGACTGGAGTGGAACTGGACCGAGATGTATAGCGAAGGAAGAAGCGCATCCATGGATGTTAACTGATTGTTCACTGCGTCATACTTTTGTGGTGACAATGATGCCTCAGGCATCAACTCCACGGCAGTGCAATCGCCTTTGCATGTGGCACTCTGGATATCTAATCTTGATCACTCATAAACTCAATAAATCAAGGGTATCACTGCTCTCGCCTCCTTTTCCCCCTCACATGCGCCTTCTCCCCATCAGGCAGACATTTGCACATGGCGATGGCACTTGTCGGCCAGTGAAGTAGTAGATCGCAACTCCAGCAATGGTACACATTGCAATCGTGGTGCCATTGGTGGCGAATAGAGCCTTAAGGAAGCTTTCTGGCTTTTGCATTTCCCCCCTGATGTCGAAGTGTGAGCGAAATCCATGTTCTTCGCTCGAGGGGCATGACGTCCACATCGACATTGGACCAAGAATTCTCGTCCCCAAAGGAAGAAGATTATCGAGGGAGGGTGCATCCTGCTTTGCTCTTCTTGCTCTTGAGGTTGCATTTGGTCGCTTCGAGCCTCTGGCGGAGGACGGTCGACATCTTCGACTTGAGGCCAGTGCTGGCGGTGTTGGATTGATTCCACCGGCTTAAAATGGTTGTTCTCGGATGCTGTACTTCTGTCAAATGTTGTCAAAGAACGTATCTTGTCATTGTTGCGTGGTAATTGGGGTCGACAGCCACGAGGTTTTCCCGCAGAAATACTTTCGGCAGGGGTCTGTCTTATCATGCAGGCACCCGGCTGCCAGCCACAGAGCAGCGGCGAATCCTTGCTGTGGTTTCGCCCACGGCCACTGATGGCGACTGTGGGCGAGTTCGTTGATAGCGATAGGCAAAATCCACCCTACGGCACTGGAAGAGTGTTCCTATGCTCTGAATAGTTAGAGTTCAGCCTTAACGGATGGTATGTTTGGCTGTCAGTAGGAAGCAACCGAGCATCAATGGCACAGGTACGCAAGCATGGGTCGAGTAGGCATTCTGCTGATCTGTTGTATAGTTTACCTCTTTCTCGGGCCGGACACGGCATTTAGCTGGCAACAATGCTCGCAATGCGGAGTTCAACGAGATCCCGACGATATCGCTTGCTGCATCTGAAGAAGACATCATCGCCCAGCTGCGGGACGCTTGTACACGGGTCGGTTTCTTCTACGTGAAGGCGAGTCTAGTCCATGTCTCCAGCACAACCAAGACGCTGATTGATGTGCCCCGCAGGATCATGGTGTGTCCCCGAAAGTGATAGATGGGATTTTCCAAACAGCCAAAGACTTTTTCGACCAGTCTCTCGAGACAAAGGCAGAAATCCACCACAAGAAGTCAAAAATTCTGCGAGGTTATGAGCCAATGGCCGAGGTTCGCACAGATAAGTCGAAGCGAGCAGACTTGAACGAGGCGTTTATTTGCGGCTACGAGCCGGACTTGGATCCAGATTTCGACGAGACAGCTCCCGTGAGCAAGAACGGTAGGTGAAAGGCTTACAGTTCAGCCAGACGTCACTGCGCTGACACTGACAAGATGTCGCTACCCCTATGCAAGGCCCAAATGCGTGGCCATCGATGGAAGGTTTCCAAGCTGGAGTCTCTGCCTATTATGGAGAAGTTTTGAGGCTCGCCCGTCGAATGGTCAGACTATTCGCCAAAGTTCTGGATCTGCCTGAAGAATTCTTCGACTCCACAGTAGTACATCCCGGTGCAATGCTGAGGCTGCTCAAGTACCCGGCGCAGGATCCAGACCAGCCAGACGCACTCGGCATAGGTGCGCATACCGACATCGAGGCCTTCACCATACTCTGTCAAGGAGCTCAGCCTGCACTGCAGATCTTGAACGTGGACGGCCAGTGGATCCAAGCGCCCCCGGTACCTGGAACATTCGTGGTCAATATTGGAGACATGCTAGCACGGTGGTCAAATGATGTGTTCATTTCAACCGTTCATCGAGTACACAACGGGACGGGCTGTGAAAGGTTCAGCATTCCATTTTTCTTCGGCCCATCCTACGATACGGTCCTCAATCCTCTTTCAACGTGCGTTCCGGAAGGGGAGAAGGCAGGATATGAGCCGATAGTGGCAGGCGAGTACGTCTGGCAACGGCTTGCTCGAAGTAGGCTAAGCAAGCAGGGGGCGGAGAGCAAATCGTTTCTGCAAAGCTCAGCAGTGGCATGACCAAGATCAATCGAGCAGAAATCGATATAGACAGCCGATAAGCCTTCAATCTAGGACTCTAGTTCTTCTCCTTCGTCTTCTCCTTCGATCTGGTGAGTGTCTCAATTCGGCCTGCGTCCAGTCGCGTGGACTGCTGATTAGAGAGCATCCGGGAGGTTTGCGTGCAAGATAGCGCGATTGAGTTGATGCCACGGCGCAGACTGATGGCCGTGCCGACGGTGAGGTGGTCTTGATGCCGATGACGATTTTGAAGGATGTGAGGTTGAGGGATCGACATGTGACAGTCCCTGACAACCGGCCGTCGGCCCGTGCCCGTGCCCGTGCCCTTGAGAAGACCCTGGACGCGGTGCCAGCTTCTACGTGTCGGTCTAACACCAGAACAGATCTGCCGTTTGGTGTGACGCTGATAGGAGCTTCTGGCACAGACGGAAAGATATTCGATGTAGCTAGAGAGTTTGAGCGCACCAATTAAGCCTCTTTGAATCATTAGGCAGAAGCACAACATAGCCACCACAGCAAAGCAGCACGTTCGTAAGTTTTCAAACTTCGGTAGCATTTCCCGTCTCATCTGTTCTACAAAAGCCACTTCAATCCCGGAGGAACCCGTGGCTCTCATTCCATCATCACTAAGCACTGGCTCAACGCTCCGTGCCTTGCGCATCTTACAGTTCTGAACGAAAGCATCCCACTACTCCGTTGTATCACGACCCTGTCCTGGTATGACAAGCATCCAAGCGCCATTAACACCGCCCTTCCTGATTGAACCTATATCTCGTGCCTCACGAACCCCTCCATGCCTTCTTGGAAAGGCTCGACGCTTTCGCCGACTGCACCATCACCCACGCTCATCGAAAGCTTCTCGCCAGAGGGCACCGAAATTTTCATGCCTGCCAGTTTTGCCTCGGTCTCGCGCACTCGCCGACGGAATTGAAGTCGATCCAAGAAGAGCCGCTGGCGCATGCGCTCGACTTCGCGACGCTCTGCCTGCAGGAGAGCTTCCATCTCGCTGAACTGCTGCAATTTCAATTCGAGCTTCTGGAGTTGCAAGTTGACGGCAGCCGAGACTTGGTTTGTCAATTGACGCTCAGTGTGCGAGGCAAGCGCAGCCGCACGGGCTGCGGTCAGTGACAGCGCGGTTGTCGGGAGATCGTTTGCTGCTGGTGGCTCTCGTGTGGCAAGCGAAGTGGTGTCGTCGACGTCCATGCTCTCGCCTTGTTCCTCGTCCTTGACTGGCTCCGGCTGCGCAGATGTGTCCTTATCTTTCTCATTGTCTTTCTCAGCGCCTGGCTCGGTCTCCTTCTCAATGCGCTGCTTGAGTGTCCTCCGCATCTCCTCCACACTCTTTCCAGCAGCCTTCGCGGTGGTCGCCGGGTCTGCAAGGCCAGCCAGGAAGCCCATGACTGACATCACGGGATTATCGAATTGGCTGAATGGAAGTCGTCCGGCAGAGAGAAAGGCAAGGTCTGGTGCAGCTCCTGTGCTTCCAACTGCGGCTGGAACTTCGTCGAGGTACTTGTCCTCAATCTCCAACTGCAAAAACTTCATCACACACTCCTCTCGGGTCCTCGAGCCGACATGATCGGCAACTTGTTCCCAATTGTCATCGAACATTTCCAGACCTTCCAGAAGAAGTAGCAGCTCAGAATCGCTCCAAGGGTTCTCCTTATCGCCGAGGCTCTTGTACGAGTCGTTCTCGAGTTTGACGTAGTCAGCAGTAGTGGTGGAGCTGGGGAATCGGCCTTCCTGGAAACACAAGCTACAAAGGTCATATCTTTGCTCCTTGTTCGGTTTTGGTGTTGCAGCGCTCGTAGGCGGGTTCTTCGAATTGTGATATCGCACGCGGGTGCAGTCTTTCCCGCAAGAATAGCAGAAGTACTGCTTGCTGTCCTGCTTCAGGCTCTCCTCCAAAGTCTTCGCGGCATCTCCATTTGACTCTTCGCCCTCGATTTTCGAGGGAGTCACTTCCTTGCCCTTGTCGTCGTAGATATTCCTTCGCACTTCCAAGTTCAGATCGGCTTTACCCGCTGAAGCCAATCTTTCAGTTCCGGCGTGAGCCTTCCCAGCTGTGACGCTGCTGCCAGCTGCAGGTTGATGTGGCTGGAGGCCACGGGGAGTATCCGCCGTAATACGGAAATGACCCGTGAACGGGGGCCCGATATTAGACGGTCTGGTGTCTGGATCAATCTACGAAAAGTGTTAGCTAGTGATCCAGTCACGAACGCGCAAACACCTTACCTGGTAGTTGATGAGGCCCCATTGCTCGAGGAACGCATGCACTCTCATGATTGCACAGACATCACCAGCCAGGTTTCTCCTGCACGCTGTGACTGTGAGGTACTCGGCCGGGTTCAATCTATATGTGTTCACCATGAAGTCCCTATAGTCCTTGTACACTGCTGGCGTCTTGCTCCTGTTTCGGTTGTTGAAGAACTCGGGCAACGCTTTCCTCTCCAAGTTATGGATCTGGTGCATGTCGAACCAAGCTGAGTATGAGGGCAAGATGATTGCGTGGTTTTGGTCAATCAAGTGCGAGCGGGCAGACTGCTCAGCAGCAGTCTTGGTGACTGCGGGCGCTGGGTCGGCAGCTGGAGTTCCATCCTTGGTGTCACCCATTTCCTCGTCCTCTCCGCCCTCCTCTGCATTTTCTGGTACAGGCGCTTCTGGGGCGTCGAGTGGGTTGTCTGATACCGGCGCGGCGCCAGTATCGATCGGTTGCTGCTTGACGGTCGCATCGTCCGCGCCCTCAACCATGGACGTGTCCTGATGCGCCTCCTGCTTTGCTTCGGTCGCCTCGTTTTCTGCCTGGATCATCTCGTCCGATGCTTCACCCGGCGCGCGCGCATCCTCGTCCGCGAAAGCGGTGTTAGTATCCATGCTTCTCGCGTGCCGCGCCCAATCTCAATCCCACAATAACACGAGTCCTCCCGTCACGCTGCTCGTCGCGCGCAGCTACCAGAGTGTTTTCCAAGTCGCGAGCGTCGATTGAAGAGAGCGAAGGCGTTTTCGGAGAAGACAATGGCTGTGTTCGCGGGTCGTGATGTTTTGGTTGCGCCGGTGACGGGACAGCAAGAGGTACGACTTGCGAGACGCGAAGCCGGCAAATTTTCGGCCGATCGATGTGTGTGCCTCAGGCATGAAATCGCGCCGAAGGAGCAGTTGACATAAGGTTCAGAAGCAGTCAAGGGAAAAGGTAGGAGAGCCCATTTTCACACGATAATAGATTGCTTCTATCGACGATGGAGAACACAGCGAGAGCTATCTCTTCTTTCCTCCGCCCCCAGATGAGCTGCCCTCTCCCGCGGCTGGTGTAGAAGAGCGGCCAGCAAGGAAGCCCGCGAGATCGAAATTCTGCAGCGAATTCGAGGCGCCTGATCCCGTGAGCGGAGACTTCTTCTGCATCTCCTCAAACTCAGCCTTGGCTTCAGGATCCACTGCAATGTATTAGCTTCGTCCATGTAAGTGCAAATACCCGAGGCGTATAACATACTGTTATCCATGATATACGGCATGCCGAATATCAAGGCGACTGAAACCAGGGCCATCAAAATCATTGGGCTCTTCAAAAAGCTCAGTATACTGAAGCCTCCTCTGACTTGGTAGAAGTCTTTCTTGCCGCTTGGCCTTATTTGTACACTGAGCTCATCCTTCCCTGAGCCATACGACGGGCCCTTGTTGTTCCATTCGTTCCCTCTGAATGTCTGCCATGCATCGATTGTCTGCGCACCTTCGCCCTCAGTCCTGTTGATGTCCACTCGGAGAGGAGGAAAGAAGTAATCGCGAGAATGCACGGTGAGCAAGTAGCTCGCTTCCGGCAGATTGGAGAACACGAGGCTATTGTCTCTGCGCAGGGACGTATCGTATCGCACGCCCGGAGGACCGAGTAGTACAGCGTGGGTAGAGGCTGGAAGTTCGGACGGGTTTGGTAAGAGGTTGGAGCCTGGTATCGAGATCGTCAGGCGCGCAGCGAATGTCAGTGCCGTACAGGCGAGTAGCAGAGCGGGCTTCAGTGTTGGCATGATTGCGCGTTTCTCATCGAAAAGAAGGGATCGGGCGATGGGGTGGACACAGCTGCAGTCTCAACAACGTTGCTGAGATGCTGGAGCTCTGCATGTGAACGCCGCGGAACGGTCCGTTGTGCCTGAGGCAGGAGTGCCCCGAACTCCCAGCTCGATTGGTTTCAGGGGTAAGCCTCAACGACAGAGCATCAGGTTGTCCAACACATCGCCCCGGCTACACTGCTCTAGAGCTTGAGCTCACCTTTTATGCCTTTCCTGTTCCGATGTTGCACTGCAGATTCTGTCAACCCGCATGCTGATGAAAGCTGATTGAATGGCTCAGCAACCGCCACGATCACGATGCCTTTCATCCTCCGGTGAGCTCTGCAGCCTGGAGCTCTTCAGCCCGCCTGATCACGGCGCGGTAGAATGAGGCTTCACAGTTCAGGCTTCGCCTGGTAAGTACAAATACCACTTCCCTCCTCTGCTCATCATCTTCCTTCCGTCTCACCTGCCAGCTTCTTCAGCAATGGCATCAATCAACAGCGAAGGCTCTTCCTATCAAGACATTGATGATATTGGCGATCAGATTGATGACAATGAGGAGAGCCTTGATCTTGGGAAGGATGCCAAGGTGAAGAAGCTATACAGGAACAAGCGCAACAAATGGGTCGATGAGTCGCCGAAGGAAGAGAAGGTCCAGAAGGCCGTTCGTCTTGCAGCAAACTCCAACTACGCCATCATCACTCGCCACTACGTCGAGGACGAGGAGCTCTGTCTCGACTCTATTGTCGTGCAGAATGCTGCTCTCATGGAGCTTCTTGGTTGTGTGTTTGAGGACTATCCCGCCTTAGAGGCAGCTTTCAAATCCAAGCGACTGATCTTCGAGGCCCCTTTCCGTGATTTCTTCTATCGTTGGGAAGAGTACGAAGACCTGCTCCGATCGGAATGGGATGGCGATGCCAAGGAGTACCTGCAGCTCTTCGACAGTATCATTCGCCCCGAAGTCGGTCCCCACGTTCAAGAGCATAAAGACATCTTGGAGACTGGTGTAGCGCGGTTCGATGATGCTTGGACTCTGTTCTATCCAGGAGCGGAAGTCTACACGAATTACGATGGCCACGAGAGAATCTACCAATTCGAGAGTGTATCTCGCCCAACGTGGCCAAGCCTCAGCATTGATTGTAAATACATCACCTGGTGTGCCCGGGGTTTTCGGTGGCAACGTCAGCTTCTCACCATCTTCTCGTACGACGGCTGCAAAGCAATCACCGATCTGTCTGTGTTTCCCCTTGCACTTCATCCTCACGCATCGAGCCTCTCAGAGAGGCTTTCGGAGCGTGGCCGTCGGTTCGAAGAGCTCAGTGGTATCCATTACAAGTCGTACAATGGTCTTTGGACGCCCCGTGACCCCATTGGCTGGGGTGCGTCCAAGAACTTAGACAACGGACGCATCTTAATCGACTCCCAAGCGGCTGATTCCTCACTGTCAGGAATGGAAAGCCTGAATCCTCCTCCAGTGGAGGATCCGTTTGCTGGCTTTGGGTTGGAACCTCATGGGTTTCCGCGGCCGAAGACCAAAAAGGGCAAAACGTCTAGGAAGTATCGAAGGTCACCTACGAAGGATGTCCCACCACGTAACCCCTTCGACTGGGCTTTCGCTCTCGATCCTGATGAAGTTCCTGTGCTTGCGCCCTTCTACCGATTCTGTCGTCCTACCGTGCGTGGGGTTTGTCTTACCACGAAGCAATGGGGCACGTTAGCATCACCTCTTTGCATCACTCCTCCGCTAATCGAGACCTAGGTGACTTTAATGTCGACAACGTCTCGGAAATCGAATTCAACCCCGCGACGTTCCAGCGGCTCGTTCTACCTTCTGACCACAAAGACCTCATTCTTGCCTTCGTAACCTCCCAGATGGAAAGCCTAGATTCGTTCGACGACATCGTCGATGGAAAAGGTAGTAGCCCCCGCATGTCATTCGTTCCCTCTGTAACTGTACTAATGAGACCACCAGGACGTGGTATAACTATCCTGCTCAAAGGCGAGCCCGGCGTCGGCAAAACGTTAACTGCAGAAGCTGGTCAGTGACGATTTGTTTATGTTACGTGCTATGGTGACTTTCTGACATCGTTCCAGTTGCTGAGGAAGTAGAGAAGCCGTTATATACTCTCAGCGCTGGAGATCTGGGACATGATGCCTCCTCTGTCGAGGCGAACCTGGAGAGCATGCTTGATCTGTGCGCCCGATGGAGAGCGATTTTGCTGGTAGACGAGTGCGACGTCTTCCTTGAGCAACGAGCTGCGACAGACATCGACCGCAATAAGCTCGTAGCCGGTATGTTGGATGACCACCAGAAACCAGAGACATTCGTACTAATCGTGCGACAGTATTCTTGCGGCTGCTGGAATACTACAAAGGCGTCATCTTCCTCACAACGAACCGCGGTGGCATGATCGACCGAGCCTTCCAATCCAGAATCGCACTCGTGATCCAGTACCCTGTCTTGGACTTCTACGCCAAGAAGCACATCTGGGAGACCTTCGTTAGACCCTCTGTGGATTTCCCTCAAAATGACAGCGATCTCACCGACGCCGATATTGAGTCTCTTGCTAAGCTCGACATCAATGGCAGAGAGATCAAGAATCTCGTGAAGACTGGCAGACTACTTGCAAGAAAGAAGCAGGGAAGGCACCTTAGCATGGGTCATATTCGGACGGTTCTTCGTGTGCAGGATATGCTTACGAGGGACACGAGCAATGCGCAAGGAGATGCATGAGCGACGCGAGCAGTTTACAAAATCACGAAACGGCTTGTACTTTGGATTGGATAATGGAAGGAATGATTCCGGCTGAGACGATTGATGAAGAAGGTATGGGCGAGTGCTTTGGTCCATTGAGAATGCGCTATCACATTTTCATGCATTGTTCCGGTTGAAAGTGACCCCAAAGTGCTTCCACTGTCCAACGTGATAAACCGGGTAAACGTAGGCCGGGCGCTCGGGCCACCGGCCTTTCGGGTGAAGTTAAATCTCCTATTGACCCTTCTGTGCATCTGAAAGCTTCGACAAGTATTCATCGAAATTCGCAAAATGCCACCGGAACACCATCAGCAATAATTTATTACGAAATATCGTGTGCACACTCGACTGTACGATGGAGCGGATAGTTGACCGTTCGGAGCTTCTTCCATCGGACGACGAGCCGCCGTCCTCACCAGATATCGAAGATGTCCGGGGCCTGGAGGAATTCGAATTCGTGCGACGCAATGAACCCAATGTTGGTAATGAAAACGTCGCCGAAGATGACGAAGAAATGGATTTCTACCTCTTCGCGCCTTCCGAAAGTAATCCACAGGAGGCCACCTCGGTTGCTAAGATTCGGGTGAACACGCCTCCTTTGGCCGAGCAAGATGCAGGCTTCATAAGGAGCCGAGACCAAGGCTATTACTTTACTCAGCCAGCAAGCGCCGAGCAGCAGAGAGAATTCGAGGTAGCTGCTATGACTGGCGAGCAAGTGCTGTCCCACGCCCGGAGTATCTGGCCAGGCTGTGCTTACGGCTGGAAAGTCCTTCACGTGCATGATACCAAACGGCAGCGCCTTCTTTTATCTGGCTCCGAATCTCTCCAGTCCAAGCTTGCTGGCGGCAACATTCTGACAAAACGAAAAAGGCCTGGCAAGAAGGCTCGGGTGAGAGTGCGGACCAAGGCTGCCGCAACGACAGCTCGAGAAGAGCAGAACCAACGGGACGCCGAGGCAAAAGAGGCCGCCGAGCAGGAAAAGCGTATTCGGCGCAACCGCGAGAAGAAGGTGAAGAAGAAGCAGCGCGACAAAGCCAAGAAGGCGGCGGCGGCGGCCGTCGAGGATGGGGCTTCATCCAACGGCTGATTCTCAAGACTTCTTTCTTGGTCGGGGAGATTCCCCTTCTACGAGAATATGCAAATTCCGCTTTACGACGAGAGCGCACTCCGAGCCCAATTCCTCAGCCGATCTCGGCGGCGCTGTGCTGCCTCCCAATCTGGACCCGCAAAGTCGACTTCATACTCCACGGTCGGCTCGAAGCAGTTGTACGGCTTGAATACTGCTTCTCGGCATGTCGGGCTAGGCGAGGGTCAGCAATGCATTCAAGGAACATCTTATGTGGTGGAGGTCCTAGCCAAGAGGACTCACCACGTGTTTTGGACCTGTCCATTCTGTTTGAACGTCGTGAACCAGCTGCGGGCGCAGCCACGACAGATCAAATGGCCGCCTTGACACGGCAGCCGTATGGGCATTGCCTGTCCTGTTGTCATGCGCATCCTGTCGTAGCAGACAGGGCAAGTCTCCTCATCCTGTCCCAAGGTGGTGGACGGCGGCTGATCAATATATTGCTGGCGGAAGGCGGACCAATCTAACGGCCTCGCTCGCGCTCCACGGGCCTTGAAAGTTCCTTCAGGCACGTTAGCGGCTATGGCGGAATAGCGCGACTCTGGCGACGGCAGACTGAGAATCCTCTGTAAGCTGATCAGAGAGGCCCTCCGGATCTGGCCCCAGCTCTGCGGCATAGTACGAGATATCGCAGTTCTTGTAGTGATAACGTTAGAAATATACAGCCTACGCTGATCCGTGCGTAATGAATGTTGCAGCCGTGGCAAAAATGCAACCTTTTCGTAGTCGAAACAGTATGGCGAGAGTATCGTGTGAAGCTTTTCATAGGTACAGCTCGAGAAAAAATACTTGCAGCCTCCGGTGACTAGTGGAGCAGCATCTGAGGACAATTTTGGCTTTTCCGCTTGCCATTGGAAGAGAGTTTCATAGAGCGCACCAGGTCACTGCGCCTTCTACAGATTTGCAAAGTTGCCTCCATATCACTGGATCTTTGGTAATGCCGAGTGCGTGACGCACGTGATGGCGGAGGACTGAGTAAATTGGGAATGCTAGCGCGTGCAGTCTTGGCGTTCACATGCGCTGAGCGTCAGGTGGGGTATCAGTCCAGATATGCGGATTTAGACTGGAGATCGTGAAAAAGGAGAAGTAATCCTTCCCGGCGCAACAAGAGCGGCAAATCTCAGCATCATTCGGATTTGCAGTTCTAATACATGAACAAGCACTTCCACCTTTGCTATCCATGTACACAGACTGGGTGTCAAAGCGTCTTGCTAAAGTCGAGCTTCTCGACGCGTGAAATTCGATGACTATACTTCTTCCCGAACCGCTGACGATTCCGTCGCTCCTGTTGAACGTTAGTAAGGCACTCATCAATCTTGCGCCTGTGAGCCTCGAGCTCCCCTTCCAATTCGACCATCTTAGCTCGACATCCGAGTGGGTCGTGCGGAACGCGGGTATCTTCAGCCCGTGGATTCTCCTAATTCAATCGCGAACGTGATTGCTGCTCGTATTCGTTTCTGTCTTTTCCTTTCTCTCGAGTCTCATTCTTATCATCCGGGCCAATATCCTTCGAGACAACTTCTGTGAAGACACCAAAGAGATGATAGACTGGACACAGATTGGTTCCGAGCGGCAGCTCCTGCGGATGAGCGAAGGATTAAGAGGTCAGGGTAGCAATTTAAACGAACCAGACCAAGACTCGGATCCGATCGGCATTGGTTGTGCTGAAATGGTGTGATACTAGGCATAACCGCAGGCAGATTGCTTTCAGATTACTTTTGCAAGCTGAAGCAGTGTGCTGCCCCGAGACATTTTGTTGCTTTTGCCACCGCACTCCGGAGAATCGCTGCTCACGAGCGTGGCGGCCGCAGCACTGCCTCCAATGATTATGTGTAAGAGTTCAAGGTATCGTCGCCAGCGACAGATCATTCTATCTCCGTACAGACCGCTCGCAAGCTTGCGATCCTCGCTTGGAAAGGTTTCTGCGGCGGAGCGCCTGATTGGAGGTAGAGATCATCCAGTACGATGCGCTGTGGGCTGATCGGTACGGCACGAGGTAGGGATATGGTGAAGGGTGATGTCGTGTGAATTTTTCTTTCCTTCCATAAGTCTCAGGTCCAGACTACATCAAGCTTCTTTGTGTACTAGCAGATGTTTACTTGAAGGGGCGAAGGCGATCAGAAGAAGTCCAAGAGGCTGCTGACAGGGCGAATGGTCCGTGGCGGACATATCTGGAGGTCATGTGATGGCTAAATCCATGAGGTCGAAGTAGTAGATGAGATGTTGACCTATGGATATCGGGTGAGATACCAGGTCGGCCATGGATTAGAGATTGTGATGGCAGTCGGGAGGAAAGTGGTGTGCAATATACCTGGCAATAAGGCATCTCGGCGCTTAGTCATGCCGTGATATCGCCAGCGCGACCCCTTTCTTGGCGCTTCCACGACGGTCGACGCTGCGCCTCTCTCCCGACGTCGACGTGGCTACGATGGCGGAGCACAGAGTAGTCTACCGCCTTAACAACTTAACGCTTCATCGTGCACATCCGCCCGCAAAAGGACGAGTGTAGCGCCGAGAGCATGTGGCGCGAGGGCGGCTGGTCCTCCCCTCCCGCCAAGATGACTAGGCAGCTGGTCGCATGCCGGGCTGTGAGGTCAGCTACCTCACAGACCTTGCTATGTAGCTGCGCCTCTCTTGGTAGCCGCCTATAGTCGGTGGCCAATAGCCTGAGGTTGCGCCGGAAAGAGAAGAAAACCGCTGGTCGCGCCGGTAACGATCCCCTCCCTCCGTACGCCTTTGTGTAGTCTGAGGTCAATGTGGATAAAATACTGACCATAACACCTCGACCAATTGCTTCAATATGGCAGGCGCACCGGCTCTGCCGCGAATAGACTTCGAAGTCTCGGTGAGATGGTATAGCAGTCCGCGGTCTCAGAACGAGACTGACGTGCTACAGCCCGATGAGCATAACGAATTCAGACCCACATCAACGACACCGAACCCTGGCCAGAGTGCTACTTCACCGACCCTGTTGAACACGCCCAGACCGAATGGACGAGATCGCTCTCTCAGTGGAAGCACAGCATATTCGTCACTGAAGGTTCCCGAGACGCCACTCTGCGAGAAGGGGAGCTCAGTGAGTATCTACAGTGATATCAACAAAGACGACGCCCTCAAGCCGGACCCTGGCTCGGAGAAAGATTTCGACGTCCAGAACAACAAGTTTGCGTTCAGTCCGGGCCAGCTGAATAAGCTACTGAATCCCAAGTCCGTTCCGGCCTATGTCGCGCTTGGCGGTATTCGTGGTATCGAGAAAGGACTGCGGACGAATGTTGAGACTGGCCTGAGCGCCGATGAATCTCAACTCGACGGCTCGGTCTCGTTCGAGGAAGTGACGGCAGACGGTGACAAAAGCCGGCCTCTGGGATGGGACAATGTCCCTTCCAATCCAACGGCTCGCCCTGCTGCAGAGTCCGCTGGCCATGGATCTTTCTCCGACCGAATTCAAGTATTTAGCAACAACAGTCTACCCGAAAAGAAGGCCACTCCGCTCTGGAAGCTCGTATGGATGACCTACAACGACAAGGTGCTGATCCTGCTCACTGTAGCGGCCGCTATCTCTCTAGCTCTTGGACTCTATGAGACCTTCGGTGTTGAGCACGAACCTGGGGAGCCAATGCCAGTTGACTGGATAGAAGGCTGCGCAATTGTTATCGCCATTGTCGTTGTAGTCCTCTTTGGCTCCTTGACGGATTACCAGAAAGAGCGTGCTTTTGTCAAACTCAACGCGAAAAAGGACGATCGAGAAGTCAAGGTCATACGATCTGGCAAGTCGATCACCATCAACGTGCACGATGTATTAGCTGGAGATGTTCTCCACCTGGAGCCTGGCGACATGGTCCCCGTCGATGGCATCTTCATCGGCGGTCATGGTGTCAGGTGTGACGAGTCCTCGGCCACTGGCGAATCAGACGCATTGAAGAAAGTTGGCGGCGATCAGGTCTTGCGACTCATCGAAGAAGGGCAAACAGATCTCAAGAAACTGGACTGCTTCATCATCTCCGGAAGCAAGGTTCTGGAAGGAGTGGGTACCTACATGGCAACCTCAGTTGGCGTCAACTCCAGCTATGGAAAGATTTTGATGGCAATGCGTGTCGACATGGAACCAACGCCGCTCCAGGTCAAACTGGATGGTCTGGCCACCGCTATTGCTAAACTTGGCTCCAGCGCCGCAATCCTGCTCTTCTTCGTCCTCCTCTTCCGATTCCTGGGTGGTTTGTCTGGCAACCCGGCGACTAGGTAAGTCGGATACTGAAGCTATGAGCTTATCGAGGCGTTTACTAATAGCTTCTTCCACAGCGAAGAGAAGGCTTCCCAGTTTTTGGATATCCTGATCGTTGCCGTCACAGTGATTGTTGTCGCTGTCCCTGAAGGCCTTCCACTTGCGGTGACACTAGCGCTTGCATTCGCTACGACTAGGATGGTCAAGCTCAACAATCTTGTGCGAATACTCAAATCTTGCGAGACTATGGGCAATGCAACGACTGTGTGCTCCGACAAAACGGGAACTCTTACTACTAACGTTATGACAGTCGTGACTGGCTCTTTCGGCGATCGATCTTTCGATGATAAGAACAAGACTGGAGGGGAGACCACTTCAGTCGAATTTGCTGCGAGCCTCGATGGCGAGGATCGTCGTCGTTTGATTGAAGCGATTGCTATCAACTCGACTGCCTTTGAGAGCGACGACGGTGGCTTCGTTGGCTCTAAGACCGAGACTGCTCTCCTTGCATTTGCGCGTACTCTTGGAATGGGTCCAGTAGCTGAGGAGAGATCCAATGCGCAGGTCGTCCAGCTCATGCCATTTGACTCTGCTCGCAAGTGTATGGGAGCCGTGCAAAAGCTCGCCAATGGATCCTACCGACTCCTCGTCAAGGGTGCCTCGGAGATCCTCCTCGGCCACAGTGCGCATTTGGCCAGGGCAACGGGAGTTCGATCTCTGGATGGCATTGAACGAGAGAAACTGGCATCCATCATCGACTCATACGCCAAGCAGTCTCTTCGCACAATTGCTCTGATCTCGCGGGAGTTCACGCAGTGGCCACCGGCCGGTTGCGCTGTTGAGAACGACCCGGCTTCCGCAGACATGGAACTTGTACTCAAGGACATGACCTTTGATGGTCTCGTTGGTATCCAAGATCCAGTCCGTCCCGGAGTGCCAGAGGCCGTAGCCAAATGCCGCCACGCAGGTGTTACAGTCCGAATGGTTACTGGTGACAACGTAACGACTGCACGAGCCATCGCGACGGAGTGCGGTATCTACACTGGGGGCGTTGTCATGGAAGGCCCAGTCTTTCGTACACTGGACGAGCAGCAGATGAAGGAAGTCCTGCCAAAGCTTCAGGTTTTGGCTCGATCTTCTCCCGAAGACAAGCGCATCCTGGTGACTGGTCTTCGCGCTCTCGATGAAATCGTCGCCGTGACGGGCGATGGTACGAACGATGGCCCTGCGCTAAAGGCTGCCGACGTTGGATTCTCGATGGGCATCTCTGGAACAGAAGTGGCCAAAGAAGCCTCCGCAATCATCCTTATGGACGACAACTTTACTTCGATCCTTACGGCATTGATGTGGGGACGCTCTGTCAACGACGCCGTGAGGAAATTCCTGCAATTCCAGATCACCGTGAACATCACGGCTGTCATCGTCACCTTTGTGTCGGCAGTCGCCAACCCGGACATGAGATCTGTCCTGACAGCCATTCAGCTTCTCTGGATCAACCTCATCATGTGAGTGGCTTCAAATCGTGTACTACCATGGCGACGCTAATAGCAAACAGGGACTCCATGGCCGCACTCGCCCTCGCTTCTGATGCGCCAACGGAAGAAATCTTGGCCCGCAAGCCGCCCAAACGATCCGCCCCACTCATCTCCATCATCATGTGGAAGATGATCATCGGCCAGGCCATCTTCCAGCTCGCCGTCACGTTCATCCTCTACTACGCGGGCCCGAACATCCTCGACTACGTCCGCGACGGCGACGAGATCCGCTCCGTCGTCTTCAACACCTTTGTCTGGATGCAAATCTTCAACAGCAAGTCTCCCCATCCACATCCACATCACACCCAATCTCTACATGTAGAAAACCCTTGAGATTGCTGACGTTAAGTCCTGGTCTGTTTAGTGTCCAACAACCGCCGCCTCGACAACAACTTCAACATCCTCCAGGGCGTGCACCGGAATGCCTTCTACCTCGTCATCTGCGCCCTCATGGTCGGCTGCCAGATCATGATCATGTTCGTCGGCGGCCGCGCGTTCCAGATCACCCGCCTCGCCGGCACGGACTGGGGCATCTCCATCGTCGTCTCCCTCCTCTGCCTGCCCTGGGCCGTGCTCGTGCGCCTCTTCCCCGACGCGCTCTTCGAGAGGATTGCCAAGTTCTGTGGCCGGCCCGTCGTTCTCGTCTACCGCCCGCTCAGCCGCTGGACACACGCGGCCTCGCGAAAATTGAGACGCCTCAGGCGAAAGAGACGGGAAAGCGAGAAGGTGGCTCAGACTGCGGCGGAGCAGCTCGAGGCGCGGTATGATGACGCCGACGCCGACGCTGGCAAGGTGCAGGACGAAGAGAAGGGGGGTGGCAAGTAGTAGACGACGGTGCGCGCCGGAGGTTATGACGATGAGATGTTTTTTTTTTTTTGTTTTCATGAGTTCAGGATCTTTTTTGATTGATTGATTGATTGATTGATTGATTGATTGATTGATTGATTGATTGATTGATTGATTGATTGATTGATTGATGCGTTTCCAGCGGCATGGCATGCATGTAAAAAGGCGTTGATTGATTAGATCGCGATAGGTTGATAGATACATACCCACGGTCTTGCAATAGGCGGGCAATGTTTTACAAAAAATCAAAAGTATCTTGCGACAGCGTAATTTGATGATTTTCGCACCACCTCATCAATGCATGCATGCATGCATCATTCAACGATATAAGTATTTCTTCCGGATTTTTGATTCTCTCGGATAGGATCTATCTATCTATCTATCTAAGCGCTCCGTCGGCGTCGGACGACCTTTGTTTTTTTGCTGGTTTGTCGAGTCTCGAGACTACTTTTTTAACCAACTAAAAAGGAACTTGCGTGGGAGAGAAGCTGGGCAGCGGGGCTGTGCAAGTCTCAATCAACATCGCCAAGGTAAGGGTAGCTCCTTGGCCAATACCTAAACCTAACAGTTCGCAATCCGACTAGCCAACCAGCTCTTCCTCTCCTCTCTCCTCTCTCGTACGGGGCGGCATTATTCTTCCACAGCAAGAACGGAGCCAGAGTCTCCGGGAGATTTGATTTAGGGTCATCATCAACTTTCATCAATCAATGTGGAATCATGGATGAGGTTGTTTTTCTCGGCGTCATCCACCACCACACTAGGATGGCGGACACCCTTGCTTGAACCCAGGAATGGCAAAAACATGCCATAAGTTTAAGTTTTTTGTGTTCTTGATCGAATGGCTGGGCTTCGCGGTCCGGCTTCACTCGTGTGAAGAGTCGGGTCGAATTTTCAGCCTTGTATTCACTAGGAGTCTTCATTCATATGCGCTTCGCTAGTCGAGCCTCGGAGGCAAGTATTGAGTATGCGTGGCTCATTACCTATCTGCACATGTGAAATGCTCAAGATGGTATCTCTCCTGCGATACCTTTCCAATTTCACGGCTCTGTCGCCTCGTCGATGGCATGCACGCGGCCGAGTCTCCCGGCTGGCAACCAGGCCTCTTCTGGAGTGAACCACCATGTGGCGAGGGCAAGTATGGTGACGGCACCAAAGATGACTGGCGAATCTGCACATTGTCAGTTGCTGTTGACCTCACCTGTGCTGCAAGCTCACTTACAGTTGAAGGAGTCGGCCGTGACCGGGAATTCGATGGGGGAGAAGAGGACCGCGGAAAGGTACATGTTCCAGACAAAGGCAATGAAGTTCAATGGGCGAGACCAGCGTCCCAGAGACCATCTCGCGTTCTGGAAGCTGTGTGGCGTCAAGAAAGTACGCCCAACTGTTGTGATGTTAGCTCTTGTCTTTCAGGCGGTAAAGCTGGTAACTTACAGCAGATCAGAGCGTACGCCGTGATGGTCGGTACTCCCGCAGCGCTGACGAGAGATGAGAAAGCCACCGGAGAAGCGAGGATGGTACACAGCAGCAATGCAGCAACTGCGTGCATGACGACGATCGCGTTCTTGGGCTCCTTCTTGTCAGAGACCTTGGATATCCAGGCAGAGAAAGGCAAGACACCGTCTCGCGCGACGGCCCAAATCAGACGCGAGCAGGCGACACCAGCCACGGTAGCGTTGAAAAGGAGTCCCAGAATGCAGATGACGTTCATGAAGACATGACCGCCTCTCCCCATGCTCAAGGCGTAGATGGAGACGAATGGCTGAGGCGCGTCCAGTTGGTAGAGAGTGTCCAAGTTGGGCAAGCAGAAGAGAAAGAGGATGACGATGGGGAATCCAATGAGGGCGGAAGCTCCTGCTGATGTGAAAATACCCCTCGCGGCCACTAGACTTGCATTCTTCGTTTCTTCCGCGATATGTCCGCTCGCTTCAAACCCGACCAGGATACCAGCTGTCACGAAGTAGCTCAGCATCCAGTTCCACACAGGTGGTGCGCCGGTCTCGTTGTAGGTCTGCGTGAAGACGTAGGTGGCATCCTTGAAGCCATACGTCTTGGAGACCGCGATGGGCAGCCAGATGATGTTGAGGAGGAAGTCCAAGAGGATCAAGCCGGTGGCGATGCGAAAGACTGTGCGATACGTCTTGGGGCTGAGGTAATTCATGCCGATGGCGATGAAGAGGATAGCCTCAGAAACGATCCACTGTACTGCGCGAAAGCGAATGTTGTTGGTGTCGGTGGGGAAGTCCACGGCAAATACCGTGATCTCGGAGAGGAGAAAGTTGGCAGCAGCCTGACAGGTACTGGCGACAAAGGTGGTCCAAGCCGTGGTACTCCACCAGGCCACGATGAAGCCGAAGAGACGACCATAGCGACGACCTCCCGACTCTGCCGCCCAAAAGTAGATGGAGCCAGCGGCGGGCAATGCGGAGCAGATCTCGGCCAGAACAGCCGCGGTGATCATGACGAAGACACAGGTAACGACATAGCTGCTCCAGTAGGCAGCGGGGCCACCGGCTCCGACACCGATCGTGAAGGTGGTGCGAACGCCTCCGACGGAATAGAGAGCGGCTGGAGGATGTTAGCACGGGAATGGATGTGATGGCTTGGCAGGTTGTGTACCGAAGCTTGCGGCAAAGCTCTCGAAGAAGTTCCATTGTCGATGGAGGGTCTGTAGGCTGTCAGTGAATTTCTTCTATGAAGCAATGCTACGATGAAGCTCTTCCTCTGAGCGAGAGGATTGCTCACCTGTTTGTAGCCGATTCTTTCCTTGAGGTAGTTAGCACTCGAACTGTGACTCCGTCAAAGGGGAAAAGCTGTCGGAGCATCGACTGATTCGGTCGAGTGATCGATCCGGTGTCGGAGCATCGACGGATTGGATTGGAGGTCATGCATATCCATTGCGCGCAAATTACTGCGATCAAGTTCGAACGGTATAATCTCAGCTTCGCCGAGCGACTCCCACGGCCGCTCCACGAAGCAAGCAAGCAAGCAAGCAAGCATACAGGATGCCAAATGCTTGCTCGTTCCCTTCCGTGGGTGGCGGCCGGGGTAGAAGCCGGGGGGAAGCACCCGCGTGCCATGACTCGTGCTTGATGCTGTTTTTTTTTTTTTTTTGTAACTCACTGAAAGGCGCTGCAAGGATAGGCTGGGACCGTCATTTTCAACCGTGGATGTGCTTCCGGCTCCCGCAGAGCCTTACCAGGTAGCGTTCGTCGGCGTCGACGTTGCTGCTGCTGCTGTCGTCGGCGGTGAGGTCGGACTGGAGCGGGTTGTTGGGCTTGGACGTGTCGTCGTGTTTGGTGGCCGTCGCGGAGGCCCGCTGGACGAGGGGAGCCATTGGGTGTGGTTCGGAGGGAAGATGTCGAATGGAAAGGGAGAGGTGGTTGTTGGTGAAGGGTGAAAGGTTAAGAGGAGTGTAGATAGATAGAGGTGCAGGTGGGAAAAGGCATCATCACTGCATCGTCCATCCGAATTTTCGGCCCGCTAGAACTAGTGCTAAGAAGAAGGCAGGCGCGAGTGCAGTGACGTGACACCTCTTCGCCCCATGTTAGTGGCAGATAGAGATGCACATCTCCCACCTCACTGATGAATACCACAATACTGATTAATCACTATTGCTGTCCCGAGCCGGTCATGGCTTCCTTGGGCACCTCCGAGCCGGCCGCCACGGTAGCACCAGCATCCACGGGCAAGATCACACCCGTCATCCACCGCGCCTCATCGCCCGCCAAGAATCGAATGGCCGCTCCCACGTCCCTAACCGTTCATCAGCAAATGCGTTGTTATCACATGTAACATACCGTATGATGATGATAATCCGAAGAATCTCACTCACCAGGCCGTCCCTTCCGTCTTCAGCAGACTGCGCTGCTTCCTCGACTCCCGCGCCTCCTCGGACATACCCGCCGCATACATCATCGGCGTGTAGACCATGCCCGGGCACACGCAATTCACCCGGATGCCCTCGTCCGCGTGATGCGCCGCCATCGCCCTCGTCAGATTCTACCTCGCCTCGCATCATCAGCATATAGGAAGGAAACTTCCTCACACTGACTGACTACCCTTTTTCTTTCCGAACATCCGGCACCACTCGGAGTGAGACTCACCACAACAGCCCCCTTGGAAGTGGGATACAGCAAATGCGGGTTCCCGCCGCGAATCCCCGCCACGCTCGCAATATTCACAATACTCCCCCTGCACTGCTGCCCATCACGACGATTCTTCCCCATAGCCGGAATCGCAAACTTACTCATGCGCACCATACTCCCCACATTGACCTCCATCCCCCGCGCCCAAGCGTCCAGATCCACCTCCACCGCCGTCCCCACCGCGCCCCCAACCCCGACCCCATTCACCAAGATATCCAGCCGGCCGTACGTTTCCATCGCAATGGCTACTGCCCCTCGGCACTCTTCCGTGTCCGTGACGTTTGCTCTCACGGCCGTCCCGCGCCCGAAGCCGTCCTGCGAGATCATCTGTACGGTTCGTTGGGCCAGTTCTTCTTTCATGTCCACGCAGACTACCGAGCAGCCGGCTTCGGCGAGGAGGATTGCTGCTGCTCGGCCGTTGCCGATGCCGTTGCCTGCTGCCCCGGCTCCTGTTACGATGGCTACGCGTCCGGCGAGTGACCGCGTTGGGCGCGTGAAGTGTTCGCTCATGGTTGGTTATGTGGGGGGAGTTCAGGCGGGATGTGAAATGAAAGCAGAGCCGGTCAGAGATGATGGGGGGGTAGATATCTCGTTCGAAAAAAAGTCACTGGTTAGTTGATCTGTTCATTATATATATATATATATCCAATGCTTGCTGGGGCTAAGGTAAGTTAGGTAGGTAGGAACAGCCGAGCGAGCGACGTGATGAGGGGTCAACCGATGATGGGCGAAACCCAATTGAACTTGAAGAAGCTGCCTGCGAGACCGGACCCGCGGACTTCACGTGCCGGACCTTCTGATTTTCGCAAGTCCTATAGATACCATCGCGGATATGTCATCCATCATGAAATCATCCAGCCAAGTCATCATGCTTGTCGTATGCCGTGCTGTGCTGTGCTTTCTCCCGCAGCAATGCATACCTGAGCTTGTCGGTGGGAGGAATGCGCTGATATACATATATATCGATATGACTCCTGTCGCGACGGTGGAGAGAAAACGAAAACGCGCATATCCGTGACTTACGCTTCCCATCCATCTCTACCCCACCGTACGACACCACTCGGTAGTCCTATAAAATTCCTTAACCCCCTCATCGCTCCCCCCCAAATCGCGCGGCGTGCCGAGCAATTTCAATCCCCGGAGCGATCGGGCGCGCGACAGCGCGACGTATTCCTGGCCCTTCTGGAACGTCGCGCTGAGATCCGCAGTGTACTTCTCCAGCGTCATGCCCTGCGAGCGGTGGATCGTGATGCCCCACGCCGCCGTGAGGGGGATTTGCGTGCGGGAGAGGAGCGAGTACGGCTCGTCGTCGCCGAGGGCGTCGATGAGACAGTTGGCCACGATGGCCAGCTCCTGTCCGTTCGTGAAGCGTACCACGGGCCAGACTCGGTCGCCGTTGTTGCTGTTGCTGTTGCTGTTGTTGTTGTTGTCCTCCTTCTTCGCCATGGACTTCTTGACCTGCTCCGCTTCGAGCTTGTCCCAGCCGCCACCGAAGGTCCGCAGGCCCGCCACGGCGTTGCGTTCCGACCAGTCGTTCACGCTCTCCGTGGAGTCTCGAGCGCCTCGCGTCGTCGCCCTTCGCGCTTCCTCGTACGGCACGAAGCGGACAATCTCGCCCTGGCTGCCATTCACCAGGCCCTTGTCCGGGTCCAGGTTCACCAGGAGAATGACCGGCATGCCTTCCTTGAGCCGCAACTTGGCCTCGTACTTGTGGTTCTTGAGCGCCACCAGGGTGCCATCTTCGGAAAGCTCGTCTTTGTGCCTGAGGTGCGTGTGCGCGCGATTGTGCTTGAAATTGTCCACGCAGTCGTAGACCATCTCTCGGCTCCTGAGTTTCCGGAGCTCGATGCGATTGACCTCGTCCACCTGCGCGTTCGTCGAGTAGAGTCGCACTGCGTTCTCCACATCGCATTCATGGTTCCAAAGAGTCGAGATCTCTTCTGCGGTCAATGGCCGACCCGCCCTCATCTTCCCGAGTACGCGTTTGAGGAACTCGTCGTCTTGGCGGTAGATCTCTTCGAGCTGGAAGTTGGTGAATCGCGAGTCCCTCCATGCGTCCGACAAGAAACTCCACTTCTCGCTGTCGTAACAGATCCGACGACAGCGTGGACAATGGAACTCCGTCCCTGCCCGCCGAGAGATGGTCTGCGTGCCGCATTCGAAGCAAGTCTTGAAAGGCAGGACCGGTGGCAACTGGTGGAAGTCGCCGCTAACGACGACCTGGACTCCCCCGAAGGCACGATGGTCCTGCCGCGCCGTCTGCATGACCCGGTCGAGGCGCTCGAACAGATTATTCTCCACCATGGACACCTCGTCGATAATGATGACGTCCGTCTCACGCATCCGTGTTCGTGCCATCCCGGCCCATCGAACGTGGTTCTGCAACTCCGCGATCGACTTTTTCATGTCCACCGGGCGCCATCCCGCGAAACTGAAGATGGTGAGGCCGCCGATTGAAAGGGACGCGGAACCCGTGGGCGCCATCAGCCGGACCCTTTTCCCTTGGGCGCGGAGTTTGGTAACGACGGCTTTGATCAATGTGGACTTGCCTGAGCCAGCAGCGCCGGTGAAGAACACATTCTCGCCGCTCAAGATATGGCCTGCGATGATCTGCTGCTCGGCCGAGAGCACCACATTGGTAGAGACGACTCCCGCATTGGAACGAGTCGGGTGTGAGGTGGGTGCTGAGGCTTGAGCTGACGAAGGCGATGGCGTCGGAGTGAGATACTGCCTAACCGGCGGCTGAGAGTTGTTAGGTCGTGGCGTCGAAGGCAAAGACGGAATGAGGTATTGTCGTGGAGAATCCAAAGAATCTCGCGACCGCTGCGACGAAGCCGGACTAGGAGAACTTCTAAACACACTCCCGTCGCGTTCGAGTCTGGACCTCTTTGCAGGCCGATCCGGACCATTACCATTCCCCGGCAGACGGTGGTGTGGCGTTGTCCGCTCAGGTGTGGTGTCGTCGAGATTGTCGCGAAATCGTTTGTTCGTGGATCTGAATGGTGTTCGATTCCGGTCACCTGGCGCCATGCTGAGTACTAATGTACGTGGATTTCAAAAGTCCATGAACGTGCCCACAGAGGACAGTGGTATTTTGACTCTTCAGTGACGCAGTTCCCCGGTGCGATAGGCTCTTGTAGTCTTCGACTGTCAGGCTCAGGTGGCGGGCGGTGGATGATAAGGCGTGACAATGCGGTGCGGTATATGCGCTGGTGGTGCGTGGTCAAGTTGATGTTGTTGAAGAAGATTAGAAGAGGTGTTGGCCGGAGATACAGGCAGAGCTCTGCGAAACCTGGATCCAAAGCATGTGATCTGGGCTTGCATGTGATAATCGTAGATCTGAAGCCCGTGCTGAGGGAAAGCTGCGTGTGCTTTCCGAGGCTTGTTGCCTTGAGACCTGCCCACGACTTGGTCCATCTCGATGCGCAATCTGATTCTTTACTGCCCGCCTACAACCATTGCGTACATAATACTACATGTGCTTTTAGACTCCTGCTCTGAGCATCAAAATGCCGATCGTCTCTCGTCCCTGTCCTGGGGTCGGACGAGCCCCGTAGGTGGGAGACTGGTCGTAGAAGCTGCCAGATTTCCTTCTGAATGTCCTTCTCCCAAGTCAATGCGCCAAGGGTCCAATCATGCTGCTCTGCTCTTTGGCCTTCCACTTCCGACCCTCTTTGCCTGTGGCTTCTGCAAGTGTTGGGCGGGAATCCAGCTCTCATCGTATGCCTTTGCACCAGTAGCGACGGCTGGTCCGTCAGCGCCAGCAACACCAACCTGGTCAGCCGGGTCCACGGGCTTACTGCCTCCAGTCGATCGTTTCGCACGCTCGCCACCCTTGCCGCCGCGTCGCTTCTGGGGGAAGAGCGTCGTGATCCAGGTGGAGTAGATGAAGTAGCAGGTGCCGCCGAAAGCGGCAGCCAGGAAGAGGTACAGGAAGATACTGTGGATACCGCGTCAGCGACTAAAGCAATTTGCAGGGAGGGAAGTCACGGACATCTGCGGGTCGAAGATGGAGACAGGAGCTTCCACAATCGAAACACCCTCTCTGAACACAGTCAAGGTGTAGAGGCTCTGTCCGCGGGCCACAATAGTCTTCAGCTCGAGAGTGACATCCTGAGGATGCATGACAGTCGCGAACGAGTAGGTCAGGGCCTCCTTCGACTTAGCTGGGATCGTGGTACCGAATTTGGCGCCAGTCAAGTTGCGCATCGTCTGTGGTGGATCAGGAGCGCCAGGGACATCGGTTGGGGTGAGGAGAGCTCCCAATGCCACCAGCACATTGACGTCCTCATCCTCATTATTTGTGAACTTCAGCACAGCACGCGTAGGCCGGCCATTGACCATCTTGACTCCAAAGATCTCGGCATCGGGGAAGGAAACGTTAACTTCGACTGCGAGCGGCTTGGACGTCTGGCTCTCCTCTTTCCATTGAGATTCACCGCCGGACTCCATCCATTTCTGCATGTCCTCAACGGTGACATCTTCGATGTTGGGCGTATCTTCGACCTGTGAGCGGGAAAAAAATGGTTAGGGCTAAAGTTGTTGGTCCGGCAAGTGAGGTTTCGAACGTACTTGAACGCCTTCTGTGTTCTGCGCAAAGACGGAGAGCGAGCTGAGAGCAGTCACGGCCAGAGCCGCGAGTTTGAGGGAGAGCATAGCGGCGACGAGGTATGTGCAGTGTGAGTGCGAGAGTCGGGTCCGACGCCGAATCTCAAGCTTCAGATGTCGCAGCTGCCAGCTGTCGTCGAATCCCTAGTGACGGATCGGTCCGAAGGCCACCGTCTCATTCACTTCGCTTGCCAAGCACGGACTATCACATGAACAGTCTAGGGACGTACCTAAGAACAGCACCTAGCTTCTCAACAACGGTATTTATACTGTATGTTCATTTGGTGTCACAGCATGAGCCCACAGTACGTGAGATCAGCCGAGAAAACGCTTGGCCGTTACCAGTGTTTTGCTCTGCCTTTGGCGCGCATCTATGCTGTTAGCAGTCGTCGACTGTATACGAAAGCATACGTCGTCGGCAGGACGGCCTGGCTGGTTGAAGACCTTTCAAGCCCTATGGACAGGAAAGATGGTGTGTAAATTTTGTTCGAAAAGACTTGCAGCCTGACCCTCGAGTGCGGCAGCGCAAGTGACCAAAAGCTTGGGTCGAACGGTGCTGCTTCAGTACGTGTCAGAGAAGGCTATCCAAGGTGAGCGGCAATTGAGACTAATGTCATTGCGGATTGGTTGCCGCTTGTGTTTTCACGCGAGATGGAAACCAATATCCTGTACGGGGGAAGCAAAGTGCAAGAAAGCATTGCCTTCAAGTCCTATTCAAAGTCAGAAGCATCAATCCGATAATTCCCCCTTTCGCAGGACCGGGCTCTTCAGAGTGATCCAAGCCTCGTCACCCCATCAAGGTACCGTCCCAAGATCTTACAAGTGTCGTGCATCGCCTTATCGTGCTCGGAGCAGAGAATATAATACAGCGCTACATATACACAGTGGGAGCAGCGCAACAAGTTCGGTGTGTCACAAAGTCAGGCCGCGCAATAGTCTAGAGCGCAGGTCTTGCATTGCTCTGTCCAGCATCAGAGCCAGCCGTCAAGAGCTAGAACGGAAGAGTCAGCACACGATTGCCCGCACATTGTCACTCCTTCTCGAGGAATCTCGATGTAACTCACCTCGTTTGCACTCTGCTGCATCCGCATTTCTCTCTCCATCTCCTGCACCTGCTGTTCCTCACTGAAAGCCAGCGCCCACGGCACACCCAAAAGCAGCGCACTCGTGCTGACCACCCACAAAGTCTTGCCACTTAAGCTCAGTCCTTTTGAAGCCCACGAGTAACCGGTCGACGCAGCGTTGTACAGTTTTTTGCGGTAGGTAGGAGGCACAATGTCTTTGAGAGCGTAGACACGGTCGAGTAGCGATTCGTCGAGGTCATCGTCATCTTCTACATCGGAGATCTCTGAGTCTGATAGGTATTGCGGTCAGTACTTAAACCTTCTTTTGGGTTGCATCCATGCGCACCGTCGTCTGTGTCCCATTCGTCCTCATCTTCCTTTGGGCCTGGCTGTTGTGCCTCAAACTCCTCATCGGGGACTTCCTCCAGCTTGACCATTTTGACGAAAGCTTCAAGTGAACGTGATCAGTAAGCTGGAAGACTCGTCGTGATATTTGGCCGATGAATGTGCCGCGTTTGAGAAGTCTATGTGTTGATGCACGTGAGATTGTTTCGTTCAAAGCTCCCTGCAAAAGTTCAAGCAGCAGTTGCGCACAGGACAACGGACAGAGCCGCACCTCGTCATCCCGCTAAGCAAGTCTCCCCACTCTCCAATTTCGACCTTCGCTTTTTGTTCCGTCTAGAGACAATATCCTCATTTTCCCGCGAACAACCGAGCAGCGGAATCTGCATCGTTGCCGCCACCACGACTGCCATATTCACCGTCACTACCGCACGTTGTGGTAGTATGAAAACGCGTGCTTTCTACTTAAACCCCGATCCGCCTCCTGAGATAGCTGGAGGCTCCCATCTCACTCGTCGCCCCCACCTCACAAACAGTTGAGAGCCCCGATCGACAACACTTTTGCTTACCAGATATATTTCTGCTTCTTGCATCCAAATCCTCGACAAGTCTGTTCGAAATGGCGCCGAAAGGAAAGAAGGGCAAGAAGGGTGGCGACGACTGGGACGAGGGCTTAGGCGAGGCCGCCGACCCGATAGCAGCGGCAGAGGCTGATGCGAAAGCTGGCGAGGCCGCTCAAAATGAGGAAGAAGAAGCCGGTGGAGGAGGCCTGATGGCGGCGCTCAAGAAGAACAAGGAAAAGCGCCGGAAGAAGGGCAAGGTCGTTGACAACGACTTCCTCGAAGGCGAGGATCCCACTGCAGATGACGCTGGCACCCCAGCTGAGCCAGAGCTTCCGGACCTCAGCGCCAAGGCTCCCGAGGAGGCCACGATGGATGACGAGGATGCATTCGGCCAACCTGGCAAGGGCAAAAAAGGCAAAGGTGGCAAGGGTGGTCAGCAGCAGGCTAAGAAGGCTGTCGAGCCTGAGGACGCCGATGCTGATGGCGAAGAAGGTGGAGGTGTAAAAACCAAGGCACAGAAAGAAAAGGAGAAGAAGGAGCGCGAGAAACAGAGGAAGAAGGAGCAGGCTGCTGCTAAAAAGAAGACTACTGCTCCACCAGCACAGCCAAAGCAAGAAGAGGCGAAAGCTGTTGAAGCCGCTCCAGCTATTGCGCCCGAAACAGCCGCCGGCGGTAAGAAGAAGAAGCTTCCCGCTGCACTTGCAGCTCTTCAGAAGCAACAGGAAGAGCTCAAGAAGAGGCAAGAGGAAGAGGCACGCCTTGCAGCTGAAGATGCTGCTCGTGAAACAGAGGAGCGCAAGCGACTCGAGGAAGAAGAGAAGGCGAAGGAGGCTGCGAAAGCTGCGAAGAAGGCCAGGGAGAAGGCCAGGATTGAAGAGCAAAAGAAAGCTGGTACATACAAGACTGAGAAGCAGCGCAAGGAGGAGGCACAACAAAAGCTTCGTCTCCAGCAAATGTTGGAGTCTGGTGCCAAGGTTGCTGGTATCGAAGGTGAGACTGAGCCGAAGAAGCCAACGAACAAGGATCAGCGCAAGAAGAATCCGCGCAAGGAGGCAGAGGAGCGCAAGGCTCAGCAAGCTCGCGAAGAGGAAGAAGCTCGCAAGAAGATGGAGGAGCTAGAAATTAGAGAAGAGCAGGAGAAGAAGGCTGCTGAGGAGGCCGAGAAAGCCAGACTGGAAGCCGAAGCCAAGAAGAAGGAAGACGCCGAGGACGAGCTTGACGATTGGGAGAAGATGGCCGAGGCAGAAGAAGACGGTGTCAAAGACAGCTGGGACGCCGATTCTGAGCCCGAGATGGTCAAGTCAAAGGTCAACGGTAAGCCAGTACAGAACGGCGCCACTGGCGCCAAGGCAGACATTAAGGATGCGGACGACGATGAAGAAGAAGATTCAGAGGACGAGTCATCCGAGGAGGAATCGGACTCCGAAGAAGAGCAGAGTGCCGCTCAGAAGCAAGCGGCTCTCAGACGTCAACAGGCGGCTGAGAAACGACAAAAGGAAAAGGAAGCTGCGCGTGCCGCAGGCTCAAAGGAGAACCTTAGATCGCCCATTTGCTGTATTCTTGGTCACGTCGATACCGGTAAGACGAAGCTGCTCGACAAGATTCGTCAGACAAACGTCCAGGACGGCGAAGCTGGGGGTATCACGCAGCAAATTGGTGCCACTTACTTCCCAGTCGACGCCCTGCAAAAGAAGACGGCCATCGTCAATCAGGACGGCGCCTTCGAGTTCAAGGTACCCGGACTTTTGGTTATCGATACACCCGGTCACGAGTCTTTCACCAACCTCCGATCTCGTGGAAGCTCGCTCTGTAACATTGCTATTTTGGTTGTCGATATTATGCACGGTCTGGAGCCGCAGACTCTCGAGTCGATGCGTTTGTTACGTGACCGCAAGACACCCTTCATCGTCGCTCTCAACAAGATTGACCGCCTCTACGGATGGAAGCCGATCGCCAACAACGGCTTCCGCGACTCCCTTAATCTCCAGAAGTCGAGCGTGCAGAACGAGTTCCGCGACAGACTGGAGAAGACCAAGCTTGCATTCTCTGAGCAAGGCTTCAACGCTGAGCTCTTCTACGAGAATAAGTCGATGGCCAAGTTCGTCTCCCTCGTGCCGACATCTGCACACACTGGCGAGGGTATTCCCGACATGCTGAAGCTGCTGGTCACTCTTACTCAAGAGCGCATGACCAACCAGCTCATGTACTTGTCCGAAGTGGAATGCACCATCTTGGAAGTCAAGGTCATTGAAGGTCTTGGCACGACAATTGATGTCGTGCTCTCGAACGGTATTCTGCACGAAGGCGACAAGATCGTACTTTGTGGTACGGACGGTCCCATCACGACTGATATTCGGGCTCTCTTAACCCCGGGAGAAATGAAGGAATTGCGTGTCAAGTCGCAATACGTGCATAACAAGACTGTCAAAGCGGCGCTCGGTGTCAAGATTGCAGCCAATGGTCTGGATAACGCCATTGCTGGTTCTCGAGTGCTCCTTGTCAAGGATCCGGATGACGAGGACGAAATCGAAGACCTGGAGGAGGAAGTCATGGGCGATATCGAAGCTCTTATGTCAAAGGTCACCAAAACTGGACGTGGCGTTTACGTTCAGGCCTCGACTTTGGGCTCTCTTGAAGCCTTGCTTGAATTCTTACGCACAAGCAAGATCCCGGTCGGCAACATCGGCCTCGGTCCTGTTCACAAGCGCGACGTCACTCAGGCGGGTACGATGCTTGAGAAGGCCAAGGAGTACGCGGTCATGCTGTGCTTCGATGTCAAAGTTGACAAGGACGCTCGCGAGCATGCGGAAGCCACAGGTGTCAAGATTTTCACTGCGGACATTATCTACCATCTCTTCGACGATTTCACCAAGCATATGGCGCAGCTGGCACAGCAGAAGAAGGAGGAAAGCAAGATGCTTGCTGTCTTTCCCTGCGTACTGCGTCCAGTGGCGGTCTTCAACAAGACTGGCCCGATCGTGGTTGGTGTAGACGTTATCGATGGCAATTTGCGCGTCAACACGCCTATCGCTGCTGTCAAGCACAACTCCGTCACAAATGTGAAGGAAGTCATCGTAATGGGCCGTGTGACCAGCATTGAGCGCGACCACAAGCAACTTCCCATCTGCAAGAAGGGCCAGCCTTCTGTTGCCGTCAAGATCGAGGCCCCCAACCAGCCTATGTACGGACGACAGTTGGAGGAGAAGGATACACTCTACTCCCACATCAGTCGTGCCAGTATTGATACCTTGAAAGAGTTCTACAGGGATGAGGTGGAGAAGGATGAGTGGGCTTTGATTGCGAAGCATTTGAAGCCCTTGTTTGACATCTCATAGAGGTGGACTTGATGTGGCTGTCACGAATAGAAGCGAGGCTTCCTTGGCTTGAGTAGATGAAATGCATACACATGGCGTTTTTGGGCGGCGGTAATGAGCTCTTTTCATTGTAAATGCCAGTTCTCAACGGAAGTCGTTACAACTTTTCTTTGCATTGTTGCCACATATTGAGTGCCACTTGGCGGATATCTACTCGTCCTCTTCCATGGCATCACCTTGGACGTCGCTCTGATGTTCTTCTCTCAAATTGTCGCTCGCGGAACCTTCCTCATCCTCACTGCCCTCGCCCGCAGATTCCGAATCTTTGACGTCCTCCATGTCTTCTGCCTCCTGGTCCTGTTGGCCATTGCTCTCGATTTCATCTCCATCACTTCCACGTTCAGACTCTCCTTCAGCCCCAGCTTGGACCTCTGCTCCCTCTCCGTCTTCTCCCTCCGAACTCGCGTTGGAATCCCACTCGTCTTCTTCAGATCCCATGTCTTCCTCCAATCGCCGTCGCACACCCATCAACAACATTCGTCGTCTCTTCAGCCCCCTCTGCCCTTGCAGTTCCATCTCTCGAAACATTTCCGGGTCGACTGTGCCCGATGGCTGTTCCCATTCTGCTTCGTACTCGGTACGATCTCTCCAGTGGGTACGGCTTAGCTCGGACTCTGGCGGCTTTCCGGGGCGTTCGGGCATCGGCAGAGGATGCGAGGGGTCAGGCTGGACGTCCAGGCGAAGTAGGTCACTGAGTCGCTTCTCTTCTTCGCCGCTTGCATTTTTGTCGAGGGCATCTAGGTAGCGTTCTTCGATTCGAATGAAGTTGCCAGGGCTAGAAGCTCGTTTGCGCTTGCTTGTTCCAGGAGACGGTCTTGTAGAGCTGCCGGTAGGGTCCGTTGCTTCGTCTGTCAGTTCGTGCGGCTCGTCTGGATCGTCTGTTAAAAGATCGTCATCTTCCATCAGTTCGTCGATGTCAGACTCGGTGATCTCTGGCTCAACGACAGCCGTAGCAGAAGATGCTGGCTCAGCTCCAAGCTCAGCATCGACTTCATCGTAAGTAAGCTGACGCCCGGCTTTCGCTCCAGGTCTACCGTCTGCGTATTTCTTCGAGTCACTGAACACGAGAACTTTGTTCCTTCTGGCTGCATTTCGCCAATACTCCTTCGAGTTTGTTTTCATGTCCAGAAAATCCGCGGCAGTACGGACATCAATCTCCCTCACAACAGCCACAGGCGTCCAATCAACTCTGCTGGAGTCGGCAGCTCTCAGTCTTGTCATCGCTTGGAACATGGTAGCTTGCACCAGACGGCGTGTGATGTTGACCGTCAAGTTGTAGAAGTCCTCGAGAGCGCTTCTGAACAATGCCGGCGCGTCGACCTCTTCAGAGATGGCATCGAGATTTTGCCAGTTAAGCTCTGGGTCTTCGCTGTTGTTCATGAAGAGAGATCTTGAAAGAGCGAGGAAAGAAGCAGGTCGAAGTGCTTCAACTGCTGCGGAAGAGTCAAGCATGGTGTGTGCCCCCGAAGCTGTAGATTCAAGGTCGCTGTCGTCAAGCTTGGCATCAGGAGGTGTCTGCTGCTCAAAACGACCCTCCAACTCTTCGGCAATTCCCTCATCAATCAACCAGTCTTCGCCGTACTCATCACGCGCAGCCTGTGCATCCTCGTTGTAGACACGAGCACTGACTTGCTCAGCGGCAAGATCTAGTTTGCTTTCGCACTCGCTAGAAATCTCAAATGCGGCAGGTACTGTTTCCAAAGCAAATCCCGAGTTTGGGTTCTTCATGTCCTCAGTGGAGTGTTTCTTGAGCAGCGCTAGATATTTTTGGATTTCACTTTCCGACTTGTTAGGCAGTGCCTCGCTCAGAAGAGATAGAACCTGATCGCCAGCGCCATGAAGTTCGAGCTGGTTGAGAAGGGTCTCCTTTTCTGAAGCATTCCAGAATGTGGCGCCAATCTGTGACGAGCTCACGGGCAGCCGTGAAGATATCTTTTTGGTGTTGACATCTTGGATGATGCCGTTCAGAAGTGAGAGATATTCTTTCGAAACTCCAGTGTTTCTCTTGCGGCTGCGAGATGGTGACCCGGATGGCGAATCAGGGGCGTCCTGAGTGTCTGCCGGTACATCACCCATCATGTGATATGTTCCACCGGTTCCCTAGTTATTCGCACATGAAAGCGCCATTTGAAGTTGTGTTGTGTTGTGTTGTGTGTGTTTTTGTTTGGAAGAAGTCTTGTCTTGTTGTATGGCAGCCTGGAGCTTACAGTTTAGCGAGGTGGTCTGAGCTTCTGAGACTAGCCTGACGCGTCCGTACTCTCTACTACGCGAAACTTGACTCGGACTTTCTCCCATCGACAACACCTCAATCATTCCACGTACAATGAGCTGAAATATTAGCGCGAGGTCGCCATCAATATGGCAACAATAAAGCCTATCGAGAATGGCTCCGTGCATCAAATCACCTCTGGCCAGGTCATCACCGATCTCCGGAGCGTCGTCAAAGAACTTCTCGAGAATTCGCTGGACGCAGGCGCAACATCCATCGAAGTCAGATTTGTCAATCAGGGCCTCGACGCTATCGAAGTGAAAGACAATGGCAGGGGGATATCTCCAGAGGATTACGATTCCGTGGCCGTCAAACATGCGACTTCCAAGCTCTCGACGTATGACGACCTCTCGAATCTGGACACCTTCGGGTTCCGGGGAGAAGCTCTGTCATCGTTATGTGCTCTTGCAAAGCTGAGTGTACTTACTGCGCGGGCCGAGGACGATGTCGGCAAGAAGCTGGAGTTCGATATGTCTGGCAGACTGAAGAGCACATCTCCATCAGCTGCCCAGAAAGGCACTACCGTGTATGTCGAGGATATTTTCTACAACCTGCCTGTTCGCCGAAAGGAGCTCGAGAAGAACATCAAGCGCGACTTCTCCAAGCTTCTCGAGCACATGAACGCTTATGCTTGTATCTCGGTCGGCGTCCGCATTGCCGTTTCCAACCAGATGCCAAAAGGCAAGAAAGTTCCAGTCTTTTCCACAAAGTCCAATACCACGACAAAGGAGAATATCATGAACGTGTTTGGAGCGAAGACCTTGCTATCTTTGCTGCCATTGGATCTCCATCTCGAGATGGCGCCAAGTCTGGGACCGAGTACTCAGAGTGCCCGCAACTGGTCCACCCAAGCCACCAATCGTTCCTTGAAGGTGCACGTGCAAGGACACATTTCCAAGCCTATCATCGGCGAAGGCAGATCTGCTCCAGACAGGCAAATGTTCTTCGTGAACTCCCGTCCGTGTCAGCTGCCACAGGTCAAGAAAGCCATTACAGAAGTGTATAACCAATTCAACATATCCCAGACACCTTTCATCTTCGCCAATTTGTTAATGGACACGAATGCATACGACGTCAACGTCTCGCCTGACAAGCGAACGATCCTGCTCCATGACCAGCAAGCATTGTTAGAGAGCTTGAAGGCAAACTTGACTGAGTTATTCGAGCGAACAGATCAGACTGTTCCACACTCGACTTTATCGAATCGCAAGCTCCCTACTTATCAACCACTGAGCATTTCCAGGAGGCCGACGGCTGAAGCAAGTCTTGAAGCCACTGCCGAACATTCAGAAAGCAACTCCGAGGGGGACGACGCAGCTGAGCATAGGACGTATTCGTTGGGTTCGCCTTCGAATCTGATCCATGGGTCTGGACGTGATGCGACATGCCGATCTGAAAAGCAATTCTCTAAAACTCAAGAGCGACGGAATGCTGCGGCGGAGGCTCGAATGGTTGCAGATTCGTCGTCTGTTGTTGAGGCCGCTGCGAACGATGACAGACCCTCCTCTGTTGTCCATTGTGTCACCGCCGAAGACTCTCGGCCGCCTGGTGTCCAGAATGAAACGATAGGGGCTGTCAAGTCATATGACGCAGCGCTCCAGCCGGCAGAGAATACGTCAAACGGCATTGCGCACATTCCCAGTGCAGATAGTCACAGGCCTGTTGACAGGACCGACGCGGTCACCAACCCGGCGCCCCTGAGTACTCCTTATGACGATCTCTTCTCGCAACGGCCTCCAATTCAGCCTCCAGTTCCTTCTTTTGCTCCAGGCTCGACGAGGGCCTCTCCAGGTCCGATCCAGAATGCGTTTGACAAAATGCGACCAAAACGAACCCCTCAACAGGTAGCAGAGATAACTGTAGGCGACAAGACGACTACGACTGTCATAGGAAGCAGTCTGCCGCCTTGGAAGAAACGGAGAGTCTACAAACCAGAGAACTCACAAGCCATCGCGGCTTTTGGTGCCAGTCCAATGCTTGCACGAGGGCTGAGGAGGAATTTCGCCGCGCCTGGCTCTCAGCTTGAGCTGCAGAACAGGGAGATCCAAGAAGACTCTGACGACGAAGTAGAAGGTTCTTCCCGAATGGAGTGCCTAGGAGACCAGAAGGACGATGAAGATTCCGACAATGACGATGATATCATGCGAGACGCACCAGATGGAGCTGAAGACGATGTGTTAGAGACGGACGAGAGGGAGCAAGAACCATATCTATTGGGCGCGAAATCCTACTCAGATCTGCGGGACGGTCTGGACAGCACTCATGGCAGACACTGTCCTATTGAGCCCTCTTCGGGCATTCTGGACGACGCCTCCCCCGCGCCTGTCAATGACGACGAGTGGGACGAAGACTATATGGACGAGGAGGAGAAGAAACGACGAGAAGATGAACGGGTCGCAGCTCTGATTCAGCAAGCTGAAGAGAATGCCGCGCGACCAACGGAACAAAACGTGAAGCGAGCCGAACAAGTCTTTAAGCATGGCTTGAGTCGAAAGCGCGCCACGACCAAACTCGTCGGCTATCTCAACGACATCACAACAGAGAAAATTGAGAAGGGTCTGTCACGTTTGCAGCAAGTGACTTCCGGTCTGGAACCTATGGTGGATGCCGACGGATCGCTTGTCAAGCAGCAATTGGACGACGAGGAAGCTGAAAGCCGCCTTTCCCTGACTGTCACCAAGGCTGACTTTGGTCAAATGAAGATTGTGGGACAATTCAACCTGGGCTTCATCTTGGCCGTGCGCCCAGGCACAACGCCGAGTGAGGACGACCTCTTCATCATTGACCAGCATGCTGCAGATGAAAAGTACAATTTTGAGTGTCTCCAGCGAACGACACAGCTACAAAGCCAGCGGCTTGTTCGTCCGAAAGAGCTGGAGCTCTCGGCTGTCCAAGAAGAGATTGTACTATCTCATCCCGACGCTCTGAAAGCAAACGGATTCGAGATTGAGAGCACGTCCTCTTCCACCATGGACTTGGACGGTGCCGAAGATTCACATCGTAGCCTCAGACTGCTGACTTTGCCTATGTCGAAGGAGAAGACATTTGACCTCTCGGACTTAGAGGAATTGATTCACCTCCTGTCGGAGCATCCAAGTGGATCGTCCTCGATCCCTCGACCCAAAAAAGTACAGAAGATTCTTGCAATGAGGGCATGTCGGAGCAGCATTATGGTGGGAAAGACATTGACCGTGAAACAGATGGAGCGGGTTGTACAGCACATGGGAGAGATGGATAAGCCCTGGAACTGTCCACATGGTAGGCCTACAATGAGGCATCTTGCGAACTTGAGCGAGTGGACGCCATGGTGTGAAGCAGACTCGCCCACCGATTGGGCAGCATGGCTTACGAGGAGAAAGTGATGATTTTGACGACGAGTAACCGATGTACGTATATACAGCTACAGTGGACGCCTCGGAACGAAAGCGAGCCCGGAGGCTTAATAATCATGACTTCGTCGCATCAAGCTTGAGCTGCGGTCGCGCTCTCTCGTCTTTGGCCAATGGTCTACCTACCAAAGTCTTGATCTTCATCATGGCCTTCACACGCTCCGCAGCCACGGCTACTCTCCGTACAAACCTTTGTCGACAATGTCGCCAGCTCGCAACTCGGCAATTCTCACAGCCAGCAGCCGTCAGACCTCGTCTCCAAAACAGCACTCCAATCAGGCCCGCCCTCACAACCATAAGACAACACTCCGCCCCAGCCTCCAACTCCAAAGTCTACGACTTCGACCAAATCAAAGCAATCAGCGAGAAGCCTTCCAAAGACCGCATCCTGATCGATGTCCGCGAACCGAGTGAATACGACAGCGGATACATTCCTACGGCCATAAATCTACCGCTCAAGAGTCAGCCGGATGCGCTATTCTTGCCGGCTGAGGAATTTGAAGATCGGTTTGGGTTTGAGAAGCCGAAGGCGAAGCAGGAGGTGGTGTTTTACTGCAAGAGCGGGGTGAGGAGTAGTGCGGCGGCGCAGTTGGCGCAGCAGGTTGGGTATGAGAAGGTTGGGGAGTATCGAGGTAGTTGGTTGGATTGGGAGAAGAATGGCGGAGCTTCTGGGAAGGCGTAGATGAGTAGAGATGATAGAAGCGAGGGAATGGGAGGTAGAGAGATACCGTTCAAGACGAAGGATGTCATGAGCTATTAGCGCGTAAACGACATGTGGCTCCTCAGTACGAGGATTTTGGCAGACAGTCTTACGTATGCGCTCTGGTCGCCGACCGGCGGGGCAACCGGTTCTGGGCCAGATCGATGTCAAAGTAGATACCCCAACACTGCCGCCCTGAGAGAATTGCAATGGATGCCCGATTACCTGTTGTTGGTAACCAACAGCAAGACTGCTCTCATGTTTTAAGGGCTGAACGGATCCTTTCAGTGTTTTACGATCGACTGAGGGGACCGTGAGGAGCATGCTAGGCCAGCATTGTGTATCAACCACAGGACCAGCTTAAGACATGACCGACCTTCCGCATTGTTGCCATGGGCTTGTGATTTCGTGGCGAGATGTCGAGGATGGCTAGACCTGGTTTGCAGTGGTCCTGTATACAGGTTCATGAAAGAGAGCAGAGCCGCAGAAGTGCAAAGGTCTGTAATGTAGTCTCAAGTCTCACCTTTACAAAGTGAAGCTGGAGACTGCTTTGCATACGTTTTCTCATACATACCGTCTCACAGCTTGTACTTAGAACGGACACACAGACAAATTATCGAGCTCTTTCTTCCGCATCAAAAAGAGGAAGCCACGTCCTTGATCACGGGCGAGGGTTCATTGAAAGAGAGATTGCGCGCGCGGAGCACTAGTCCCAAAGAGGAAATTATAACTCCGAAGCAGCTGAAAGTCTTGGCAAAAGTTTCGGCTTTCGCAAAAAGACTTCGCGACGACCAACAACGACAACGACAAGCACTTCGCACGCTCAAAAAGCAAAAGAATATAATTGTCGCACTCTTTCCGAAACGGGGAATTGAACCCCGGCCTTGCCGGCGCTTTGAAGGTACGGGAACCGTACCAATGAGCGTGAGAACTCTTCAGTGAGAGCGGCAAATCCTAGCCACTAGACCATTTCGGATGGTGTTCGATATAAAGTTGAACGGCAAATTGTATATATAACTTGCAAAACAAAGCTGGTGAGAATCGCGGTATTGAGGCATCTTTTCGGAGTCACAAAGGCACCTAAAAGGCCCAGGGAAGCTGTGGGGAAGGGGAGCGAATCAGCTTTGAAGGATTCAGAAAATTTGCACTCTACATTCTGATCCCAGGAGCACCATGACTGGACGTTTGACGATGACGGACGCGAGAGTGCTTGAGAGCGCGGTGTCATTCTACCTCACAGCTTTGGCATGCGTAGACTGTGAGAACTGGATGGAATCGAAATTACGTCGACTTGAGAGGAACGATTGATGCGATCAGAAAGATATCTGCTACCCCGTACGGACATTTCAATGAGCTGACAAGCGGATAGCACCATCTACAAGTTGCTGTACACATCACGAAAGGCTTGGAAAGTCCGTCACTATCCCTTCGACGTATTCCCACGGCCTCTGGAGAGCTCTTGCGGAGTCTCGCTTGCATTCCAAAAGCTCTGCGCTAGCACCGTTGCACCCAATATCCCGGTTTCCAGGTCGCTTTGGTTCTCTCGTCAGACTCTTCGACGATCCTCCAATAATGCTTCCACTCCAGCGTCCAGCGCTGATCAAACCCTGCTGTACACCAGTACGTAGGGCGTGAAGCCTTCATTGTCCTCGAGCTTCCATGGGTGTCGAAGATCCTGGATAGTACCATCTGTTATAGAAATCACCTGGCTATCGTCAAACTCCAGGAACCCAGTGCCGTTGGGTTTCCGAATATGCGATATGTAATGTCCACCTTCCACATCGCCTCGCTGGGAGACAACGCCATCCAGCCGATACCGGATCGTCTCGTTGTTGTTTTCCGCGAATTGGCTGAGGTCGAGATGTTCATCATACTCGACTTCGTCATCAATTTTGCGTTGCTCGCCGCCTTTGTCCCAGTCCTCCATCACGAATCGATTGAGTCGGAGCACAAGAATCTGCGGACAGGTCCTCAAGCGCCAGACATCTTGCTGCTCCTCCACATTGTTGTCTCGAGCACCAGCACACCCACATGGCGGACGAGTGGTTGAGTCATTGAAGTCGGACTGTATACGATCGATCAGGACTTGGGGCCGAGGCCGACCATCTCTGTATTCGAGACTGAATTGAAGCCCATCGCACGGTTGTGGCTCTCTCTCTGTAACGCGATGACAGAATTGGCAGTCCCGATAGTTGCTCCGGACAACTTGAAAGGCTTTGTTCACGGCAGAAGCGTCTTCATTTACTGGGTAGGATCCCCTGACCATTGGTCCACCGCGGAATTGCTCGGGCACTGCAATCTGCCAGAAATCAAAAGGACAACAGTGTTCGTCGTAATGCAAAGCCATGCCTAAGCGGGTGTCGTTGGCTGGAAACATCTGTATGAGAGCGTTGTTGAGCTTTCCATGGACAAGAGAGATCGATTCAGTCGTCCCAGCACTCCAGTAGTCTCGAGCCATCTCTTTCACTTCGCAAGCTGCACAGTCTGCGCCTGCGTCGGGACAATCTTTGTGTATGCATTGGAGGAGAGCGCAATACTCGGGCAGATGCAAGAGACATTGGAGAACGGAAATTTGATAACACCAGGTTCCCGGGTTCGTCATTCCTTTTGGTCGGCTCTTCTGGAAGAATGCCTCGCAGGCCTTGGTGATTCGTCCGTACTGCACTCGATTGGGTTGACGTCGGCGTGGTCCAGCTCGTCCAGCGGCTTTTGCCTGGTCGTATCTCCGTTTCAACTGCCGGAATCTGCTTTCGAGCTCATCGCTCTGCCTCTGAAAGGCAAATAGATCCCTGGGAACTCCTGCGCGGGATTCCGCGCCAAATCTGGTGACGGGCGGCATAGCGTGTTCTAATATGAGACCAGCTCTGTCGAAGATGTATAAAAAACCGAAAGTGAGGGGTATATACCAGGAGATTGAAAGTGAGAAGGAGACGGAAGGAAATGAAAAGCGAGATGGAAGAAAATACATGTTTGCTCCCCAGCCGCAGGATGTTCTTATTGTCCCAATAGCATCGTATTGTTCCAAGCTACTCAATAGGACCATCGTGCAATTTCTCTATTGTGTCTATTGGAGATGAAATTAAAACTGTACTTTCGGATTCTATTGCTATGGCGAGAACAATAGGGTGATATGCGAGGTGGAAAGTGGTAAATCTCGTTTACAGCAGAACAAAGGCCCGTCACCAATATAGAATCGACACCTTTGTTGATCAGATTGCTGCAAAGAGACCTAAGGGCAATGGAAGGTTGGACTGTGCATCGCTTTGTCGTGGACAGATGGGTGCATGCGTATTCCGATCGAGACTGTGTTCTAGATTTGTGTCTTAGGGGCGGTTTCAAACAATGTCTTCAGTGCACAAAGGTACTTCTTCGACTCGTTCGATCGTCTTCGTAGGGATTGAAGATAGGGAAACCATCGATTATAAGGCTGTTTCGTTTTCAAATACCAGAATGTGCACAGCGCTGCTTACAACTTGCCATATACGAGGACAAAATGCGTAAATCCGTCGTTACTTTCCCAGAGGTCGGATCCTAGCAATGCATCGAAGTCAGTGCCGCGATTACTGACTCTTGAGTCTTTGAACTTAGAAATGGCCTTGTTATCTGCCGTACGAACAGGTGAAATGTAGTGACCGCCGCGAGTGGTGCTTCCCTGGTGCGTCCCTGGTGCGAGACAACACCATCAAGGCGGTACCCGAGCTTTTTTCTTCCTTGAGCATAATCGCTGAGGTCCAGTAACTCGCTATATTCCACTAGGTCGTCAATCTTAATTTCCACACGGAGCGGCTTAAGAACACCTTCTTCTTCGACACACAATTTTGTAAAGTCTTGCTATGTGGGCGTCCTTTTTGGTTTTGTATGTGGAGCGCAGCATGCGAGTAATCAGAATCTGAGAAGCATATATAATCTTCTTGCATTGGACTAGATCTCTTCGACTTCATTAAGTTGATTATCTTAGAACGTCGCGTGTTCACATATCGATCTTCTTTTGGAAGAACATTTCCGCAAGATATCTCTCCAGACTAAGACCTCGTCTCAGATATTCCAGAGCTGTAGAGATATGCCATAATGGGCGGTCATTGCATAAGACGCTATTGCCCGAGAAGACGCACTTGAGCCAAGCATTCACCTGATTGGTCAAAGGCTAAATTTAGCGTATCTTCACATGCAAGTCTGCCTCATCCTTGCATTTTCGTTTCTTATTCTTCATCAGAAGCCGCTGCACCCATCGAAATGTTCTTTTCGTCCGCGAAAGCGATGTACAACTGATGGTATTCTTCAGCATAGATCCGCACAGACTTTGCAAAGTCACATTAAGAAACTATCATTGCTACAACTCGGCGAAGCCTACCTTACATCCTGGTATACACGAGCACATAGGGATCGCCCTTAAAGCCTCCGGAGGTCGGGGTTCTCATCTCCTCGAAACTTCCACGCGAGGGCCCAACAGCAACATCATCATTCAGAGTTGCGAACCTCCGGCCTTCGCTGTCCCTACAAACCGCAATCCAGTGGCCTCGTCTCAAACCCGCTCCACCATGGGCCACGACTCCATCAAGTCTGTACATGAGATCGTCTCCACTCTCCGTGAACTCTCCCAGGTTGAGATATTCGTCGTACGGAACGACAGTCCTGATCTTGCGTTCAAATGGTCTCGTGTAAGCGGTTATGAAACGACCCAGACGGAGGAAAAGGATCTCCGGAGCCGCCGTGATGTGCTTGCGTACGATTCTTGGTGGTCCATCCTGTTTCATTCGCACTGCTTTGGGATACTTCTTGGTGCAGGGGCCAGGCTCCTCGCAGTGAACGCTGATGGCATCGTCCGCGAAATACCGTCGGAGGTATTCCACCAACGTGAGGCCACGAGGCTCATCGATGCCAATTTGTAGACCGAATCTTGTCCCTGTGTCCTCCGGACCTACTTTCCTTCCATGATCGGCACCGCACTCGTCGCAATGCCAATGGTGATCCCATCGAATATCGAACACAGAGGTGAAGCTCTGGTCATCAGATGGAAGTGCGTTGTCCTCGACGTGGGAGAGCAGGTATTGAAGAAATTCAAAACTATCGCTCTGCAGTTCTTCGCGGAAGTCTTCCTCCAGCTCGAAAGTGGCGACATTTATCGTAGGCAAGTTGTTCTTGCAGGCTTGATTGAGCAGTCTCACGGCAGGCTTTTGGCCTCTTGGCGGCGTGTGAGATGCAGGACCATTCCAGTACGTCTGCATGAGGTCTTGTAAGGCACACACGACGCATAGCTCGGCGGGAAGCCCGCAGTTTTTGTGTGTCTTGCCCATGTAGCGGTAGAAGACTGGACTATGCAATAGCGCTTGTACTGCAGCATTTCTGTAGCAGAAGTTGAGCTTATTCCAAAGGCCTTTGTCGTACGGTTCGGTAAGGTGCGGAAATTTCTTCGCAACCCTGCCGTCCAGGACTCTGTCTGGGATGACTTGCCTGCCATTGCTGACGAGCTTGCCATCCTTCTTCACCAAATTCGGGCTTGCTGATCTACGAGGAGGCGAAGATTTAGGTGGAGATTTCTTTGGGCTGCCGTTGGACTTTGAGGATTTTGGGCTACTTCCACGACCAGAGCCTGGGGAGATTTTGGATCCTTTATCGCCCTTCTTCTCTGATTGCTTCGTTTCTGCCTTCTTGGAGGGAGGCGTCTTCGGCACGCCAGCATCAGCCTCACCATCCGTGGCTGCAAGGGAAGTTTCGTCCTTTTTCGTAGATCCCCGCTTGGCAGACTCCGACTTTGGCGGTGGAGATTTATTCGGAGAACTCTTGCCTACGCTTGCTTTGGAGACAGACCGTCCGGACTTCTTTGACGAGTGCGAATGACGAGAACTGGAAACTGATGACGGGGAACCTCTCGCGCTATTCCCCTCTCCAATCTTAGTTCCTTGTTTCTTGGAATCAGTATTGAAATGCCTTGGCCCAAGCACTTTCTTTCCCTTTCGTCCTGATCCTGGTGCTGACGCTGGTTTCCCTTTTGGTGGTGTATTTGAGGCTAAGCTCTCCGACCTTCTAAGGTTGCCGACTTGCAACTTGGGACTCGTCTTGTCCATTCTCGTAGCTGTTGGTTTTAAATGGCCGAGATATGGGTTGAAGATTGCCCTCCAGAGCCGGTTGCGAAGATCACAGTCGTTGTCGGTGCGAAGCGATTGTGGTATAAGTCTGCTACTGTATCGTCCGAGGGTTCCTCATTCACTAGCATTCTCCAACCCTCCTGGTGATGTGGGAGCTTATGTGAAGTGGAAGAACAAAGCGATCCGCAATGGGTTGTGTGCCCTTGAACAAAGACAAGTTTGCTTCTGTTCGACGCATCCGGCGATCGTGCGATTCCCGAAGGTAAGAAAGACTGACATTGGTCACTTGAAAAGTGTCAATTGCATGATGATGCTTCCGGTCAGCTACACCGACAGCTAATCCTCCTGCATCTTGCTGTAGATGAGTACGTATGGCAGAAACCTATTGCTCCGACTCTTCGGGCTGAGCATCGCCTTGATGTCTCCGTCAGAGCGGTGTTCGATGGCGTTATTGTCGTTGACCGTATCATAGTCGAACCCGTCGGCCGTGCGCACGACAGCAATATAGTGGCCCCCGTCAGGCCGATCACCTCTGTGACCAACCACGCCGTCCAGCCTGTACATCTCGTCAAAGCCCTCTGGCGTATAACGGCCAAGATTAAGATATTCGCCAAAGGGAACTTCACGCTCCTCCTTTCTCAAGACCCATTTGCCTCTCGGAGTCCTGTCATGGCGAAAGCGCTGGAGTCTGACGACAAGAACCTCTGGCAGCTCCGTGAACGTGCATTTGACATCGTGGATTGGGCCCTCACCTCTCATTCCGTACCTTGACCTACATTGGAAAGAATTGCATCTCGATCTCCTCTCAGTCCGAAGGTATTCTCTGAGATAGTCTTCAAGATGGTTTCCTCGTGGCAAGGACCTGATGGAAAAATCAAACCCCAAGCCCATGCCGTGCCTCTCGTCATCTTCTTCGCTGGCACCGCATTCCCTACAAGTCACTTTCACATCGCGACCTATTCCAAACAGATCCCAGGGGCTGATTCCGTCTTCTGTCGACTCGACGCTCTCCATTTGGTTCCACAAGTATATCAGGAAGTCATATGGATCACCTTGCTTATTGTTTTTGAAGTCGTCTGCCAGGTCCACTTGATCAAGGGGAAGGCAGACTTGACAAGCGCGATTGAACTGTCGATTGGCTCTGGTCGGACCTAGGAGCTCATGTCTGTGGCTGAGAAAGGTACCATTCCAGTAGCAGTGCGCCAGGTTTTGGAGTGCACACGGTAGGCATTCGTGGGTTCTCTTCTTGCAGTCCTTGTGTACCTTGCCCAGAAACCGATAGAATCTTGGGACATGCAGAAGGCATTGAAGTGCCCAGCTACGGAAACACGTGTTGCCTGTGTTCTCCAATCCTTTGGATCGGTTATTTTGTAAAGGAGGGAACCGCTGAGCACGGCCAACATCAGCGTGCTGGGGAATCAAGACCGCGCCATTGTCGACGCGTCTGCCGTCTCGTTTGAAGAGATTCGAATTAAACTTGGCAGGCCTCCGCGAGCCTCCAGGTGACCGGCTGGGTGATTTAAGCGGCGGGGTACGCTGAAGAGATGGCGCCTTCGAGACTCGCCCGCCAAGAGGTTTTCTGAGATCCAGAGTTGTCCTTTTGATCAAAGAAGTCGATGGCCGGGCTGGGCGGCCCCAAGACGGCCAGCTGAAGTAGTTCCACAACGTCATCCAGTGGGCAGGACGTAACATGGTCTCGATGTCGGATGGATAATGACCCATGAAGCATTCTTCTCTTGCAATAACTGGAAGAACGAGTTCTAGGAAACTGGCTTAGGACTGCACGAGAAATTCGTACCCATTGCTAATTGGTACTGTCGGCTTTGTCTTGGCCAAGGCCGGATTGAGATAGCTCCATAGACAACTGATCGGACGGGACAATGGGAAGAACACCTGCGTCCTACAATGCAGCTGACCAGGGATCAGAGCCATGATGATCCACAGCAAAGATGTCGCGCACGTTTTTTTGGTCATGACCTTCAGATCTGGAGGTATAAGCTCCTATTGTCCGCGTGCCAAAGAAAGCCCTGGACAGGCTAGATGGAACAGCGTTCGTTGTTCATCATCGTAAAATCGGGTAATGGGATTGTGATGGAGAGGGAGACGCGACGCGATCTTGCTCCTCGCGGTTTTGAGGTCAAAAGTGGAAGCAAGTGCCAAAAGTCGACGCATGGACCTTGCGATTCAGCAAGCCACTGCTGTCCCGACTTCTTTACTTCAATCAACGTACAAAGTCGGCATCTTCGGGAAATGCGCATCAATAATGGCGAGTCGAGTGAGAGTAGTCACGGGGAGGAATACGAAGAAGAGCACGTCCACACTGTGTACGAGCAAATCGCATCCCATTTCTCATCGACGCGATACAAGGTCCGCGAACCGAGATCTTCACATGTCAGCCAGCACTGACCACCACTAGCCCTGGCCTATCATCGAACGCTTTCTGAAAGACCTTCCCTCAGGATCAGTAGGCCTGGACGTCGGCTGCGGCAACGGGAAATATCTCACCGTGAACTCTGACATTTTCATTGTCGGCTCAGACAGGTGTGTAGTAGCTTCAAGCGAAGGTGAGTGAGCCAAAGAGACTGATATGGTAAGTCCAGATCCAATAATCTCGTCTCGATTGCCAAGCAGCATCAGCCTCATGCTGTCGTGGTGGCAGACATTTTGGACCTTCCCCATCAGGAACGAGTCTTCGATTTTGCTATCTCTATTGCTGTTATCCATCATCTCTCCACTCCAGAGCGACGAGTAGAGGCTGTCAGATCTATACTTGAGGCTCTCAAGCCCGGCGGCAAGGCTTTGCTGTATGCGTGGGCGCTCGAGCAAGAAAGCAGTCGCAGAGGCTGGAGCGGAAAAGACCACCAGGACGTAATGGTGCCGTGGGTCATGCGTGGCAAGAAGGCCTCGCGAGATGGCCAAGCCGAGGACAAGACCTTTCATCGCTACTACCACCTCTATCGTCAGGGTGAGCTCGAAAGTGACATCGAAGTCGCGGGTGGTCAAGTCATCGAGGCTGGATACGAGAAAGATAATTGGTGGGCTATCGCTACGCCGAAGCAGCCCTGAAGAGTGATCAGACGTGGCAGCGTATATCTCCAAGACGCTCTGCAAATCTTTCCTAATAGCACGGCCGAGTCAACATTCGCTCGGAACGCTAAAGCTCGGCACAATCTTACCAGCAGTCTGGATCTGCTCCTCGGTGCCTTTTATTGATGTGCACCAAGCCAAGACTCAGCTCCACGCCTTTGTCCATGTATCCCTTGAATACCTGCATCAGTGTCGGATGGGGCGTTCTTCTTCCGACCGGTGATGCAACAGATGAAAGGCAGGGCGTGAAGCAACGGACGCTGCGTGACGGGTGTTCAATTGTGCACAAGTCAATGTTGCTCTGAGGTCTGAAGATGGCGTTCGTGGATTCTTGATTGCGTCAAAGATATGAGCTGGCCATGCAAGTACCAAACTTGGCGCCCCTGCTATTCCCATGTCCACCTAGGGGTCTATAGCAATACTGATACATGTAAATCGAGCCCTCATCCCGCTTTAGCAAGACGAAAAAACTTCAAGCTTCTCCCCGACACGCCGTTGATGTTCTTCGCCTTATCTCTGCTTCTTCATCTGACTTCTCGCCTGCATCTTTCTGAAGGCCTCCTCGCCGCTGGCTCCCAACTTTCTCGCACTCACGCCCTGGGCATTACTCAAATTGCTCACCGGCGCAATCGTGTAAGTACCAACGCCACCTTCAACCCTGGCCCGATTGGTGGGACCAGTACCCGCGTCTCTCTTACGTCTCTCAGCAGCAGCAATCGCAGCGCGATTCGCTTGTGAAGAAGCAGCGGAGCGCTGGCTGGCTTGGGCCACGAGAGGGTCGTATTGACGCTGTTGGATGTGCAGATTGCGACGATCCTTGCTCTTGTTGAGGATGACGCGCATCCATTCTCCCGTCAGACGCTCGGCCTGGCGCTTGATGTCGGGTTGTGGTTGTGTGGACTTGGTGTAGAAGAGAACGATCTTGCCGATGCCTGACGATATCAAGGTCTCCTTGCTCATGTTCAACCGGCCGAGGATTGCGAAAAGTTCGCGCTGGATCTGGTAGTTGGGAAGAGCAGCGTCCTGGTCTGCTGGTTCGAGCATGAAACGGATAGCTTCAAGCATGTTGACTTCGGGGTCGACCAGTTGCGATTGTATGGTGTTGCGGTTCATGAGTTCAACGACGGCGGGGAGGACTTCAATTTTGGCGGTTGCGACTTCGCCCCGTGCGCGTGCTTCTTGGTCCTTTTGGCAGGCCTGTATTATGCGGGAGCGCATGGTTTCAATCTCAGCATCGGCGCGCTCTTCGGCGTCCTGCGCAGCTTTACGACGGGAGACACGGTTCGTCTTGAGTGCCTCGTCCATTTTGCGGTCGAGCGCACGGCGGCGGCCTGTGCATAGCGATTAGTATCACACCTCGGAAGATCACTTTCATCAGGATCGGTGTACTCACGCTCTTCCGGAGAGAGATTCTCCTCATCTTCAGGCGTTCTCGCCCGACCGGCCTTGGACTTGCGTCCATCAGCTCCCGCCTTGCTCTTCCTGCTCCTCTTCCCATCAACTTCCTCTCCACCCTCAAAGTCATCTTCATCGCCGCCCCGTCGGCGCCTACTCTTCTTTTCCTTCCGCTTCTTCTTCCGCGCATCGTACTCTGCTTGCTCCTCGTCCGTACGCTTCCGCTTATGCACACCCAGAAGACCGACGTTGCTCTCATCCACATCAATAGGCTTGTCCGGAATATTCAGCGCTGAAGGGTCGAAGTTCTCAAACTCTTTGTCATCGAGCTCCTCGAGTTCAGATTCGAGATCGTCGTCGTCTTCAGCGGCTGCGCCTGTGTTATCGGGATTGCCGTCTGCGTTCTCAGCCTCGTCGTCCTTGCTGCCGTTTGGGGTCGCTGGATGCTCGTCGTCCTCGCGCGTCTCCATGTCGGCGTATGGGTCTGCCATGGGCGGCGTGCCTACCGCCCCGTTCTCTTCCTCAATGTCTGGGCGCAGAGGATCTTGCGGATCGTCGTTGCCTTGCGGCTCTGGACCTGCGTATGTCGATGGTGGACCGTCAGGCTGCTCCAGATCCTCCATATTGATGCGCTTTCCCTGGGCGTGAGTTGTGTGTGCTGCACTGAGTTTGGGTGCGCAAGTCGGAGAGTGGGCAATTGTCGTGCGCGGAAGAGGAGAAGTCGTTGGCTCTTTGAAGTTGAAGTTGAAGTTGCAAGCGACGTGACGCTCCTTTGATGAAGCTAGGCGGGATGCACGGACCTCTCTTTGCCGAGCAACTTCTTGCTTCATCGCATGCAAGCCGAACAAGTCAATCTCCGGCACTGTACACCCAATTCAATCCTCATATTCACAACGCAAAGATGTTTGGCGGTCGTAGGTGTACCCTTCCTAAATCGGATTCTAATAATACTAACGGCTTAGTAGCACCTCCAGCGCCCTCCCCCGAGGAGCTCAAGCAACAAGAAGCCCAAGCAGCCTCGACAATTTACCAGATGGTGACCATGTGCGTGGTACTATACTTCTGTACGTATCACTCCCGCGGACTTGATATGGATCTTCAGCTGACTGTTCCACATAGCACCATTCGCCGTTGATGCCGTCAAGAAGCTGGTATAGATGCCGGACGAACGTCACGAGAAACCACCTTGTTGATGGCATGTATCATACTGTACAAAGGATCCAAAAGAGCAATGGCGAGCATGGCATGGCATGGAGTTACAGAGAGCTAAAGAGGAAGAAGGGAAGCTCGAACTTGAAAGCTGAGCTCGACAGACTATAGAAAGTGTGCGATACGAGTACAGACGGAGAGTATATCTACCCAGAGGCTGTGGTCATCATGCTGCCTAGCGAGACCATGCTCATTGAAACGCCGCGCTTAATGCAACCCATCTTAACAAACCTGAGATCCCTCACTGGTTTCGCCTTTCACGTTATGCAACGCTTGAACACCTTGCAACGGCAGAGGCCTCTATGCTCCCCTCTGCTTCTGCGCTTCTTCCCACTCCTGATACTCTTTCTTGACATCCTCCAACTCCTTGTTCAGATGCTGAAGCTGGCCCTCGTAGTCTTTTAGGATTTTCTTGGTCTTGTTCAGCACCTCCTCAGGCACTCCACTCGATGCCGCTCGGTTGACTGCTTGCTGGTTCTGGGTGTTCAACTGCTCTGTTACTCGCTTGCCTTCCTCCTCAAGCCATCTGGCGCGCTCACGCAGAGATAGCATGCGCGCCCATACCTCATCTTCTCGCCCGACGAAACCTGGATCCATGACCTGCTTCTCCAAGCTCATCAACGTCTTTCGCAGATTCTCCTCGGCAGTGTCAAGTGCATATCCACGATTCCGCAGCACTTGCACCTTGACCGCTAGCTTCAAGACACGCTGGGAGAGTACCTGGTGTTGCCTCTTGGCAGCCGCAATTTTGACCGTGATACGCTGTTGGTGCGCGTCCATGATCGTGGTGAGTGAGTTGTTCATCTCGTGGAGTCTTGTACGCATCTCTTGTACGATCTGGTGTTGCATCTTGACGCGCTGATTGAGCCCTTCGAATCCCTTGACCAGAACCGGCACCCAGGTGGAATTGATTTCCTTCCCATCAACCACGACCGGCTCCGGCTTCCGACTGAGAGCTTCTTCCCAGCTTGCTTGGTCTTCACCATTCTGTTCATTGGGATAGAAGAATGGCGCATACTCTTTCGGAGCCGTATTGTACAGCCACGTCTTGAGGACTGTAGTAGTGGGCTGAATGTTTGGATCCCACTTCAGGTACACTGTCCTGATCTGCTCGGCCACACGCTTCTCGTTCGGTGTCGTTGACATGCCGCTGAACTGCAGCTTCTGCAACTGCGCTTGAGTCATGGTATGGCCGGATTGGCCAACAGATACGGTGTGGGGATGGAACATAGATGAAGAAAGCGGCTGCTGCTGTTGCTGCTGGCTTTCGCTGTTCGCTGTTGTGTTGCTGAAGGGAGGTTGGGCCTGTGTTTGTGTGCCGAACATCGATGTGCCTCCAAATGCAGAATTGGAACTCTGATTTTGAGTGTTTGATGCATTTTGATTGCCGAGCAGACCACCAAGAGCCCCTCCAGTATTGCTCTGACCTCCAAATAGTCCGCCTCCAGTGTTTCTTTGTGTGCTCTGCGCCGTGCTAGACCCGAATAACCCTCCTCCGGTGTTTGCCTGTGTGTTCTGCGTGGCGCCGGTCCCGAATAATCCACCTCCGGTGCTTGTGCCCGTCTGAGCGGCACTTGAGCCGAACAGTCCTCCCGCTGGCTTGTTTTGAGCTGTACTTGAACCAAACAGACCTCCGCCTGTGTTGCCGCTCTGATTTGTGTTAGAGCCAAATAGACCACCGCCAGTGTTGCTATTCTGGCCCACATTGGAACCAAAGAGTCCTCCACCCGTTGTACTGTTCTGGTTCTGGTTCGTACTTGATCCAAAGAGTCCACCTCCTGTGTTTCCACTCTGATTTGTACTCGGCCCAAGCAGACCACCACCGCCGCTGCCCGTATTCTGATTTGTGCTAGATCCGAAAAGGCCGCCGCCGCTACTGCCCGTATTTTGGTTCGCACTCGATCCAAAAAGCCCTCCACCTCCGCTTCCGCCGCCTGTGTTGCCGCCGAACAGGCTCATGGCTGCGACTGTTATGGGCTCTGCTGTTGTTTCTTTGCTTCGCTCTTATTATGTTCTCTCGATGGGAGGCTGTGGTGACAAATGAACAAATCGCGAGCTTTTCCTGGACAAGCGGCCAGAGCGAGCGTCGAGCCTTCCTGATGGCAGGTCGTGAAGTGAAGGGTATCGAGTTGGATGTAATGGTAGCTATTGTTACAGATTCACGCGCTGGGAGCTCGGACGCGCCGGTTGTCTCTCCCCAATCGGCTCGTTCCGAACGGCTTACCGCCAAGCAGCTCACCTCACTGCCTTCCGTAGCTCTCGCCAACACCCATTGAGATCGCAACACCGCAGACATGTCGGCCAGACCGCCACGGTAAGCATATGCACACCCACAATTGTCGATCGAAACGCTAAATCGCCGTCAGATTCAATCAGCAAGTCCTCATCGACACCACTCCCCTTCCCGACCACATCCCCAAGGTCGAGGAAATCGGCGCCTCCTCCGCCCCTCTCCTCTCCGCGAGCTACTTCATCGGTGCTCGCTGCCGACCCTACAATGATGATTACATGCACTGCAAGGACCAGGCCAAGGGCAAGGGCGAGCCGGAATGCTTGAAGGAGGGAAGGAAAGTCACGCGCTGTGCGGCTTCTGTGCTGGAAGATATCAACAAGAGCTGTCTCGAGCAGTTCAGGAAGCATTGGGAGTGTCTGGACAACAACAACCACCAACTATGGCAGTGCAGGGGCGTGGAGAGGCCGCTAAACAAGTGTGTCTTCGATAATCTGTGAGTGATGATTTGGGTTGGAAATGCAGCGACAGGTGGAAAATGCTTACGGTCTCACAGGAAATTGGAGAAGAAGATTCCAGGAGCCCCGGAGAACGAGACACCAGTGCATCTGCGGAAGCGGCAAATTTACGTATGACAGCTCCATCACGCTCGATGAGCATTCTGCTAATCCCTTTCGCAGGCACATTCGATATTCGGCCAATGAATACTGCCTCTATCCGGCATAGGTGTATAGTACAGTGAAACCAAAAGATACCAGTTCAGAGCATTGTTACATGCAGACTGTGTCACTTAAGCCCATGCAGGCGCCCGCGTCCGCTAATGGCATGGGCTCTCATGTAGTTTGCTGACCTTGTTCGCTAGTCCAACTTCGCGTTCTCTGTTTCTGATTCATGTCAATGCAAGTACCATCAACACCTACAAGCAGTCGCCCTTGTGGCCCCGTCTCCACGGCTTCATGGCGTCGCTCATCGCACTTCTCGTCGAAAGAGTATACCTTATCAGCCGCTGTAGCAGCTTCAATGAGATAGCTTGCACTTTCGACCAGGACAAATCAAACAGCAATTGAGGTACGATTTACTCCAGGGCAAGAATAAATCGAGCACGCGATGCCACGTCGAGGAAACGTCCGACTTAGCGATTGAGCTCGGAAAGCCTAGGTCTAGTTGCATGGCCACCTCGCTAGAAATAATTTTCGCATTCAAGGTGGACTCTAGCTATTGCAGACTCACTTAGTTCGCCTCTTGCTGCATGGACATCTCTTGAGCCACAGGAGACCGTGCCAGGGTACTCGCGCTTCCTAGCCATGCTCAAGAACATTCCAATCCGTGCGTCTTTCGTTGGCGACGTTAGCAGCTACGATATGAGCATCGGCGACCGTACCAAGCTCCACGTCCGCTTGCGCTTCTCCAAGAAATTCGACTTCTACGCCACGAATGGTACATCAATCACGATTGGCATTGGAGATGCTGGGACCTACAGCACGTGGGACTATGTCCAGGCATGGTACAGTCCGAAGGCTTGTGTCGCCAGCAAAAAGGAATGGGTCTGCGGGGCCATCACTCGTTTCGGAGAAGACAGTCGGCTTATCGGATTCACATGTTTGCGGGCTCTAAATGAGATGGATGGCGTTAGCAAGGCGAGCTCTGGACGAGACCTGAGTAGTAGTTTGACTGGCGACCATATGCCGGTAGCATCTGCATCTTCGCACAGAGAAGAATCGGTGCCAGAAGCTGAAGAGCACGGAGATTCTATTGTTTACGGCATCACGTCTCCGTCAGAAAGTATGCAGTAAGCATTGGATTCGTGCTGCGCTATGCTTTTCGCTGATGCAATCATTTCACAGCATCGTCGACAACTTCGGATGTTGCGAGGCCTCGGAAATCCAACGGCTTGAGACAATTGGTCTTCAAACCGCAGAATCTCGCCAAATTTGGCAAATCCTTGCCAGCAAAAGAGCCAAAATCAAGTCGGGGCTCTGAGAAGAAGCCGGGGTAAGAGAGAGGAGCATCAGAAGCGGACGTTCATCGATCTCACGTGCAACGACGACGAGGAGGCAGAGCAGCCGTAACGCAAGCTCACAAGTTGTTCTCGCGCGAACGTCATCACTAAAGACAGGAGGTTGCACATGCCAGCGAAGTGTATCAATGCTCAAGCTATTGAAATCGACGACGAAAACGACGAGCCCCGCAAGCGGATCGAAGGCACACGTTTCAACGCATCGACTCACGCAGCTTCTCAGTCCCAGCCGAAAAGCAAAGCGAAAATCGAAAAAGGTCCGGTTGATGAACGAGATCAAAGATGAAGATGGAGACGATATCAGACACCAGCTGCGGGTTATCAGCTGCAGCGCAAACTGCGCAAAATCCAAAAGCGGAAACAAAGTGCATAAAGCCGAAGTGGTTGGAATGCGGAGTGCTGAGATAAAGGACAGAAGCCGAACCTCTCCAACAAGGTCAGTAGAACGGTTTTCACCAGGTTCACACCTCGTTCATGTTGTTTATGCTGTGTATCACTCTTTCCCTCACTTTCATGCACGCTAATGCGGCTTAGCGCGAGTTGGCGCATGGGATCTTGGCGTTGCGAGAACGAACGGCCACTTTCTTCACAGTACCCCATAGCAAACGCATTGGACCACAAAACTTCGTGTTACGCTCATGACACCGCCGACGCCTGAACGGAATTGTCAAGATGCCGGTCATGGACGGCTTGTCGGTGACTCTGCTCACGGAGACTTATGGGACACCAAGTGTTTGCCAGACCCATGCAAATGGGCGGACCATCCAACAAATCTATGCCACGCCGGGAAACCAATTCCAAGTATCCGTCGAAATCGAGGACTATGTTGCTCGTGCCCCTGAAGACGATTTCATCGTCACGATCGAATACTACGATACCCGTCTGAACAGCCAGACTTGGCGCATACACAAGAAAGCAGCACTGCAAAAGAAACACGTTTTTGAGGCCCTGACATCCTGGAACGAAGATGGAGTGCCGCGTGCTTCTCCATTCAAGATACCGGCACCATCTAAGCGTAGCTCAGATGGCCTTGGACACAATGCAACGTCTCCCGCGACCCCTACTTCGCCTGGTATCTTCGTACGGATCTTTCAGGGAAACATCGACCATAAGCCCGCGCAGCCTCGTGGACGGAGGCGATCACTTATTCCACCAGCATATTCGTGGCCGCTGCTCAATGCCAAAGTCGTGGCCATTATCGACCCCGAACGGCTTCACCCACAGAGCCTGGAAAGGCAATGGGTGTTCGAGTTTCGAGTTCTGACAGAAGTGGAAAGAGCACCTCATATGGGCCATGTCTCTTCATTCTTGCAGCTTTCCGGATACAGGTCCTATGGCCTTTCGAATGAAGGAAGCACACATACGACGGCTCGAGAACCGGTGAAAACAGTCCCCATTCAACACCGGAACGATGATCAACGTCCAACTCGCACGGCTTTCGAGGACGAGTCTATTCCTGAGAATTCTGACGCTCCAAGTATTGCGGAGCAGATGGTCCTGAAGTCACGTACTACGACCACACCACGTCATGCTTCACCCCTAGCCATTGCACACAACTTACACGAGGCACAGCCAAACTTGGTTACAGGGTCTTCATACCGCGAGCATTCTACCATCGAGTCTTCTCCCCATCGCGCCGATACGCCACTGCAGGACGATTTCATTCCGTTGGACTTGTTGAGGTTCGACGAGCGACCGACACGGAAAGCCAAGCAACAGGGCCTGGAAAGAATCCGGCACCTGTCGCAGGATGCCATTGCTTACGAGAAGGAGAGACGACAAGGGCGTTACGATGACATTGATGCCCGGTATCGCACAACATCGGCGGATCACTATCGAGATTGGAATCCAAGACGTTTGCGGCGCAAGAAGTCGTCCGATCCCGGCCGTGTGAAGCCTCAGCAAAACGCGTCTCGCGGACGGCGTGGGTTGGAAATGTTTTATGGAAGCCTGGATAATGATGAATTAGAGGAAGAGATGGACGACGAAATCGAGGACGAGGGCACCAAAAATGAGGGTGAGTATGACGACGAGGACGAGGACGAGAGTCAGGATGAGGGCAGCGCTCCACGAGTTCAAATTCCGCAGCACACATCTGCCGAAGGAGACGCTCTCGAAGGTCAAGAGTGCGATGATCCAATGTCAGGATCTCGAAGCGACGAGAACGAACATGATGAAATGGGCGAGAGAAATCTATTCGGGAGCCCGATGAGTGTCGATCGCGGACCGTCAATCCTGTCCTCCCCACAGGACCAGACACATACGGAGCTCTTTAGTTCACTTTCAAGTAGCTCTTCTGCTCCACGAGCTCAGAAACGAAAACGACACGCAAACAGTCGGGTTCTACCCTCTAGCGACGATGAACGCTCGCCCTCACCGAGAAAGCGGTCAGAACCCTTTCTTGACATCAGCCACAACTATCTTGCTGCTACCTCAAGCTCGATAGATTTTGAGCATCCCGAGGGTCCAAGCTGCAGCAACCATTTGTCTCACGAATACCACCAGGACTGCCATGACGACGAGGAGGAGCCGCTTCTGATTAAAGCAGAGACAAGCGATATGGAGGAGGAGAAAACGGTAAAACAGCGCAAGATGGAGCTTCAAGCTCAGGAGTTAGAATACCGGAAAGATCCTGTGTCTCTAGCACCGAAGGCAGAGCATAGTGGCGTGGAGAACGGAGGCAACTCGAATGAACATCCAAGCGAGGGTGCAGAAAATCAGGAAGGAAGTGAAGAGGCCGACCATACTGCAAACCAGAGCCATGTCTCAGCCGTCAATGACGAGCGATATTCGCAGGTCAGCCCTCAGTCAGGCCTGGCTGAACATACAATACCGGAGACTGGAGTTGAGGCTGTATATCCTCCAACTCCAGCCACCTTGCCAGATGGTGACGTGACTCAAGCGGAGATTGAGAAACACTCTGACATCCTTTATAAGGAGGATGTGGAGCGGGATCTGAGGCGACAAATCCGAGAGATTGAGCGCAAGGCAATGCTATTGGAACTGGAAGAGCTGGATGTCCGTCGGAAGAGGATAGAAATAGAGTCGAAGAAAGTGGTGCTGACAAAGCACCTGTTGGACCTCGATGACGAAGCTCGCAATTGAATATCGTTCTGTTGGCCTTGGGTCTGAAGAGTAGAGCGGGAGGAGACAACGATTGGCAGCTGATAGATACGAAGATGTAAGTCTTGTTTCCAAGAGCCCAGCTATCCGAGACTGCAGCTTTCTGTGACTGAGGTGCGGTTGGTGGTGCAGTAGCATTGCAATCAGACGATCAGGAACAGTAGGACTTTCGAAGTCTGGTAAACCTGATTCTTTACCTTTAAGCACTGAAATTCGAGGTGCAGCGATTGCAGTACGATCCTGTGACGCCTTTCCTACCAACTGGCTAGTGAGATCTCAGCATATCGCGATTTCGAATAGCAAGTCCCAGAGCATTTGAGCTCCATCGACGCATCTCGAGCAGCAATCAATAATCAAAGGCAATGAAGGGGCAATCGATACTTTGCCACGAGAGCTTTCGAACGGAGAAAGAGCCCCTGAAGCGGTTGCCATGTGAAGTGGCTAGCGTCTTGGCGCTGCCAACGGCTGGTGGAATTTCGTTTCTGTGAAGCGACATCAAAACTGCATCATCGCCTCACCGCTGAATTACACCAACACCGTCATGTCAGATTCCATGAGCGTCTCTGCAGACCACGTGCGAGTCGCTCTCAGGAACGTGGATGGCACTTCCATACATCCCTACTCCTTCCCCCGTGCGGAAGAAACCAGGTCTCGGAGAGAACGGCTGATAAGTGCAGCACCTGGAACGGAGTTCGAGGTAGTTGTCGAGATTGAGCCGGATATCAGCTTCCAAGATGATGCCGACTCACTACTCATCTCAATCGCCTATGATGACGGTCGGAAGGGTACCCTGGAGAAGGACTCGCGAACAAACACATGGGTATCGCGTAGGGACCGATCGCCAGCTGGGAAGCACAAGTTCCAAAAGCAGCATATTTGGACGACTGCAGGGGAAACGCCGACTCTGCGCTCAGGAGAAGTCCCGCAACAAATCAAGCAACGTGAGCATCCCCCTCTACATATGGTGAAGCCCCTACTGACACCACTAGCTCGGTTTCCGGATCCTTGGGTTCTAGCGGGCGTTATCATGGGAAATTATTGTGTGCGAGGCTGCATCTCTGTTTACGTGCAGCGATGTCGCCTCAGACGTGAAGCGCAGAAGAAACGCCCTGCAGACCCTCCAACAAGGACTGTGTATGTTCACAGCGCTTGATGCTTCAACATGGATTATACTGATCCGCTAGCAGAGCTCGTATGTTGCAGCCAGAACCACTGGGTTCGAGTCATCCAAAATTGATCAACCCCCAACACTTCAGACCGTCGTATGGCGCGAGATCCTGGGTTACAGAGTTCCATTTCGCCAACATGGGTACGGATTACAATGTCCAGGATTCAGACCGAGTGACAGACTAACAGCAGCATTAGCAGACACGCATCGCGTGAACTACATGATGCGCCTTGCAGAAGGCAATTTCGCTCCACACCTGAGACCCCGTGTTGGCTCCGGCTTCCACGACGAAGAGCTTGACTACGATGAGTCCCGCATTTCGGAATATGAAGACTCTGAGAACGAGTCACACGGATTGGATGCAAGAAAGACCTCCGCAGAGCCGTCGATCCTCACCCGGAGAGGCACATTAAACAACAACGAGACCACCTCTCGAGAGGTGGATCCCCCACGTCGACCAACACGCAGATCAGCCCGAGCGCGGACACGAGAAGCCAAGTCACCACAAGTCACTGCAGCAAAGCAAAAGCTATTTGGAATGGTGGACGACGACCAAGATGATGAGGAGCCAGCGCCACCGAACCCCAAGCAGGAGGATGAGGCGCAAGCTCCAACATTAGCTCGGATAGGAACGAATTCGAGCATGCGTGAAGTAAGTGCTGCAGAAGTGGGGACATCGGCACAGGGAAAAGCAAAGGAGAGAGCACGTTTGAGTCGGCAGCTGGAGGATATCGAGATAGAAGAGAGAGAGCTGGAGCTCAAGAAGAGGAAGAGGGATCTGCAGCGCCGGATGATGGAGTTGGACGAGGAGTAGCGGCGAGGAAAAGACGTGGTGGGATCCCTGAACAACAGCAAAACGTCGTTCTGGGCAAACTGGAGACTCCAATCTAGGGGTAATATGCAATTCGACTTCAATGATACCACATTCTGGGATCTTGTCGGAGGCAGAGCTCGCACGGAGCCGTACAAGATGTCACTCCAAGTGCACCAACGTTTGAGAACTTTCTCTGCAATATGAGTGATTCTCTGTGCGGCTTTCCGAGAGATATGTTGCTCACATTCAACTAGAACCCGCCGATCCATCGACCGAAATTCACAGAAGTCTTGAGTCCGTTCGACCGAACGCCTTCCAGACAGCCCCAGAAGCACAAAAATGGCTGCAGCCACGCTTCCGAAGAAGGCTACTTGCGATCTCGAATGACGAAGAAGATAGAAATACCAGATCCAGGAGAGGACGAGAGATGAGTTTCAGTGCTACAACTGTCACCCCGTTGAGCGCTGGACGCACATCGATGCACAGCACTGGAACATGCAGAGACGACCGAGAGACAGCCCGTGCAAAAGCCAAGAAGAGAGCCCGATTGATGTTGCAGCGGAGGCAGCTTGAAACTGAAAAGAGGGAGCTTGGGCGTCAAAAGCGTGAGCTCGCATTGCAGGAAAAGTTCCACGATCTCGATGGAAAGGCTTGAGGATGGATCAAGAAGCCGGCTGCTGTATTCGGGAGTCTGTTGAGTGAAGAGGGACGATACGAAATCGGCAGGGACGGCAGCAGGAACGCAGCCGTCGCGCGATCCGTACTGTACACTCGTGGCCAGACCAGATTGCTCCAGTAGACATACCCAGGGCCTCAGTTATGCCAGTCCAAAGCCTCACAGTCGCGCCGTTCAGCGTCAGGCTTCACCACAAGCCTTGGCTTTCACATGCTTGTGACTGCAGCACGCCCTCTACCGCATCTTTGTCACTAGACCTCAACTTCGACTCTCTGTCCTCCTCCAAGTGAGACTGCTCATCGGGAAATCTCGAACACCAACAGAACCCCACCGCATATAACGATGCGCTCCACCAGCGGAATCGAAATCACGCTCCTCCATGAAGCGCCCTACGGCCCCAGCACCACGATTCGCGAATACGAGAACAGCAACATCCAGCGGCATGCAGACTTCCAAGGCGCCTCCCACTCCGTTCTGATTTCCCAATGGCACCGCAACGCCCTACAGCTCCGTCTGAAATTCAGCGCAGACTTCCAACTGAAGAGCTCGGAAGAAGGAGTCAAAATCCTCGTAGTCGTCCGCAACGCGGAGCAAGCCTTCTACCTGCCGGCAGAGGCCGTGCCGGGAAAGGAGTATATCTTGAGGAGTTTCTGGCGGATGTCTGGCGGTGATGGCACGCGGTGGGAGCCGAGGTGCGATGTTAGAGTCCCGCTGCAAGCTCGTAAGGATCAAGGGGCAGGAGAGGCTAGCATGTGGAATCGGTAGACGACTGACTTATATCACGCACAGATCCAGCGAATCCCGATCGGAGCGATAGCACGTGGCAGAACATGTACGAGCCGAACGCGTGCTGTGTCGCGGTCTCCGTCTCGCGCGGCCGTCTGACACGCACAGGCAGGAAGCCCTCGAGGTCGCTTCCGACAGACCCGCCGGAGAAGGACAGGTATACATGAGGCCCCCTCGGTCATGTGAAGCGAAGCGAAGCGAAGCTAAAGCTCCCAAACAGACATCGCGATACCGGCAACCCGAAAGTCATCAACGAAGCCTGGTTCGAGCAACAAGGCGACAGCGAAGTATTCCAGTTTCTCAACGTGGGAAGCATCGAAGTGGCGGACGAGAAGCCTCTCAACACGGAAGAGGACTTCAGTCGGAAGGAAGTGAAAGCCCTCCTCGGGACGACCTACGCTCTCACGGCACCGGAAAGCTACGCCGTCGATGCAAGTCCTACACGAAAGTATGCGAATGCGAAGCGGAAGAGAGACTTCAAGTGGGAGCCAGAGCAATCCGTGAAGTTGAAAGCAGAATGGAACACCAGCAATGTCGACCATAAAGTCCCGGCTTTCGACTATAGATATCCAGAGAAGCGTAAACTCGGCGCACTTTTCTGCAAGAGGGCCAACTTTGACACCTGTCTCGCGAAACCTTCGGCTTATAGGGCCTGTGATGATGAGCAGGATGACGAAGAGCCGCCGCCGGCATACGCGGCAAAAGGAAAGCAGGACGATGATTTCGAGAATAAGGTGAAAGTCGAGCCCGTGGAAAAGGACTACTCCGGTAGCGCCCCTGTGGCACCTCGATGCGGCACCTCTCCGATGGCATTTTCCAGATCGGGAACCATGAGGAATTACGCTTCCAAGGATGCAGGAGATGTCCAGGACGAGGAGTTGCTGCACCTGATGCTCGAGGAGAATCTCCTCCGGCAGGACATCCGAAGAGAGCAGTTGCGTAAGGGAGTTTAACAACGTATGGGGGAGACCTAGCAGCGACTTGACACTTGATATTGTGTATGAGACATTCGGAGCCTCGAGCAGAGTCTAGACAGCAGGCAGCATGAGACATAAAAGTCGATAACGAGGTCATTAGGGCCTTACAGAACTCTGCTACTCGCGTCTCATCTGACTAACAATCTCGCATCAGGGCGAAATAAACTTCCGTTGTACAAGGGCACGTATCGCATCGAAAGTTTGCTCCATGCCATGCCAAGTCAGCCCGTGTGGAGGCCAGATCCCATGCGAACGCCCGAGAACGCCGACGCAAGCCACCAAAAGCAATCTACTCCTCGACCTCCTCAACTCTCGCATTGAGATTCCTCTGCTGAACACCCTCGCTCGAACCAGCCGGTGCCGCCTCTGCACTGCTCGTCGTAGTAGCTTCAGCCGTCACAATGGGCTCGCTTGGCTTGTCGCCTTCCTTCTTCTTACCAGAGTCTCCATCAGCCTTCGCAGCTCTTCTCTCTTTCTTCGCCATCCGCTCCGTCTTCTTTCGCTTCTTCATTGCCTTCTCATCCTCATGCCAAGCCCAGACCGGTCGGAATGAATCGAAGAAGCCCACGTCCTCGAAAAGATTCGGGTAGAGCCAGAGACCTGGTGATACCGTGAAGAACGTAATCAGGAACAGAATCAGTCGGAAGATGGCCATGGCGAAGAAGAGACCCAGTACGCCCAGCATGGCCATACTAAGATACCACACGCCGAGCCGCAGCTTCATGGGCCAGACGGGGAAGAAGACCACGGCCAAGATTCCCGCCAGTGCTCCGACGGCGTATAGCTTGTTCTTCCATTGTGACCCCTCGTATAGCCAGACGTAGTAGAATTCGTCGCTCGCCTCTTGCTGTGGTACCACTTGAATCGTCCAGAGTCCCTTGACACGCTTCTTCTTGCCGTGGTCGTGTCCCTCGTGTGGATCCACCTTTTGGACACGCAGCGCGAGCAGGCTCATCGGGAGCAGTTTGAAGCAGTTCTCGGCCGTGACGCGGTCCTTGACCTCAGGCAGGAGTGGGTTCTTCTTTCGCGCTTTCTCGTAGGCAGGGCTGTGCAAGGCACGAATCGCCCTCTTCACCTTGAACATGTCCTTTCGCTGTTGTTGGAAGATACATGTTCGCGTCTTGAGGTCTTGGTTGCGGAGGAAGTTGGCGACTGCGAGGGCTTCAGGCTTGGGCGGGCCAGGCTGGATGGGTTGTTGTTGACCAGGTTGTGCCGTCCCTTGCTGCTGCTGTTGTTGCTGAGCTTGTGCCTGTCGCGCGTACTGTGCCTTCATGCGCTCGACGTATTCGGGTACACTGAGGCCAGCCTTTTGAGCTTCTGCGGCGATTTGTTGTTGAATTTGTTGAATCTGCTCCGGCGTGGGCTGTTGGCCCGGCTGAAGCGGTGGGGGAGCGGACATTGCTGATACGGTCGCGGCGCTGCAGTGGGTAGAGATAATTCGGTGGGGTTGGTGGTAAGGCAGAAGATTCAATCGAACATTGTCGCCCAGCTGTCTTTAATTGAAACATGTGACGTTGCCTGAACTTTATTAAGCTTCGGGACTAGCCGCTGCGCAGGTCATGGTCCCCGCCGCTAAGGTATTGATAGTTGTTCTCAGCATGTGCCAACGCAGCTACTCACGCGAATTGTTTTGCACAATAAGAAAATCGTGGTTTTATCTCGCCTACATGTGCCGTATCCCACAAGACTATATACATCGCCAACTCGAATATCGTGAGCCATCTAATCCACATTCTGCTCGTTCACAAACAAGCCAGCCATTCCCTGACCCGTTCCAATGCACATTGTGGTCAGGAGAATCTTCTTCTTCTGTCGTCTTGCCTCGCTGAGACCGGTGACGATTTGTCTTGCACCAGTGCAACCCAGAGGGTGTCCGAGAGCAATGGCACCTCCACGGACATTCATCTTGCTCCAGTCGAGCTTGAGAGTGTCACGGCAGTACACGGCCATGGACGCGAAGGCCTCATTCAGCTCAATGACGTCGATGTCGTCGACCGATAGGTTGAACTTGCTGAGCAGCTTGGGCACAGCAATCGATGGGCCGATACCCATAATTCTAGGGGCAAGACCAGCGACAGTGGCACCAACGTACTTGGCGAGGATGGGCTGGTTCAGCTCCAAAGCCTTGCTACGCTTCATGAGCAGGATAGCAGCGGCACCGTCTGTGACCTGCGAGCTGTTGCCACCAGTCGACCTGTCTCCGTAGTCGGGGAAAGCAGGACGAATCTTCTGGAGAGATTCAAATGTTGTGCCCCATCTTGGTCCCTCATCCTTAGTGAGTGTGACGTCCTTTCCATCGACCTTGACGGTGATGGGAGTGATCTCGTCGTCGAACCAGCCAGCCTTCTGGGCGATCTCCGCGCGGCGGTACGACTCTGCTGCGTATTGATCTTGCTGTTCACGGGAGATGTTGAAGTCCTTTCCAACGTTTTCCGATGTCTGACCCATAGGCTGCAAGCAATCACGCGCGTCCTGATTGGCCTCAACAATCTCGTCGACGAACGGGCGGGTAAGGCGGTCGCCGCCAGAGGTCATATGTTCTGCTCCGAGAGCGACACCAATCTCGATGCTGCCGGTGGAGATCTGGTTGGCAATATCTTGAACGGCCTTGAGGCCGGAAGAGCAGAAGCGGTTGACGGACGAGGCAGCGGTGGTGTTAGGGAAGCCAGCGGCGAGGGCGGCGGCGCGGACGTAATAGGCTGCTTTCGCGTCCGAGACCTGCGAAGATCTCTGTCAGCCACCCATACCACGCAGGACGGCAAGGCGGGGAGTTTGTGTGAGACTCACATTTCCCAAGCAGATATCCTCAACCATCTGTGGGTCCAAGTTGGACTTCCGAACCACCTGCTCCAGGATCTTGAACACCATGCCATCCAGCGGGGTGTCCTTCAGGCCACCCTTCCTGCCCTTCGCCAAAGGCGTCCGAGTCGCGAGGGTGATGACGATGTCATCCGGGTTCTTTTGCGTGCTGCCATGAGAGAGTGGGAGCGTTAGCTGTTGTCTCTCTGTTCACATGAATGATCTGCGGGGAAGCTGGGCGTGAAACCGTCCGAAGAGGGCGAGCTCACATCTTGTCCACAGGCTTCTGGCCGGGAGTCAGCTGAGAAACAATGTTGGAGAGTCTCTGGGCGGCCATGATGAATATGTGACGATTCTGTCGGTCGGGACAGGGTGTCGGAGGTAAAGGTTGTATAATACAAGAGAAGAGAAGGGTGCAGAGAGGAGAGTGGTGAGCAGCAGTAGGTAAGGTAGACTTCCAGATGACTTTGTGCCTCGGCCCAGTGGTACCGACTGGACCGAACGCCGATGCGGAACAGTCTCGGTGCCACTACATGTGACAGTACCTACACCCTGTCGAACATCTCCCCGGCAATTGTTGAATCGATAGTATTTCCCCAGCAACATACACATACGTACCCTGGCGCTGCGGCAATTGCATTATTATCGAAGGCTGTCAGGGAAGACAGAAGAAGGATGCCAGCTCACCCCGACTCCGGCGTAGGCGTCACCTTTCCCAGCGGATGCCGCATCACACACGGCAACGGCGCGAATATCAAGAAGCCATTCCAGGATCTCGACTTGACCATGTATGAGCTTTCCCCATCCAATGCCAATGGATTCCGCGGCCAGCTCGGCTTCATCGAATTCAACACAAGCTATCGCCTCCCCCGGCATATACACATGTCCTCCGATCGTCAACGCTTGGTAGACGAGAGAATCATGATCTTGCACGGCGTGGCCTTGGTCGAGATCGCGGGCTCCGTGTACGTCGTAGCTCCTGGGAGTCTGGTAGATACCGTGGGTGGTGTACCGCATACCTTTACTGCCTGTCCTGCTGGTGTCAGACTGCCGGATGGGACTGTGTCGAGTGGCACATTTACGATGGTGTATGAGTACGAGGAACCAACAAGCTTTTTCCCCACGATGTCGACAGAGGTGGTAAAGGATCCAGTGGAATATCAGGCTTGGGAAGGATCGTTAGAGGAGATCAGATTCCCGCAGTTGAGCGCGGGAGACGTAATAGATATAGGGAAAGTGGTATTCAACCACGAGCTGATGGGACTCCATCTAGCTTGAGAGCTCTCGGGCGAGATTAGATATCAATAGGTGTGTGTATGTAATGTGGTGATTCTAATCTTCGGGCATAGGTGCAAATTTCGACATCTTCCTCAGCTTGAGTCCGTATTTCCAAAAGATGAACCTGTCGGCCGTTAGCAACGTCACTAGCCGATCCATCTTGATTTAGACTTACGGTACGGGCAACGCCAAACAACTGATGCCTCCCAACACACTCGCGGCTGGACCAACACCCATATTCCTGAACATAGGCTGCGCTGCCAACGGGAGCCCAAAGGCGAATATGCTCCGGAGGAAGGTGTTGGCAGACACCGCAGACGCAGCATAGAGGGCATACGTATCAACGAGATAGTTGATGCATTGCTGGAAGATGGTGTTGAAACCCGCTCCGATGAAGCCTGCGGCGACTACAGGAATGCTCCAGTGATATTTCGGGGCGGCAGTCCAGCCGAACCAGAAGAGGCCTGCAGTAAAAAGAAAGCCGCCGACCACCATCGGGGGAAGTCGTGCTTCAGGGACAGCACGGCCTTTGTTTTTCGCGACAGCTTTTGCGTAGAAGGATTGGTTCGCGAGGTTGATCGCGACGGCGCACAAAACGCCCACAAACAGGCCAAGAAACGGCAGGGTCGACACGACGGGCCCGAAGCCTCGCATATCTCTGAAGACGATGGGGAAGACTTCTAGTGTGAGGTACAGGATACCGTAGACAAAAGAGGCGTAGATGGCAACAGCGGTGACCATAGGCTCGGTGACCAGCATTCGTATTGGACGGGAGAAGTATTTGGTAACGATGTTGCTGGGATTCATTCGCTCCGCCTCATGTGGATGCCAGTAGCGTGGGTCACCCGTCTCCCTACGCAATCGCTTTGCTTTCCGCTTCAGCAGGACCGGTCCGTACAGCTCTGGCAATGTGAAGAAGGTCATGGCGAACTACATTTCAATTAGCGGCGAGGTACATCTTCCTGAGGCAGTCGTCTCACCATGAAGAAAGCGAAGATGGCCTCAATATACTCGGTCCATCGCCATCCCAATGTGACTGTCAGTGAGCTGCCAATCACGGGACCCAATGTAGGACCTCCCACGACCATTACTGCGTAGAAAGTGACTGCAATACCGCGGGCCTTGGGGTCGTACATGTCTCCCAGGGCGGCCGAGACGTTGGAGATTGGAGCTGATGCGAACACACCGCCGAAGAATCTCGTGATGAAGACCGAAGCAGCATTTTGGCTGACAGCGGTACCGATTGACCATAGTCCCAAACAGAACATCGGAGGCAGCATGCTCCATTTGCGTCCGTATACTTCTGAGATGGGTGCCCATGCTTGTGGTCCGATGGCAAACCCTAATACGTACAAGGCGACGCAGAAGACTGTTATCTCCTGGCTGACGCCTACGTACTCTGATATGGCAGGCTCAGCAGGGGCTATGATGGAGCTTCCTAGAGATCCAGTCAGGGCCATGAAGCCAAGCTGTAGTGTGATCCAAGCCTTCTTTGCGGTGGAGAAAGCTCGAGGATTTGTGGGATCATTCTCCTCGAAATCAACTTTGAATGCTGGGTCCTTCTCCCCGGTAGCTTGAGCAGGCGGGTGTTGGTCAGGCTGTGCAGAGGATTCGTTCTTCTCTGGATCTCGGCTCTGAGCTCGGCTCTGTCCCCAGTTTTCTGGAAGTCTATCATTGTCGGTTGGAGTTCTGGGACACTCGTCGTCATCCAGTTTCTCGCTGTGCTTGTCGTCCGCCGCATGGCTGATGGAGGAGCGGTGGGAATCCATAATGGGGATTCAGATCGAGAAGTGCGAGACGGGTCTGGATGAAGGCCGACATGGCGGCAAACCGATGCATCTTGAAGATCTCCATGGAGCGGGTGTTCGGCAGTGGTGCAGAGAGGATTGCGCATTCCTGCGACCAATGATGGTGACGTCGCAGGCCACTAAGGTGGAAGTGCGCTCCAGCACACCTATGAGAGAGCTCTGCTCGTCACACGTCGTGGCACGATCTTGCCATGAGCGCCATACAGATTCCATCTGATCTGATCTGGTCTGTCCGGTCTGGTCTGCTCACGAAGCATCGTGCTGGGAGCGCCCTTGCACATCAGATCGTGCGTCGCGTCCTCGCGGA